TATGACAATTTTGTCAACAAATCAAATTTTAAAAATCGCATAACTAAGCCAAAAATGCATTTATTTCAATTCGGAAACCTCTCCAATGATAGTTGTTTTTATAGCAATAAAACTGCATACCTAATTTAGTCGGAAATTAGTTGCTTGCAGTTCTACAAGCTTCTGACTAAAATTTTAATACCATTCTTTGAGTCCATATTTATCTATATTTTATATGACAATTTTGTCAACAAATCAAATTTTAAAAATCGCATAACTAAGACAAAAATGCATTAATTTCAATTCGGAAACCTTTCCTATGCTAGTTTTTGTTAGGGCAATAAAACTGCATACTCAATAAAAAATTCAAATTTTTGTCGATTTTTAACAATTTTAATGATGTAACCCCTTATCGTTTTTTGCAAAAATCGACAAAATTTTCAAAAAAAATTTTTCAGCCAGACAAAGCTAGATCGATTCAGCTGTTCATGCTGATCAAGAATATATATGATTTATGGGGTCGGAAATGACTCCTTCACAGCTTTACAAGCTTCTGACTAAACTTATAATACCATTCTTTCAGTCGATATTTATATTATATGACAATTTTGTCAATAAATCAAATTTAAAAAAATTCATAACTAAGCCAAAAATGCATTAATTTCAATTCGGAAACCTCTCCAATGATAGTTGTTTTTATAGCAATAAAACTGCATACTTAATTTAGTCGGAAATTAGTTGCTTGCAGTTCTACAAGCTTCTGACTAAAATTTTAATACCATTCTTTGAGTCCATATTTATCTATATTTTATATGACAATTTTGTCAACAAATCAAATTTTAAAAATCGCATAACTAAGCCAAAAATGCATTAATTTCAATTCGGAAACCTCTCCAATGATAGTTGTTTTTATAGCAATAAAACTGCATACCTAATTTAGTCGGAAATTAGTTGCTTGCAGTTCTACAAGCTTCTGACTAAAATTTTAATACCATTCTTTGAGTCCATATTTATCTATATTTTATATGACAATTTTGTCAACAAATCAAATTTTAAAAAAATCATAACTAAGCCAAAAATGCATTAATTTCAATTCGGAAACCTCTCCAATGATAGTTGTTTTTATAGCAATAAAACTGTATACTTAATTTACTCTGAAATTAGTTGCTTGCAGTTCTACAAGCTTCTGACTAAAATTTTAATACCATTCTTTGAGTCCATATTTATCTATATTTTATATGACAATTTTGTCAACAAATCAAATTTTAAAAATCGCATAACTAAGCCAAAAATGCATTAATTTCAATTCGGAAACCTCTCCAATGATAGTTGTTTTTATAGCAATAAAACTGCATACTTAATTTAGTCGGAAATTAGTTGCTTGCAGTTCTACAAGCTTCTGACTAAAATTTTAATACCATTCTTTGAGTCCATATTTATCTATATTTTATATGACAATTTTGTCAATAAATCAAATTTTAAAAAAATCATAACTAAGCCAAAAATGCATTAATTTCAATTCGGAAACCTCTTCAATGATAGTTGTTTTTATAGCAATAAAACTGTATACTTAATTTACTCTGAAATTAGTTGCTTGCAGTTCTACAAGCTTCTGACTAAAATTTTAATACCATTCTTTGAGTCCATATTTATCTATATTTTATATGACAATTTTGTCAACAAATCAAATTTTAAAAATCGCATAACTAAGCCAAAAATGCATTAATTTCAATTCGGAAACCTCTCCAATGATAGTTGTTTTTATAGCAATAAAACTGCATACTTAATTTAGTCGGAAATTAGTTGCTTGCAGTTCTACAAGCTTCTGACTAAAATTTTAATACCATTCTTTGAGTCCATATTTATCTATATTTTATATGACAATTTTGTCAACAAATCAAATTTTAAAAAAATCATAACTAAGCCAAAAATGCATTAATTTCAATTCGGAAACCTCTTCAATGATAGTTGTTTTTATAGCAATAAAACTGTATACTTAATTTACTCTGAAATTAGTTGCTTGCAGTTCTACAAGCTTCTGACTAAAATTTTAATACCATTCTTTGAGTCCATATTTATCTATATTTTATATGACAATTTTGTCAACAAATCAAATTTAAAAAATCGCATAACTAAGCCAAAAATGCATTAATTTCAATTCGGAAACCTTTCCTATGCTAGTTTTTGTTAGGGCAATAAAACTGCATACTCAATAAAAAATTCAAATTTTTGTCGATTTTTTTTTTTGCAAAAAATATTATCTATATAGCAATAAAACTGCATACTTAATTTAGTCGGAAATTAGTTGCTTGCAGTTCTACAAGCTTCTGACTAAAATTTTTATACCATTCTTTGAGTCCATATTTATCTATATTTTATATGACAATTTTGTCAACAAATCAAATTTTAAAATCGCATAACTAAGCCAAAAATGCATTAATTTCAATTCGGAAACCTCTCCAATGATAGTTGTTTTTATAGCAATAAAACTGCATACTTAAATTAGTCGGAAATTAGTTACTTGCAGTTCTACAAGCTTCTGACTAAAATTTTAATACCATTCTTTGAGTCCATATTTATCTATATTTTATATGACAATTTTGTCAATAAATCAAAATTTAAAAAAATCATAACTAAGCCAAAAATGCATTAATTTCAATTCGAAAACCTCTTCAATGATAGTTGTTTTTATAGCAATAAAACTGTATACTTAATTTACTCTGAAATTAGTTGCTTGCAGTTCTACAAGCTTCTGACTAAAATTTTAATACCATTCTTTGAGTCCATATTTATCTATATTTTATATGACAATTTTGTCAACAAATCAAATTTTAAAAATCGCATAACTAAGCCAAAAATGCATTAATTTCAATTCGGAAACCTCTCCAATGATAGTTGTTTTTATAGCAATAAAACTGCATACTTAATTTAGTCGGAAATTAGTTGCTTGCAGTTCTACAAGCTTCTGACTAAAATTTTAATACCATTCTTTGAGTCCATATTTATCTATATTTTATATGACAATTTTGTCAACAAATCAAATTTTAAAAATCGCATAACTAAGCCAAAAATGCATTTATTTCAATTCGGAAACCTCTCCAATGATAGTTGTTTTTATAGCAATAAAACTGCATACCTAATTTAGTCGGAAATTAGTTGCTTGCAGTTCTACAAGCTTCTGACTAAAATTTTAATACCATTCTTTGAGTCCATATTTATCTATATTTTATATGACAATTTTGTCAACAAATCAAATTTTAAAAATCGCATAACTAAGACAAAAATGCATTAATTTCAATTCGGAAACCTTTCCTATGCTAGTTTTTGTTAGGGCAATAAAACTGCATACTCAATAAAAAATTCAAATTTTTGTCGATTTTTAACAATTTTAATGATGTAACCCCTTATCGTTTATTGCAAAAATCGACAAAATTTTCAAAAAAAATTTTTCAGCCAGACAAAGCTAGATCGATTCAGCTGTTCATGCTGATCAAGAATATATATGATTTATGGGGTCGGAAATGACTCCTTCACAGCTTTACAAGCTTCTGACTAAACTTATAATACCATTCTTTCAGTCGATATTTATATTATATGACAATTTTGTCAATAAATCAAATTTAAAAAAATTCATAACTAAGCCAAAAATGCATTAATTTCAATTCGGAAACCTCTCCAATGATAGTTGTTTTTATAGCAATAAAACTGCATACTTAATTTAGTCGGAAATTAGTTGCTTGCAGTTCTACAAGCTTCTGACTAAAATTTTAATACCATTCTTTGAGTCCATATTTATCTATATTTTATATGACAATTTTGTCAACAAATCAAATTTTAAAAATCGCATAACTAAGCCAAAAATGCATTAATTTCAATTCGGAAACCTCTCCAATGATAGTTGTTTTTATAGCAATAAAACTGCATACCTAATTTAGTCGGAAATTAGTTGCTTGCAGTTCTACAAGCTTCTGACTAAAATTTTAATACCATTCTTTGAGTCCATATTTATCTATATTTTATATGACAATTTTGTCAACAAATCAAATTTTAAAAATCCCATAACTAAGCCAAAAATGCATTAATTTCAATTCGGAAACCTTTCCTATGCTAGTTTTTGTTAGGGCAATAAAACTGCATACTCAATAAAAAATTCAAATTTTTGTCGATTTTTAACAATTTTAATGATGTAACCCCTTATCGTTTTTTGCAAAAATCGACAAAATTTTCAAAAAATTTTTTTCAGTCGGACAAAGTTAGATCGATTCAGCTGTTCATGCTGATCAAGAATATATATGATTTATGGGGTCGGAAATGACTCCTTCACAGCTTTACAAGCTTCTGACTAAACTTATAATACCATTCTTTCAGTCGATATTTATATTATATGACAATTTTGTCAATAAATCAAATTTAAAAAAAATCATAACTAAGCCAAAAATGCATTAATTTCAATTCGGAAACCTCTCCAATGATAGTTGTTTTTATATCAATAAAACTGCATACTTAATTTAGTCGGAAATTAGTTGCTTGCAGTTCTACAAGCTTCTGACTAAAATTTTAATACCATTCTTTGAGTCCATATTTATCTATATTTTATATGACAATTTTGTCAACAAATCAAATTTTAAAAAAATCATAACTAAGCCAAAAATGCATTAATTTCAATTCAGAAACCTTTCCTATGCTAGTTTTTGTTAGGGCAATAAAACTGCATACTCAATAAAATATTCAAATTTTTGTCGATTTTTAACAATTTTAACGATGTAACCCCTTATCGTTTTTTGCGAAAATCGAAAAAATGTTCAAAATTTTTTTTTCAACTGGACAAAGTTAGATCGATCAGCTGTTGATGCTGATCAAGAATATATATGATTTATGGGGTCGGAAATGATTCCTACACAGTTTTACAAGCTTCTTACTATGTTTTTATGTCGATAACGCAGGGAATTATCAAGAAGTTATCATAAGATAATTAAATTTGTATTTCAAAATAAATAATAAATAATAAATAGTACATTTTATACCAAGAACAATCCACTTCTTTCATTCCTTAAACCCAACCTACAGCGCTTGAACATATTGATATAGCACATCGAACTCCTCCAGCTTGGGCACGGCATTAAAGGTACTCCGAGTGCGACAATACTCTGCATAAACAAGCTGACTCTCCCGCGACACAATTGGCGGCTGAACGCTTAGGTAGGAATCCGTGCCATAGTCACTAAGCGGTCGTAGAGTAATGCCCCGCATGATCTTGGCCAGCTCCTGGTCACGCTGGGCCACGGCTGTCTGGGCGGGACGGGCTCCTCCACTGGACAGCTTTCCCATTTGCACGTACTTCTTATAGACAGACATGCTATGTTTGGAGGGCGGTCTAATAGTGCATCCATAGATCTCCTCCATGGTAGGCAGGGTGGAGGCCAGTGTTAAGGCCGCCGGCTCAGTCGATTCCGTCTGATTGGTTCCGTCCTTCTCGGCAAAACTGGCACTCAGCTCCTCGTCACTTGAGCTGTCGTCGCCCTCACTGGAGCTGGACGAGTTGCTGTTCATGGAACCCGTGGAACTCTGGCCGGTCATTGAGGGATTCTGACGGGCTTTCCGTGACGTCTGAATCTGCCGCTGGAAAGGACTGTAGTTCGTGCGAAATGTGGGCATGTAGCGCATGGCCAGCTGGCTAATCTCGAAGGCAATGTGCTCGCTGAGGTCGGTCCACTTGAAGGACTGATGATAGTTGGAGTACGCATCAATCATCTCCAGACCGCTGCTGTGGACGCGAAACAGCTCCCTCACCAGCTTGTTGGAGTCGGCACAGGAGTGGGGTAAGCACTCGCGCACTTTGTGACGCACCCAATCGGTGAGTGGCTTGCTATTCGTTCTTGGCACGAAGGCGTTGTGCATGTCGTAGTCCGTTTGCAGCTCCCAGATGGGTGGGCCCACTGTGGATATAGGAAAATGGGACGTCGAAGAGGACTGACAGGAGAAGTATACTCACACTTTGTCAGGCTGGGCTTGTATATCCCCAGAAAGATGTTAATGCTGTGCTGCTTCTCGGTATCGCTGAACGTGTTGCTGTAGTAGCGACTAAGGGTCTGCATCACGTCACTGCCCTGGGAGCCCCAGGGAGCCGTCTTGCGGTACGTCTTGATCCGGTGCACAAGCTGGGATCCGCCGTACTGTAGGGCCAGAGTGTCGCCGTGCTCTTCGTAAAGATTTTCCAGCATTGTAACGCAATCCGAGTCGAACTCCAGCTTGGCGGACTTTACGAATCCCAGACGCTCCAGCTGATGGCCCAAGGCGCACTTTCCGATTGCAAACTGGGCCGAGTTAGTGCGATCCAAGCAGTCTACACAGTTCGTACGCACGATGCCCGTTTGGAGGCCTAGGTCGGTGGCAGGCGCCTTGAAAAACATTCCCGTCTGCTGGATAATGCTCTCGGCGTGAATGGCCAGCTGCTCCATGACATTGCCGCCGCTTAGGCGACTCTGGCGCGCCATATCAAAGTGAATGTGCTTCATGCGGTGCGGCGGCGGCAGGAACTGGTTCAGGTATCGAATGCTGTACTCCAGCTCCTTGGAGATGATCGACTCGTGCTTGCGTTTCTCTCGCTTCTTGACCAGATTAAGCATTATAAGCGGCGCTCCGTAGTGGAAGAGCAGGCGCTCGAAGTGCAGGGAGGGCGTCTGCGCGTAGGGATCGCATATGTCCAGCTGGATCTGCGGCTTTGGCACCATCTTGCTGATGTCCTGCGACCAGTGCGATGGAATGGAACCGCGCATCTGGGTAAACGCGCACATCCGCTGCCCGTCGCTGACGATCTGCTCCGTCTCCACCTCATTGGCCACATCGCCTTGGAAGTTGGCTCCGCGCTTTAGGAACCGAGTGCCGGCGAAGCGTGAACTCCGCCTGGCTATCAGGCAGACATTAACATGTCGTCCGAAGATGCTAATGCACGACTGGCTGACGAAGCCGTGGGTTACTTCCAGCAACCAGTCCTTCAGCATGATGCCCTCCATCGGCTGCAACAGATAGGCATTCCACACGAACCGCTTGCGGGAATCACTGCGAAATGCATAGTCCACCCGCTCGTGCGTTTGCTCCACGTTGTTGGTCAACGAGTTCCAGTCGGGCAGCGGCTCGTCCCTATCTAGGTCCACCTTTGCACCAACGAAACGAGGCGCCGACTCGTTGTACTGCAGCGTCCGCGTCAGGTCGTACGAGTACGAGAAGTAAAAGTTGCTGCGCAAATCGATGTTCTGGAACATACGCTTGTAACGAACTTCGTTGGGATGCGGCGGCCGTTGGGAGGTCACTTCGTTTACGCGCACCATCACCGTATCCTTGATGGTGTAAACCAGATGGCGGCCAATGTGGGCACAGCACTTTCGCTTGGTCACCAGCAGCAGGTAGTAGCCCTCCAAGAAGCGCACGAACCCGAGCACACCATAGGCGGACGTCACCTTTGGTGAGCCGGTGAGGGAGGCCACAAAGCGCCTGATCTCCTGGCTGTTAAACTCGTTGGCATTCTCCTCGATGCTTAGGCGGTTGTGCGCCAGTCGGTCGATAGTGAGCAGACGGAATCTCGTCTCCCGGTTGTTGCTGCCCACCAAATAGAGACGCTGACGAAAAAAGAGCAAATGCTTAGTCACAGAACCGAAGCTGGATAGTTATTACCCACCGTACGCGTCTCATACAGAACAACCTTCTGGATGCAGCTAATCAGAGGATTAAAAACTATATTTTTAGTATACTTTTCCATTAATTATGTTGTTTTTTTACGTATTTTTAAACACAATTTCAATATTTTTTCCTACGCTTCCCATAAACATTGATCAGCTGATGGGGATTAGAATGTTAGTGATGACAGCGTGACGCTGATTAACATTCATCATTGCATTAAACACCCTGTTTATTCGACACTTGTGATGTTATTTTATTTATTAACAAGTTTGTAAGATATACAAATATATACCCTAATAATATGTTCATTAATCAATATTTCTCAATCATGAGTTGGAATGTGCCTTACCAGCGATCTTCTTTGCTTAAAGGCACTAGAACAGCGGGGACACTTGAATGATCTCTTCGAGCTGTGCGTCAGCATGTGATTCCGGAGGGTGTTGCTCAGACTGAAGGACTTGGGGCACTTGGAGCACTTGAATGGCCTTTCACCGGTGTGCGTTCGAATGTGCTCCTGGAGATGATGCTTTTGTTGAAACGATTTCGAGCACTGGGAACACTTAAATGGTCTTTCGCCAGTGTGTGAACGGAGGTGATTCTCCAAATGACATTTCCTTGAATAACTATTCGAGCACTGGGAACACTTGTATGGCTTAACACCTGAGTGAGTGCGGACATGTCGCTGCAAATCAGACGACTTAACGAAGGTCTTGCTGCATTGGGAACATTTGAACGGACGCTCTCCCGTGTGCGTCCTGATGTGTGACTGCAGAGTGGCGTCTTGTGCGAAGCCCTTCGAGCAGTGGGTGCATTTGTAGGGTCGCTTGCCTGTGTGTGTGTTCATGTGGACCTGCAGCTGAATTTTAGCACGGAAAACCCTTGGGCAGTGAGTGCAGGAGTATGGTTCTGGTCCGCCCACCAAGTGCATCCGCATGTGCTTCAACCAAGGAAGTCTCCGCTTATAGATCTTCCGGCAGTCTTTACATTCAAAGGAAGCCTCTTCATCAAGATTTTCTGCTTGATTATCGTCATTATTGTTTTCACTGTCGCTATTGTTATCGCCATCAACCTGCTTTACGTTTTTCCATTCGTCCTCACTGTCCGAAAAATCCCAGTCCTCTTTTTCGAGCAAGGCACACAAGGCTTCCTCAATGCCTTCATCCCGCACTTGGCAAAAGAACTGGTGGCTTTTTTCGCATGTCTGCCATATATTAAACGCATTTTGCGCATCCTTTAGGCAGGCCGGGCAAATGGTTTCCGGGTAGGGATCGCCGCGTCGAACTTCAAAGCCGGTGCACTGCGCTATCATGTCGGCAATGGAAATTCGAGTCCGACGTCTGGCATCGAATATGTTAACCAAGTTTCTGGTGCAGCTTCCCAGGCAAACGCGACAGATCCCCTCCATGGCTCTGTCAATTGAAATTTTTAAAATACATAATATTCATGAAAATATGGCAATTACCTGGATCGCTCATCTATAAACTAATAAAACTTTTTTCTAGTTGTTTTATGTATATAGTACACCGAATACCCTGTGTCGATGTAATCACTGTTAAATGAAACCTATCGGACTGCCAGTTTGTTTAAGTTGTTACATTTTTGAAACTGGAAAGTCGAGTCGTAATTGTATAACGATCCTCTCCCGCAAATAAAAATGCAATTTTGACTTTTCTGTATGGTTCGACCACTTAATTAAATAATAACATTATCAATATTTTATTTATATTTAAGAGAATGACAACCTGTATGAGTTAACAAATGTCTGCGAAGACTCCTCTTTATGGAAAATGTCGTCGAGCAGTGAGTGCATTCGAATGACTTCGTCTGGCTGTGCGTTTTCATGTGATCTCTTAGCGTTGCAGTCTGTCTAAAGGACTTGGAGCAATTGGACCATTTGTAGGGTCGCTCGCCGGTGTGCGTACGGCTGTGAACTTGGAGTGTGGTATTTAGCGCAAACGTTTTGGAGCAGTGTAGGCAGGAGAACGGTCTTTCACCCGTGTGGATCTTCATGTGATCCTGCAGATGGGCCTTTCTCGTAAATGTCTTTGAGCAATCAGAGCACTTGTGCGGCCGAACACCTTCGTGGGTTCGTATATGCCGCCGAAGATCCGATGACTTGGAAAAGGACTTGGAGCACTGGTCGCATTTGTACGGCTTCTCGCCGGTGTGCGTCCGAATGTGTGACTGCAGAGTGGCACCTTGTGCGAAGCCCATCGAGCAGTGGCTGCACTTGTAGGGACGCTCACCAGTGTGGGTGTTCATATGTACCTGCTGCTGGAGTTTAGTTCCAAATGACTTTGCGCAGAGATCGCAGGGGAAGTTTTTATAATGCGATCTCCTGTGTCTCAGCCATTCCACTCTTAGCTTGAAGGTCTTGCTGCACTTGCTACACTGAAAAGGCGAATCCTTGCCGTTGGTCTTTGCATGATGCGTTTTCGAGTTCTTTGATTCATTTTCAGACAATTCCCAATCCTCTTCCTCGAGCAAGGCACACAGGGCTTTCTCAAAACCCTCATCGCGAACCTAACAGAAGAACTGGTGGCTCCTCTCACTGGTTTGTCGTATCTCAAAAGCATTTTGTGCATCCTTCAGGCAGGTCGGGCAAATGGTTTCCGGGAAGGAATCGCCGGGATTAACTTTGAAGCCTGTGCACTGCGCGATCATGCTCGCTATATCCAGATTTTGGCTTCCATTGAAAATGTCAATGAGGTCTTTGGAACTTTTCAAGCACAACCGGCAGATTTTATTGTGCATGGTCCTTAAGTAATAAAAAACATATGTATGTTACTTTGTTTTCAACATTAAAAATAATTAAAATACCTTGACTTTGTAATAATTCCATTCCAGGCTGGGTTATACATGTGCGGTTATAGCATTACACAAGGTGCTGTTAAGCGCCTAGGGATCTTACAGTGACCTATGTAAAAGCATATGATCTTTTGCTGGACACTTGCTCCTTGGGCCATTTTATGTGCAAAATTAATACCCTTACTAGCTAAAGAAAAGAACAAGAATTTGGCAAGTATTCATATACTTTCTGCTGTTTCGTTAATTTCCTTTGATCAAAATCGTTTAATAAATAATAATAATAATAGTTACGAGTCCCAAAAAAATACGTAACCTATTCATTAAAACTATAAAATTATTGTTTGTTTTTATTGTCTCTTAAGCTTTTAAATTAGCAAAATGAATACTCGATGAGCTTTTCTGATTAAAAAAATTATATATCCTATTATTGCAAGAAGTCAGTATGGGGTTGATTAAATTTTATTGACAATTATTAGTATCAATTAATGTTAATTTAAGGCAATCTTGTTTAACAAATTATATTACAATTCGACTGGAAACTGTACTTCTCCTTTCAACATGACCACTCCAGAAGGATTCACTTTTACTTTGATTTTGGTATTGGGATACAAAACTCCGTAATCGACATTCTCGTAAAGGTCCTGAAAGATTTTGAAATAAGTGAATTACTTGCTCTAAACCATTATTCACCACCGATACCTACCTCAACTCTGTATCCAGAGAAATTGATTAGCCCGAGCTCTTTCAAGGTTACGGATATATCTGAAGGCGTTCCGTCGGTTCTTCGATTCACAAAGGCGATTGCGTAGGAGTAAAAGTTTTGGTATAGCGGTCCGATAGGTCTCGACCAAATCTCAATTCCCTTGTGCTTATAAATCCGTCTTCCCTGTATACCAAGCGGATCCTGATCCACGGCAATTATTTTTCTATTTTGCAGGATATGCTTAAATTGCGGACGAATCGTTCGCAAATCCACAGACATCAAAAGTGGAGCAGCCAAGATGGACCAAATGGCGAATTGGGTTTTTGCTTGTTCATAGCTTAAACCAAAGTTTCCAATAATTAACTGAAATATAATAATGTTTCATGAATAGAAGAATATTAGATAAACTAAGCTTACCATATCTGGATCGTTCCAATGGCCAGGACCAGCATTAGGAGCTATCAAGTCCTGATTATTGCCATAATAATCGATAATATTTTCGACAGACGCCCACGAGTCCTGTATATCATCGTAATTTCTCCACAAGTTGCAATGGGATTGTATTGCCGAATAATTAGGCTGGATTCCAGCATATATTTGATAAACTGGCCAGCTGCAGGAGTATACCATTTGTTTTCCGGTCGCATTTAGGAGTCTTCCAAAGTTCGTATACCCCCTGTCCATATTGTAGGGCAGCGCATAGCAACCATCTAACTTTACGTAGTCCACATTCCAGTCAGCAAACAAATCGGCGTCCTTTTCCTCATAACCAATAATGCCAGGATATCCTGCGCACGTATAATTCCCATAGTCCTCGTAAATGCCGAATTTCAGTCCTCTAGAATGAATCTTTAAATAGATATAAATATATTTTGATTAGTGTTTCGAAATTAATTGGTCTTAGATACTCACATAGTCTGATAAAGCTTTCATTCCATTGGGAAAACGTTTCCGATCTGCCACCAATTTGCCATCATGGGCTCGATGTTTTTCCAGCCAGCAGTCATCAATATTAATATATTCGTACCCCACTGATGCGTATCCATCAGCGACTACTATATCAGTCATGGTTTGAAATAGTTGTTCGCTTAAATAAAAACCAGACAAATAAATTAAGTATTAAATACATATTGAATTGTATACATTTACCTTATACAATTATCTGGATCATTGACACAATCGGTATTGCATCGAAATCTTTCCCAGGAAAGCCATCCCATCGGTGGGGTTCTTGCAAGGCCATTGTCTAGGCAGTTGCACAAAGAGCTACTTACTAAAATAATCCATGCAATAGATAACATTGTACTCTAAAAATATAAAAATAAAGTTAACATTATACATATGTAAAAATCTGCAAATACTCTTATTTCAAATATTGTATTTTAATTATAATTTCATTGGTTTTGATGAATGATTACCAACATTAAGTAATTATAATATTAATCAAAAAATAAAACTCGTATAATACTTATTATTTTCTGATTTTTATTTTAAAACTCAAAATTATTACTGTCCGTTACAGTATGTATATTAATATAATATTTATTAATATCATCAGTTTTTAAAGATTGCAAAACGAAAACTTATCCGATTCACGAGATATCACACGAGATGGAACGGTGGGATTGTGGAAGACTGGCTTTAACAAAGTGGCAAGAAATGGCAACGCTGTTAAAGCCAGGCTCTCGGCTTCGTCGAACAATGGCCAAAGAAGGGAAGAGAGACAAAGAGAATAAGGTCTGGGTCTGTAGAAGAGAAGAGTTGAAACTCTAATTGATTTGAATATCGAAATTGTTCTCACATCATGAAATCCGCCACTCATGTTTATAAAAAGAAAGTACTCAAGCGTACATTAACTCGCTACATTTTGTTAATAATAATATCAAAATATGATACACTGCCGTATACATATATGAGACTTTATGTTTATTAAAATAAAACAGCTAAACTGATCTATCAAAAAGAGTTAATATATAAATTTTACTACAATGTTTACGCACTCTTGGCCAAATTAAATTGCTTGCCAATTTTATCCCGTACATACACTTAAAAGAAAAAAATAAACTAGTTTGTGAACAGAAATGTATAGTACATACCAATGATTTCTATTTGTATATTTGCAGCGCAATTAAGTAATTGAGTTTTCCGCATTTAAGGCGGTTTCTCCAAGCCAAATAAGTTGATTTGGCCTTAAGTAGTAAAAATTGCTGAATTGGTAAATCAAAATTCCTTTTAAGGTTTTATTCAGGGCTTTAAAGGGCCATACGTATTAAAAGTTATAAAATGATACAATGCCATTTCGAACGCGCCCAGCTGGAAGCTACTAACGAATTAATTATGTTGCTTTGTTTACTCAAAAACTTGGGCTAATATGTTTTGTATATATCCACAGATTAATAAGATGATAAGAAACCTGTTTCAAGTGAGAGAATAACGTAGCATAATTGCTGTGGTTAAAAATAACAATAAAGTACATAGCAGCCGCTTTCATTTATTTGTTACCATTATTAAACAAAATTTTACTTGTGTGCTTTTTTCTTAATTTTGTTTTCCCCCACTTTTTAATATTATAAAGCCTTAGGAATATAATATCTATATATGTTATTTCATTACTTTAATTAAAATTGTCAAATGCTAAATAGTGGACTTAAATTAAATACAATATCTGTTACATTCAATCGTTTAATTAACTTCAAGGTGCTTTATAATATTTTTGTCTCGAATAAATTGGCACTTGTGCTCGTATTCCAATAACGACTCTTCTAGCTTTTCAAACTCCGAGAGCACACTCTTGTTGTTTTTCCTGATTTGTCTCATAAGCTTTTCCATAATGGTCGTGTCTTCTTCGGCAATACCTGAAGGAAAAATAAGTTAATCATGTATTTATTTAATATATAAATGATAAATCTGAAATGATACACTTACGTTCTTGCTGATGTATGGCCGGAGTTCCGGTCGAGATGGTGGAAAGATTAGAACGACCAATTTTCTCACCGCTTTCCACAAACTGAGCTATAACATTTCTGAACTTTTCGGGTATGAGAAACAGCCGGTCGACATTTCCCTTCTTGTAGCACAGGTAAGCGCTTTTCATTTGAAACCATTTCCTTCTTATTTGTGTGGGCGACTTGTTTGGAAATCCATGTTTTTTCATTTGATTGGCAATTTGAATAAATGTGTATTGCGTTGTGCTCGTGGACAGAGCGCCCTGGCAGTTATTGACCTCCTTTATCAAATTGAGCATGCACTCAATTTCGGCGGACACCCAAAAGTTTCGTTTAAGTTTTTCGGACTTCATTATTTAAGATAAATATAATAAAATGTTTACAAATTTGTATTATCAAAATGTGTGACCGCACTTGGAAACCCATAAATTCCCTGGAATAGCTTGAAATGGAGTTGAAACAAATTTATAGAAACAACTGTGGGTTAATATTAAATTGCAGAAATAATAAGAATATTAAAATTGTTTATAATTACAAAAGGTTAAACTTAATAAACTGTAAATAGCAAAAATATTTTTTTAACATTTGCCTAAAAAATGTATTTACTGGTCACACTAATTTTGATAATCGATAGACGCACGCCTGTTGCTTTCCCCCCTGTGTCAAATTTTATAAAATATTTTCAGGGTTAATTTGTTTTAAAAAGAAGTAGGATTAAAAGGTAAAGTACTTGCATTGCCGAATATTATCACGTTGCCACACTTGCGCATATTAATTATCGGCATTCAGAGTGTCCTTTGTCGATTCTAATCATTGTTTACATATTTCCAAATCCAGAAACGTGCTGGCCGATAAGACTGTAAATAATGGAGTCCAAATATATGGCCACAAATGGGGGCGGCAGCGCTACCTCGGTTAAATTCTCCATAAAGCGCAAGCATGAGGCTATGGCAATCAGTCCTATTATGGATAAGAAGATGCACCTGACGACGACTTTGCCACAACAGAATAGGCAGACGACTGCTCCTGTTCTGCTGACCAGCAAGCGAGTCACCATCGAGCAGCACCAAAAGTCGCTGCCCGTCTTCAATTGCCGCCAGAGAATTCTCAAAGAGTTGGAGCTCAACGACACGGTGTTGATCATGAGTGAGACGGGCTCGGGCAAGACCACACAGATTCCACAGTTTCTGTTGCATGCGGGCTACGCCAAGAGCGGCATGATTGGGATCACGCAGCCACGACGAGTGGCGGCTATTACCGTAGCTAGGCGCGTTGCCCAGGAGCTGGCTGGCGGCATAGGCGACACTGTGGGCTACACAGTTCGTTTTGAGGATGTCACCTCGAAGCGTACCAAAATCCGTTTCCTCACAGACGGCGTCCTGTTGCGGGAATCGATAAAGGATCGACTACTGCTCAAATACTCTGTTATAATTTTGGATGAGGCTCACGAACGCACCGTGAACGCCGACTTGTTGTTTGGCATTGTGAAGGAAGCCCAAAAAGAGAGGCGGAGACAGAAATTGGGCAGCCTAAAGGTCGTAGTCACATCCGCCACCATGGATATCGATCATTTCGGAAAGTATTTCAATTGCCGCGGAATGTATCTGGAGGGCAGAACGTATCCCGTTCGTGTGATGCATGCGAAGGAGAAGCAGGACGATTATGTCCACTCTGTGCTGGTAACGCTCTTTCACATCCACCGCACCACGCCAAGAAAGTAGGTAGACTTGATAAAAGTTTTTTAAGTTACTTTGTTTTAATTTACCCGAAAGTCACACACTAAATGCTAGCATTTAATGTTACAGCCATGACGTTTTAATCTTCCTAACAGGGCAAGAGGAAATTGAAGCACTAGCCCATCAAATACGTCAACTTGCCAAGGTAATTGTTCTTCTTAAATTGGCACAACATATACAAGACTATTCACAACGTCTTCTCACTTTTAGATCGACCTCAATGGAACTTCGGATCTCCGCGTTTACACATTGTACGCCCAATTGTCGCAGGCCAAGCAATTGGAGTGCTTTGCACCGACTCCGGCCAACGTCCGGAAGGTGATATTGGCTACAAATATAGCTGAAACCTCAATTACCATACCGGGCATCCGGTGTGTCATTGATTGCGGCTTTGTGAAGGAGAAATCGTTCAACTCCGCCGACGGTCTGGATGTCCTTAAGTCGGTACGCATATCCCAAGCTCAAGCCTGGCAAAGAACCGGTCGGGCAGGTCGTGATTCGGCCGGAACTTGCTATCGAGCGTATACAAAAGAGGAAATGGAATCGTTTCCAGAGGCCACCCAGCCAGAAATACTACGTACAAACCCTACGGCCATGGTGCTTCAACTTCTAGCCCTGGATATAGACTGCAATAATTTTGATTTTCTGGACGCTCCGTCGGAAGAGGGCCTGAGAAGCGCGTACAAAAGCCTGGACGCTCTGGGGGCCATCAAGATTGGTTCTGTGTCGTATATAACGCCATTGGGCCGTCAAATGGTGCAGTATCCTTTGGATCCGAAATACTCCAAGCTTTTGCTAACGGCACCAACGTTCGGCTGCATGGAAGAAGTCCTGAGTCTAGTCTCCGTCCTCTCCAGCGATCATGTCTTTATCTCGAACAGCGATAAGAACGAAATGGCGGCCCTGGCTCATGCCAAGTTTCAGTCTAAACACGGAGACCACCTAACGCTCCTCAATGTATTTAATGCATTTTTAAAAACTGAAAAACCAAAGGTATGTATGTGGTGGCATTAAAAATTTAGTAATTAGTTGAATTTAGTGGTATTAATATTAATATATCTTTTAATTGCAGGTGTGGTGTCACGACAACTATTTAAATCTACGTAGCTTAACTTACGCTCGAAATGTGCGCCGTCAATTGACGGAAATAAGCACGGGATTGGATTTGGCTTTAAACAGCTCTGATGATATCGAAATGTTGAAAAAATGTATTTTAAATGGGTTTTTTGAAAATATTGCTGTCCTACAAAGGGATGGATTTTATTTAACCGTTTCCGGCAACATCCGAGCCAAAATTCACCCATCGAGTGTCCTTCACGGCAAGTACAAGCCGAACTATATAATTTTTACGGAAATTGTGCAGACAGAACAAACATTTCTGCGTCAGGTCTCGGAAATATCCATTGAATGGATTCAGGAGATTGTGCCGTTCGTTAAAAATATACCCAAAAGATGAAAAATAAAGTACAAACGTTTTTAAGAAACTCAATCAAATGGAATATGGTTGTTTTCTTTGGTATTCGAGTCTTTTTATTACGTTTAACGAAAAAATAACAATACAGGTAACAAAAAAGAAATACGTAAAGACCACAGATACGTTTAGATTATTTATTTTACCTTAACCAGTTAACATTTAAAATATTCTTTTGAGATTATTGCAATATAACTAATGTGTATTCATCTATAGAATTCCCGCGAGGGCTGTCTCCTGATCGAGAGCAGCCTGTCTATGGTACCTAAGCCTAGCATTACTTACAGGAGCCCCTGCAATAAAGAAAACAATTAATATTTTGAGGCTTATGTACAAATATATAACTTACCAATATAACTTAATAAGACCGGCAGGAATATCAGGCCATGCGCCGCTCCAATTACAACTATTCCCAAATACATGCGAAAATAAAATACTTGAAATATTTGACTTTTTGCAAAAGCCAGCACCAGGATGCCTGCAAATTTGGTCAGCGTGATGCCGGAAAAAATGGAGCTGCCCATTTTCGACAGACTATCTGCCGCTCGATCGATCTGACTGATCGACTTCGATATGGAGAAGCTGTGCACCAAGTGCGAGCAGAACTCGACCGATATTCCGACGGCCATAACGAGATTAACTAAGGAAACTGCGTTCAACGAAATATTCCAATAATACATAAGGCCACCTAAATTAACAACGATCATCGTTATAGTGATCACAACAACTAGCGCGGAATGAACGTCGAAGCCCATCAAAATGAAGGTAACAACGAATATGGAAAGTACGGAGATACCCATGCTCTGCAGCGTGTCCGACCACATGGTCAGATATTGTTCGTAAAAAACATAGAATACTGAATAGGGGAAAACTTCGACGGTCAGAGCCGACTCTATAGGAACTCCGTTCGACATTAGTCTGCCCTGCAACATCTGGGTGATGTTCGACGATATCTTTCTGGCCGATTCCAGTGCCAGAAAATAGTCGGCCGATGTCTTTAGTATCGTATGATAGGCCATAAAATAGGACGTTTCAATGTTCAGTCGTTCACTGGTGGAGGAGTAACGAACACCTCCGCCATAGGCCGCATGACCGGCCTTGGCGCACGAGTCATCGGGATTATCCTTGAGAAAGAAGGGCAGGAACTTTTCAAAGCTCTGCTCGTCTGGCCGCTGAAGCGAGTTCTTCCCGATCACACATCGCGAACAGGATGTATCTGAAATAGTTGGAAAGACTGCATTAAAAGCTTATCCCCGGTTATTACTTCTTCAAGCTCACCTTGATGTGGACAAAAGTCGCCGTTGGCAGGATTGAATTTGCAGCAGGAGGGCGCCGCCGACCAGTCAAAGTAATCATCCATCCAACTGGACGCCGGACGGGCGATGTACGTTCGATTCGAGTGCCGGCTGGCCAGGTATATTTGAGTCAGGACGCTGTCGTCGTTGCAATATCGACCGGCACACACTAAGTTCTGAACCGACGTATTAGTGTAGGTCAAGTTGCCTTTTAGGACAAAGTACACTGGCGGTCCAATGTTTAGATTTTCGTTCAGAGACTGGAAATAGTGCAGGACAAAGCTGTCTTCGGGCATGGCCAGTTCCTGATCGAGACCAATGTCTATTTTGGGCGCGATGGCAATGCTAAAGCAGAGCCAGGCGAAGAATATGACCATTACGCTGGCCCGCACCACCTTCTTCATAAGGAACGGAACGTAGACACTACTGAAAAACTTGTACAAAAGTCCCTCCTCGTTGCTAGCAACACTATCGGGCTTCTTCCCCTTGATGAAACAGCAAATGTCCATGCGATTCTCCTCCTTTCTCCTGGTATCCAGGGTGAAAAGGCTAACAAAACATGTTATTTGCAGTAAGAAGTCAATGATCAGGGCGACACCGGCGTACAGGGCAAAAGCCCTTACTGCCGGCATATCGGAAAGTCCGCCGAGAAAGAAGCAAAAGCTCTCGCTCAACGATGTGAGCAGCATACTGGGACCCACACGACCCAGTATTCGGCCAACTTGCTGCTCCAGCGTTTCATTGGGTTTGCGCTGGTCGCGCTGATGCGTTTGGACCAGAATGAAGATGTTGTCCACGCCGACGGCCAACACCAAAAAGGGTATAACCTCGACAATAATCAGCGTGGCCGGCAGCCCGACGTAGCCGAATAGGCCAACGGATGATACCACCGATGCCAGGACAATGATGACACCACCAATGCCCAACGTAATCTTGCTGTCAATGAAAACTCGCTTGAACTCCTTGACATGGCCCAGCGATATCGCAATGTACATGAACATTATGAGATAGGAAACCAATATCGTTAGGACATCTGACTGCGATTCCCTATTGAGTTCGTCCTCGATCGATCTTTCCGAAGTGAAGGCAATGTCCATGTGCTCGGTTCTGCTACTGTTCTTTGTATAGTTGGTCATAAACTCAATAAACTTTTTCTCCCACTGCAGGGCCTTCTGCAAGTCCGTCCTGTTATGATGATTCCTCACCAGAAAGGTCAAGATCAAGGCGTTTGCTTGCTCGTACTTTGTGTTTCCCGTTAGCTGGTCACCGGGCTTGAGGAATCCACCCAGGGCTATGGCCGGATCAACAGGACCGCCGTAAGGAGCCAGACATAAGTACGGATTACTCATACACTGATACAAATTATCCAAGTAGGTGACCTGAAATTAAAATTGTTTGTTTACAACCCAAGAAACTAAATAAAGCTTAGTGCTACACTCACATTAAAGCCATTATCCTCATCGTTGTCGTCCAGTCGCTCGACATCATCTTGAAAGTAACCCCAAATCGATTGCACCACACAACTCGAGTCCTCTATTTCGTTTTCATCATCCGATAGCGGTGCAAAGCATATATCCTTTAGCATTGTCCCGTTGGCATTTATTTTCCTGATGCCCTCTTGCAGGTTCAACACATTGGTCAAAAACTCTCTATCGAAGACGGGACCAAACGTTAACGGGCCGTTCGAGGTGTTGTGAACAATTTGTGGCAGATTCACCGCTTTGATAATGACCTACAAAAGAATTGTCAAGGATTGAATATAATCTATCCGAAATCTTTTATTATTACCTGCTCCAGCCGATAGAATGGCGCAAATTTGGTGTCAAAAAACTCCCGCTCAAGCCGCGATTTTGAATTAGGCGACGCCCATAGCTTAACCGGATCGGTTGTTATGTCGATGTAATTAATGCCGTAGCCCAGAATTACGACCAGCGAGGCACCAGCGAATAAAGTCATCCAGGGATTGCTGGCAAAGAATGTGCCCCATTTGGTGAATACATTTTGCAGTAACGTTTCCGTTTGAGCTCCCAACTTGTCGAAATATGAATCGTTCTCTCTGAAAGCTTGTTCATCCGAGACATCATTCCCATCGATTTGAAAGCTGTCGTCTAAAGGAAGAAAAACGTTGCATTTACTTTATTAAAACTTCAATTATTGATTGTGGGAAGTAAAAGAAGGTGAAGCCTGTGCGTTTTGGTAATTGTGTAAACTTTTAAATGTTTTCAAAGGTTGATAGCAGTTAAGAAATTATAAATTGTATGATTCTGTCTAAAACTTACCCATCGACGAACTTTGCGTAAAGAGAAACGATCCCATGAGGAATACCAAAACTCCCACAATAAATACGGCAGCCATGATAACGAAATACGGGTCTTGACCGGCGATTTTGAATGGCTCTGGCGGCGGCGGTTCGGGCGGGGCCTGAGGACAGGATAGGTCACAGTCCGAACACGAGCAGGCGGGCAGTTTGCTCTATAATAAATAATTCGAACAATATGTATAACATGAAATTATAAACAATTATCTCAGCTACTTACGTTGACCGCCTGGTTGCAAGGTATGGTCTTTGGATTGGTAGGCTTGAAATCATCGCTCTTGTCCTTTGGCTCATGCTGTATGTACGTTATTTGAAAAGGAACATATGGGCTAGTAGCGTCTCCCATAAAGTTGAACCATTTTGTGGGATTGCAACGGGATGCTGGGTACGAACCGCACATTAAGTCGAAAGCTAATTGACCTGTTTGCGGTACAGAAACCTAAGCAATGTGAAATACAAGTATTTAGCAAAATGTATTCTTAGTTTTATAGGAAGATAAGAAATACCTGAGAGCATGATTTGTAAGTCTTATTAATATACTCCGTCGATATATGCAAATCTACGGCGCTGATGTAGGAAATAGCTAAAATGCAAAGATAATTGACGTCAGTTTAAAATTTGTAGAAGTACGTAAACCTTAAGTAAATTAGGGTTAACACATAAACTCTGAACTTAGTCATTATTACTCGAACCTTTTTTATTTTTTTTCGTTGCCGCCACATGCATAAAATCAGATTGCTGTGAGGAACATGTGAACTGGCAGATGTGCCGAACCAGGTTCTCCATGCAGGACGGACATCGATCCAAAAAATTGGCGGCCAGCTTAACGTTTTTATTTAAAATTTCCACCTGTAACAAACATAATTTATAGCAGAGTATGTTGAACATAATAGCAGTTGCGGTTTTTTCACCTGTTGCTTGTCACAGCAAAATTGATTGCCACTATTCTCCATCAAAAATCCACATCGCTCTTTCAGCAACTCCAAGCCGTCCTTAGGCATTTCCTTGGCTGTGCCATTGTACGGACAGTTTTGACTGTGGCCAGTCTCCTCGGTATTACAAACGCCATACCAAACACAGTCCTTAAAGTACATTAAATACATAAACCATTTAAAAAGAAGTTGTTTATAAAAGTCGTAAAAGAAAATCGAATAACTATTCGAGTGTATTTGGTCTACAGAGATCACACATAAACCTAACCAATAACCTTTTCAGTCATATAATGTTATGACCATATAAACTATGAATTATGATGTTTATCGAGCGAGAAAGTCCAATATGTTATATTAACAAAAATATCACAACTCATAAACATCGAATTATATATCTGTGTATCTATGCTTATATACCCTTGGAGTTGCAATCCAAAAAAATAGGTAGATTTTTATATGATCATTTTTTGGACAAATTCTAAATTTTCAAAATGTAATAACTAAGTTAAAAATTAATTCATTTCGATTCGGAAAGCTTTCCTCTGCTAGTTATTAAAAGTTTAACAAATCTGCATACTCAAGCCAAAAATTCATTAAATTCAATTCGGAAACCTGTTCTATGCTAGTTTTTAGAAGGTTAATAAATCTGCATACTCAATTTAAGATGTTAAAAAATTTATTTTTTTTACAAAAATTTAAATCAAAAATTTGGAAAATTAAAAAAAAAATCAATTTCAGCCTGACATAGCTAGATCGAATCAGCTGTTGATGCTGATCAAGAATATATATGGCTTATAGGGTCGGAAATGACTCCATGGAATAATTAAATCGATGTTTCTCCACCTCTAACTCGAATGTATATTTCGTACTTTTAACACACTCCACAGCCAAATTGAACTATTATTTGGGCTGTTGGAAAGGAAATTAGCTTACATCTGTTTTGACTCACTCAAATTTATTTTTACGTGTTTATTAGTATATTATTGATGACGTCAAGCCTGCAGCAGGTATTCTTAAACAATTGAGAACAGATGTCAGGCGCTTTTCGCGGGCAATATCAGGAAAATTAACACAGTCTTATTCAGCTTACAATGATTAATATTTTGTAATGCAAGTTCATGTTTTCCCCTACGTTTAAAGTTTTTTAGTGTTTAAAGGCTCCAAACTTGAAACCTTAGTCAAAGGTAGTATTGAAGCGCTTTTAACTGCACTTACCTGTTTTGATAATTGAATTAAAGTGCAGAATACAACGGCGAAGAGGATGTGCACTCCGAAAGCGGTACTCCTGAGTGGAATTGTTGACCGCATTCTATCACAATTGCATATCTGAAAATATATATCAAACGTAATTTTAGAAAACAATATTGTAGACAATAAAAAACCAATGCAGTACACTCTTTGATCGCTTCAGATCCCAGTTCCCTTCGGATGCTGAACCGAAAATAATTCCCTCCGTTAGTTATCTGTTGTGTTCATGCAAAATCTGATTGAAATTCAGAGAAGAAAGCGATTTTCGAAGCAATTATATAAACATTTATTCGCGTAATGGATATAAAGCGAGTCGGTGTATCCGGCTGTTGAAACACTTGGGATCTGAGAATGGAAGTTCCACCAAGACTCTCCAGATGCCCCGCAAAATTCGGAATAATTCCTTTTGACATGAAACTTAAGCGATGAGCTGGTTTATCGCTAGGTTTTAAAGTCCATTCTGTCTGAATATTATTAGTATAATCATGAGCTTTTATGGTTGGATAGGCTCTTTTTTTAATTGCCTGTTCAGCTAATTTCCATGACAATTAGGTTTAAAACAAAACTAAGATCATATTTTTAGTATAATGTTTGTATTTTATGGTTAATGTTTTTAAATTATAGATGGAAGGTCACGTTTATATGATAAATTTATAAATTAGATACTCAACAATAAGCATACTTTTATAGAATTAAAAATGATAGGAACTTTGTGCATTTAAGTCGCAAATCAAAAATCCTGATAATCCATGCACAACAAAAATAAAATACAAAGAAAGTTGAATGGCTTCATATCAAGGCAAAGTCTGGCTTTTGAGTCACAATAAGAAAATAATCAGTTCATTCATTTTAGTAATAGGAGCCATTAGTAACCACTTCGCACATTTAAGAGTAAATATCAATAACGAAGAATGATAAAACTATGTACATTCGTACATACAGCTGGACCGCCAAGGGAGTTAACGGGGCTGGCTTTTCGCCCTTGGACAATAATATGCTATATTTCGCGCTAAATCACATTGCCCGGTAACTGGTTAAGGCTAAAGCTACTGCGAAACTGATGATGCAACTAGTGGCCCGGTAGTGGAATGGGTAATTTTATTATGGAGTTTACATACACGCATACATACATACGTACTTATGTGCATTATGTACAACAGCTGACGGTGCACTAGCCGATACTACCTCGATAGCACTTTTCCACAGCAATACGCAAATGATGTAGCAACCGCGGGGGAAAAAAAATTCCGCAACGGATCCAATGTTTTATGTATTTGTGCTGTTGCTGCTGCCTCAGAGTCTTATTGATATGCGGGTGTCACTGCATTCTTAAATATGACACACGGACCTTGTAGACCGATGATAAAAGGCACGCAAGTTCACCTCAAACATGCTAGCCAGCTCACTTTCAGCAAATCGTTAATTGTAAACATCAGTATTGCGCCGAGCCAATAAAAATGTTTTCTTTGTTCCTCATATTCGTCTATACATCCCTAGGGATGTGTGTGTGCGTGTGCATGTGTATGAAGTCACCTTAGAAAGGTTCCTTTATTTAATTAAATCAAACACTTTCGCTAGCAGCCAGCACTGAAATTTCACTTTTTTTCCACAATATTTTGTTGATTGATTGTTGTCGCAAGTACATATCACTATCCACTAGATTTAACGAGTGAGTCACGGAAATAACCTTCTCAATACAGCCAAACTTGGAGCTTACTAACCCACGGTCCCAAATCAGGAGAGCCAAAACAGGAGAGTGTGAGATTTGTAACTGAAATATACAATTAAAATGTAAACACTCCCATTGAATATTTGTTAGACTAACTTTCAAATCAATCGAATACAATAAATCGATATATGTAAAATTACGTTGATAAGTGGGAATACTGGAAAAAGAACACTGGAGTGCACACTGTTGGTTTTATTTATTATAAAATAAGAAAAAAAAACTGTTGTAATGCATTTTAAAATTAGAATTTTATGTAATTTGCCACACTAAGTAATTAATTTCACTACCGAGTAGAGCAAACCAAATTCAGTATTTTTCCCACTGTTTCAATGTCGAGGAGAATTGTCAAAAAGTTCCATCTCTCCCGATATATTTTTTGTTTGTCTCAGACGGCGGTCCATAACTAACTATCGAGTATTTCTACTTGTCATTCTCATATTTAGTCGGCTTCTAATACAAAAGTCATGGTAAAGTTTATTTTAAATAGCAATATGCAATTAATAGCAAACTAATCGACTTAATTCCAGTTTCGCAATCAATATGATAGTGATGTTACTGTGTGGAGTCCTCAAGGACGTCTGCATCAGGTGGAGTATGCCATGGAAGCCGTAAAGCTCGGCACGGCTACTGTTGGGCTGAAAAATCGGGACACCGCCGTGCTCTTAGCTCTGTGCAAGCCGTCATCGGAGCTGTCGGCTTCCCAACGCAAGATTATCCCCATCGACGACCACTTGGGTATATCCATTGCTGGCATTACTGCGGATGCTCGTGTGCTCAGCAAATACTTGCGTTCCGAATGCCTGAACTACAAACACTCTTACGACTTCACTTACCCGGTAACTCGCTTGATCACAAACCTGGGCAACAAAATGCAGACCACCACTCAGCGCTACGATCGCCGTCCGTATGGCGTGGGCCTGCTCGTGGCCGGCTACGATGAGAAGGGGCCGCACATATATCAGGTCACACCTTCGGCGACCTTTTTTAATTGCAAGGCCAATTCCATTGGATCGCGTTCACAAAGCGCACGCACCTATCTGGACCGCAATCTGAACAGCTTCTTGGACTGCTCCAAGGATGAGATCATCTGTCACGGCATCAGAGCCATTCTGGGTACCCTGCCCACTGATGAGCATCAGAGCCGTGACACTCCATCCCAGTATGTAAGTTTCCTAGAGAAATGTGTTGAAATTTAACTATAATGGGTTATTTGCATTTTTTAGAGTATAACTGTTGCCATTGTCGGCAAGGATCAGCCATTCAAAATTCTCTCTGAGGAAGAGAACGCAAAGTACCTTGAATGGGCCAAGGAAAATAGTGGTCCTGCTGATCCGCGCAGACCTGGCGATGATGACGATCGCCCGTCCACATCGGATGAAACTGATGCCGATCCAAGGGATCCTCAAGTTGCTGTGGCCACAGAGGAACGCTAATCACCGGCAGGAAAATCATAGGAAGTCGTCTTAAGCATTCAAAATGTTGGATGGGGAGGTTAAAATAAACTTTGTCATGCATTTGCATATTTCTTACACCGGAACTAGCTCTTTTTATTGGGCGGGGAATGTAAAGGCATCAGAAAATATAATTTGCTGTTGGATTAGCTCTTTAAATATAATGTGGAATATCAGATTAAGAAACACGGAGGATTTGATAAGGGCCGATCGGTGTCCGGTACAGGTAAGCGGTTTAAATATTATTTTAATGCGCATTATTTATTAAAATGTAAGTTAAAAAAAAATAAATTTAAAAAGCCCCTTTATGTTCCATACTCCATTATTCCACTTTGATGTCATTACATTTTTCTAACTGAAAGGTATTTTACGTTCATTGAATTGTGGTCACACTGTTCAATGCCGGTATTATTATTATTCTTATTCTGTTTTTATAAAATCTAATTATATTACTTTTTGTGAATGACAAGCATTAACCCGTTAATAATCATAAGGATGATCAGAATAAAGGCATACTTTTACTTGACATTTTTTGGCTTTAAATACCAATTTTCAATAATTACATAACGAAAACGTATTACTTTGATCTCCCATTAGTTGATTAAAAAGTAAAACTTTAATAAAATATAATTTTATATATTGTTTACTATGTGTACTTCACCAAAACTTGTTCTTTACAAGGAAAGAATTTAAATGAAAGTAAATAAGAGCGAATATATATATCTGAAATGTTGGATTTGAAGGATTAGTTTTATTGCTATTACTAATCAACAGGTTGTGTAAATAGGGGTTTCCATTATAAAATTGTGAGTTCAAGTAAAACAATACCTTCTTTTCAGGCAAGATGACTCTTCCAGATCTTGTGTCCAGTCTATCGTCCAATCCGTACTTTGGTGCTGGCTTCGGATTATTCGGCGTTGGAGCGGCAGCTGCCATTTTAAGAAAGGGTCTGCAGGGCGGATTAGTCCTATTCCGTCGGCACTGCATGATTACGCTGGAAGTACCATGCCGCGATAAGTCCTACCAGTGGCTCTTGAAATGGATTACAATCAGAGGGGCCCGCAAAACGCAGCATCTGAGTGTGGAAACCACCTTTCTGCAAAGCGACAGCGGCCAGATAAAGACCACCTACGACTTTATACCTAGCATCGGAAAGCATCTATTTAACTACAAGGGCAACTGGATTCAGGTGGAGCGAACTAGGGAGCAGCAAACGCTGGATCTGCACATGGGCGTTCCGTGGGAAACAGTGACGCTGACGGCGTTTGGCAACAACAAACAAATTTACTTTGACATCCTGGAGGAGGCGCGGCTTTTGGCACTTGAAGCCACCGAAGGCAAGACGGTGCTGTACACAGCGATGGGCGCCGAATGGAGACCCTTTGGACATCCTCGTCGACGGCGTCCCACTGCCTCGGTGGTTTTGGACCGGGGCACTTCCCATAAAATAATTTCCGATTGCCAGGACTTTATCAAGAGTTCCCTGTGGTACACGCAACGGGGCATCCCCTACCGGCGGGGCTATCTGCTATACGGGCCTCCGGGCTGCGGCAAATCCAGCTTTATCACTGCCTTAGCTGGCGAGTTGGAGTACAGTGTCTGCTTACTTAATTTATCGGAAAGGGGCTTAACCGACGATCGACTTAATCACCTGCTTAACGTAGCACCCGAACAGAGTATCATTTTGCTGGAGGACATTGACGCCGCCTTCGTGTCCCGGGAGCAGAGTTCGCAGCAAAAGTCGGCTTTCGATGGCCTAAACAGGATAACGTTTAGTGGACTTCTCAATTGCTTGGATGGCGTGGGCTCAACGGAAGCTCGAATAGTTTTCATGACCACCAACTATATAGATCGCTTGGATCCTGCCCTAATTCGTCCAGGAAGAATTGACCTCAAGGAATACATTGGCTATTGCACGCCGTATCAATTGGAGGAAATGTTCAAGAACTTCTTTGGCAACAGTGAGTCTACAAAGGCGGAGGAGTTCGCTAAGAGAGTCAATTCCTTTGGCCGTTCCGCAAGTCCCGCTCAAGTTCAAGGTTTCTTCATGAAACACAAATTATCCTCCCCGCAGACAGTTATTGATGCGTGTGAAGATATTTGGGAGAATGTTTTGGGCGACAATAAAAAGAATAATTAAAAACTAATGTTTCACTGGAAAAACTAATCGCAGCAATGATAGCCTGGTGAAAACTATCCTAAAACCAACATAATATTTTATATATTATGATTTAATTACATTTTTATAGGTAATTTAAAAATATGAACTATGTTCTAAAATATATGTATATATTTTATGTGACATTTAAATTTGATTAGTCCTTTGATCTTCTCGGCCTTCCCACCTTGCCTTTCCTTTGTCCGAGCGTTCCATTCGAGTTAGCGGGGCCCTTAAGTAACTTGTGCCAATCCTGCTCACACACCAAGCTTGCTCCTAACATAGTATACCTAGAGAAAAAGGCGTTTAAATTAAATAAATTAATATTTGGATCATGGACTTACCTGTCGCCTGGGCGCAGACTTGATCCACACTTAGCACAACTAAAGCACCTTAGATGAAATACGCAATTAATTATTTGTTTTTGTTGATTTTGTAAATCAATATTATTTATGCCAGTTAGGGCTTTCGCTACTAGTTCGCTCGGAGGAATAGTTTCGCCACAACCAGAACAAACTCCAGAGCAGCCAAACATACTGGAAAGAGTATTCAGAGGATTTTTGAGTGTCATCAATTGGAACAGGTAATGGAATTTTCAGGTCTATCATACCTGGAATAATCCTTTTTGCAAAGAATCAGGCCTCGCCTTGTAAAACAGCTGGAGCCCACTTCTGCTAGCATAGCGCCGCAACAGTGACATTTAAGGCAACCATTGTGCCAGTATCTGTCTAGAGCGTATAAAAGATATCTATCACTTATTTTATCTGCAATTAAATCCAAATACATTATTAATTGTTTAGCCAATAGTTAAATATTACAAGCTCTTACCGCCACAACCACCACACACTTTAATGAGGGAGTTAGAGTGAATTAGCTGTTGATTATTGAAATCGTTTGAAGATTCGTCCATGAACGATAGCTGAGACGAAGATATATTCGAGTTGGTTTCGACAATGTCCTTAGTGTGATTCGAGTTCCGATAATCAATTACTATGGGGGCGAAGTTCTCGGGACTAGATGAGTCTTGATGATGTGCCGCTAGTATGTCTCTATATGAATGGAACGTTGCATTCATTGCTAAAAATGTTTATGACTTAAGTCGTAGAAGGCATAAAGGTCCTGTTTATAGTTTAAACCCTGGAAATAGACAACAAGAAATGATAATATAGTATGTACATAATATAAGGTCTGAGGGTATCACTAAACTTTTGGTATTAAATTTGTGGGGACCAACCTTTCGAAGCTCGCTATATAGATCAATCTTGTAAGAACTCCATAATCGTGGTGCCTCGACCATGAAATATCCGGTGGTCAAAATATAAGCCACAATATACAAATGATAGGTAAATATATCTAAAAAAAATATGAAAACAATTTGGGTTAAAAAGGAGAAGCTTAAATAAAGAAATATTAATGCGCCGGTTTACTAACTTTCATAAATACATAATACATTTTTTAAAAGTAAAGAAAATAAACTTTTTTTTGGCTATGCAGTCTTTACATCATTAATTTATAAGCAGTTAAGAATATGATGAAAGATGATTACTCTTGACGCACTCACTCAATAAAATATTTATTATTTTAATCGATGACTGCAGGGAACTGGGATTTTAGCAGCTTCTCCTGCAATTATCGACATGAGCGGTAAGGAAAAGCCGTCACTACCCTAAAACCTATCAATGTAGTCTTTGCGATTTCCATTTATTTCCAATTTGAAATTCATTTTTGATCCATTTTGCATTGCTGCCACAGCTGTCCATACATATGTACGTATGTGCATACATACAAACATACATATGCATAAAAGTAAGAAGCCCGTATGTACAAACATTCATTCCGTTCCGAACGCCTAATGTATGTACGTCTATATATGTACATATGTGCGTAAAGCTGCGGTCTTATGCCGATAGATTAATCAATAATTAACTTTCGTAAATTAATTCGCGCACCATAGAGCACATTGTAACTAATGTTAACTTTTTGTTTATATTTAACAAAACTTATTCGCTGTCAGGCACGGCACACATTGCAAAATTTTTGTGTACATATATATGTACATACGTAGGTTCAGTTCATTTTAAACACAGCATTAGGCCATTTTTGCCAATTATAAACCAAAATGCACTTTTCAACTTACGCACTCGTCAATTAATTATTTAATAGCGAAAAATTTTCAGACGACACCATGAGGAACAGTAAAATCGTTTTAGTTTCAAACACCATTTCTTGTATACGACTTTACATACCAAACTAATTCATAGATATGAAAGCAAGCAATCCGCAATTCCACAGGGTGTGCCGGGCACTTTTACATTTTAATCGTTGAATTCGTTTGTTTTACGAGGGAAAATATCGCATTCAGTGGTGGTCGTCTAGCTATTTTCTCATTCATTTATATGAGCTCAATTATTTATTTGTCGTTAAGTGTGACATTACAGTAAGTAATTAACTGCCAAATTTATTTATATTTGACATCATCAATTGCTTGGTAAAATTGTTTAAAAAAAAATGAGAATAAAAATTATGCTACGTTTTCATAACTAATTTATATTATCCAATAAAATACAATAATTGGACACAACAGTCAATCGATAAATTTGTACTCATTGAATAACGTACATTTACAGTCAGAACTGAAACGGCAAAATTGCTGTTAAGTTTTAGAATTTGAAAAATTAATTTTTTTGTAAAATTTGACAATTTTAACGATGTAACCCCTTATAAAATTTTGAAAGAAATTAATTTTATCCAAACATATCTAGATCGAATGGGCTGTTGATGATGAAAAAGAATATTTATGATTTATGGGGTCGGAAATGACTCTTCCCAGCGTTACAAGCTTCTGACTAAAGTTATTATATCCTACAAGGGTATAAAATGGCACTTATCATTCAGATTTCTTAAGATTAAAAAAGATGCAGCTTTAAATATAAAGTATTTAAACAAATTATTTATTCAAGTATAGTAATTCTAGATTTTAATTTTTATCCTGCGCAAAATAACAATTTAGTAACTTAACTATTAGATTAAGAATAGATCTATGATGTTAAATCAATGGAAATTATTCGCCCCGTGCTATTGAACGGCTGAACTGCCGAGGAGATAGTGTCAAACGTACTACTACTTTCAGTAGTGATCGGGTTTGATGGGCTTTTCTCCGTATTAGCCGCCGCCGCCGCCGCCGAGTGGGCGTACCAGTCTGTAAGTCGGACCAATTTCTTGGAAAAATTGCAATTTTCTTGATTGTATTCCTTTCTGTGCTGCTCCTGCGTGTCAGTAAAGGTATTCGATGTGGCTAGAGAGCTAACCAATGAACGATTTGTAATTGTGTCAACAGAGCAACGACTAAATACTGAGTTAGCCTTATAATTTGAAAAAATGTATAACGACTGCTGCAAAGGCTTAACCGAACCGTTTTCTGGAGCTAAGGCTGTTTCTGGCTCAGGGGGACATTTGCTTGAGTCATTGGTTCGCCTGTTAGACTTCCTATTGTTGTTGTTGTTGTTGTTGTTATGTGTTAGTTTGATTATAGTTAGCGCATCGGAGCCAAGCACTTTAGTACTACTTTCATCATCATCGTCGTCTTCCGATGAGCACAAGTCAATCGTGTCGACAACTACTTCGCTCGATGGCGAGATCCTCCAGTGCGAATTGAGCGAATTGTGGCGAGTTAGTCTTATATTTAGTTTTGTATTTGCAGCAGCCTGGCTTTGCTCCTCCATCATCATCTGTTGTTCCGATATCTTTTTCAATCTAACTGAAATTGGACGGCATTGCTTGATTAGCGGCGAGTTCAAAAACAAGAAATTCTCAGTAGTATCCCGGCGTTTAACAAACTGACGTCGCGGAAATGAATAAATGTGAAAATTGTGTTCATGCGATTTCTTAAATGTACAATGAACGTTCGTGCTGCCAGATTTCTTTTCGAAAATCTTTTGCCTTGATGTGTTTGATTTAGTTATTAAGGGCGTATAACAAAATCGATCCAAGCGCTCCTGCCTTTCCGAAATATATTCCATCGATATTGTTTGCTTCGTCGTCTTTAACAATTGCTGACCCGCAGGTGATGATATTGGGATAAACGAGCATCGACTGAACGAATGAACTGTGCGATTCCTTCGTGACGGCAATCGTCGGCTCCTACTCGATGTTTCCGTTGACGTTTCTTCACTGAATGAGTGTGTTTTTTGCTTTTCATTCGATAAGCAGCTTGCGTCGGAAAACTTAGATTGCAGGCCAAAGTTCAGCAGAAAGGCGTTGCGCTGTTCGTCATCCTCATTTTTTCCTTCGCATTTGTTGTTATCTGCTGGCTCTGGCGAATCACAAAGTATAACATCGTCTTCCATGCAACAGATATTTTCGTGTTCCTGCCATGTCATAAAAATGTTATTTAGTATGTTGTTCAGGGTGTTCCAACATTAGAAATGTTACCAGTATAGCTTCTTTTGAATAAAGTTCAGCATCACAGTTGTCGCACAGATAAATATCAAAGGGTGGTGGCTCAACCATCATATGTTGTGAATTTTCATTTAATGAACTGTTGTTGTTCTTTTGCAGCAACAAGCATTTCTATTCTTTTGCTGTCTGTCATACGACTGCAAATATTTTCAATAGATAAGCACTTTAGTCAGTCAAATATTAAATGGTACTTACCATATTTTCATTGCGAAATGTAACCAGCAATTTGTTGTTTCTTCTGTCATACAATGATGTCGTTGAATTATAATTGTTTATAAATCTCAAGCTAGCGTGCTCGTAAGCAGCTAAATCGTTACAAAATCTTAATAGGAAAAGGCTTTTGTGGAATTGATAGCAAATAACCACAATCTCTTTCATCTTCTCCATCCAATTCTAAAAATAGAACGAGAGAAATTAATAATAAAACTTTTTGAAATGGGATTAATCAGGGTGCAACAGAACATTCTAGAGGGTAGGTATTAATTGTAGCATATCTTTGGGTGCTTTTTCAATTGATACGAAATCCACAGCGATTTATATTATATTGTTTTAACTAATGGTTATCTTAATCGCAATTAGGTTAAAAGCTTACCCCAACAAACGCTTTCGGCTTCTTCAACGGAATTTCGAATGGCGCATTTTCGGGCCACCATTCTGGTTCACTGCAATCTACTTTCTTTGGTAAGTTTATATGTCCTAATGAGCACTGCACCATGAATGGAATAAAGTTTTCTAGTTGCGGCTCCGTTATTTTCTCCAGGGATGTCGGATATCCGTTAGCAAACAGAAGTGGTAAATTGGATATCATGTTGTGCTGAGCTTTATCTTTTTCATCCATTGTCACTGAAATCACATAAGAATAAAAGTTAGTTAATTAAATAGAAATGAATAAAAAAATTGAACAAGAACATTTTCGAATTCATTAGTAGTTTACATACCTACATTAAAAAAAATTATCATTACACTTTTGGAAGCGATGATTTAATTAAGTTTCAAACATAAATGGCGATCAGATATTCAGTATGCTAGAAATGAGATAAATTCTTATTCTAAGCCTGATATGAGCGTCCGAAAGCAACTCTCTTCTTTGTGTATGTATACCCATGCGGGCTGTACTCTGGCCTTTGCGGGTAGCGTAGCCATTTTCTTTTTTTTGTGTATCTACATCAGTAGAGTTTATGAGACTGCGTTTATCGATTAGCGTAGGGAGGCCTAGCGGCCATTTTGTTCTATTTTCGTAGATCATTTTATTGAAATAGATCTTAATATAATAAACAAATCGAGAAACAAAACAAAATATGAGTTTACGTTATTTCAGCTCTCTTGAAAATGTCAGAGAAAAGGAGAAAATAAGACAATATCTGATGAACAGCTGTCTCATAAATCTAAGGAAAAGTTACATCGTTTTGTTATTTATAATATAATTTATGAAATGTTGACTTCAGGACACTACCAGATAACAAGTCGTTGCAGGTCCGTAAAAGTTTATGAAAATACAAATGAGCAAGTACGGCCACACTTTTTTCGTTTTTCATTTTCGACTGTCAATCTTACAATAATAGATCTACATTTTACAAATTTTCTATTCTCTTCCCCTTCTTTTTTTTTGGTTATTACCTTTTATAGCCATTAGGCTATGACCCCGTTCCCCTGCGCTTAGTCTTATGCAGCAAACGCTGCCATTCTGCTTAGACCAAAATCTAGTGGTTACACGCCTTACCTTTACGTATCTGGCGACCACTCTCTTAAATAATTCGAGTTTATTAATTCGAGCTCCGTTCCATGTTAAGTAATTAATGTGGTGTTGTAGTTATACCCTAAATCCCGTTATATTAGATTACCTAGCGAAGCGACTATCCCGTCAATTTTATGTCCTACTGCAGAGATTGCTTACTGCAAAAACCACGAATGGCTTTCATATGTGTACATGTATTCACACGCACACAAATATTCAATGTATACCAAGGGAACTAGAATAACTTGGCAAATTCAACTTTTGCTGCCTATCTGCTTCCTTCGGAGTACACATACGCTGGCAGACTCACGCACACACACTGCCATTTATGAATAGTATATGTATGTACATAAACACTGTTAAATAGTCATATGTTTTACGGAGCAATCACACAGTTTCATATGCTGTGGTATAAATACCACATCTGATTTAGAAGAGTGTATATAATACACTCGACAAAAATTATTGCAAACTTACAACGCCGTTAACATTAAATCAATGATTTGAATGTAACAAAGTATTTTAGCTTAATATTGCAAAACAAAATGTAGCCACAAAATATATTAGCTGCTCTGGAATGCTCAATGCTATGGTCTTTGCATATATGTACATATCACGACAAAAAAAACCAATAGAAAACAGTTTCAATAACCTCTACCAACTATACCATTATGAGAACGCACCAAAAATTCGCAATGATTAACAAAACGCAAGACAAGGAGAGATCCACAATCACAAATATGATAACATTGTAGTAACAATACACAACACTTTCTTCGTAAAAAATTAATTTGTTGTAGCTGATATCGAATGGTTTAAGTAAGATCTCACTGGCAAATGTAGAAATCGATTGTGAAAATTACATTGACCAATGAAAATGAAACGTGGAACTGAAACAAAAAGTATGATTTTTACATCTTCGAGTAAAAACGCGTAAATTCATTTTTGTGACACAGAGCAACGTATATAAAATCAGTTTAGTTTTAAGTATTATTTTGAACAATTTCAATATACAAAAGAATGTAATTAATTTAATTTTTGGAGTGACATAATAGATAGTTGAGATAAACTGATATTGCACCGAACAAAAATTAGAGAATACACATTTAAAACACAAAACAAAACAGCTGTTTATTATTAAGGAAAGTCGTTTTACATTTGATTGGAAGATAAATGTTCGAGAAGGAATTCATGCAATATAATCCGTAGCACTAATACCCTATTCTGTCACCGTCAATCCTGTTGTGCAGTTGTGATTTTTTAATCTCCGCGTACAGAGATAAAAAATAGATATTCATTTGACAGATGCAGTTTGGCACCCACTTCTATTCATTATAATTAATGAAAAGACAAATTAAAAATAGCAAATCAGCTAATTATTAAGTCTGTTGATGGTACGCAGTTTGTGTGAACCCAAAATTAACTGCAGCTTCTGTTCCGGCAGGGCGTAATTACATTTCATCCCAACGTCCCAGCATAGACAGGTTATGAAATGAAATGCTAAACTATTGTTAAAAGTATCGATAATTCCGAACACTTTGTATTGCTGTCATCGCAATAGTCTGCTAATTGTGCAACGTGTTTGAGCGAAATACAAACGACTTAAAATGAAAGTTGAGGCATTGGATAAATTCTGGACTGACAAAAGTCGCTATGACATTGCCGAAAAGCGATTTTACGAGGGCCCCCAAAAGGTAAATAAAACAGTCTATTTTACAAACGTGTACATATGTACATAGTATGCAATTGTACACTTCACGTGGCCCGGTTACTGGAATGTTTTCCAATTTTTTTCGCGAAAATTGGGCAAGAGTACACAACTTGTACAGTTGTAAAATGTTTAAATCTCTTAGGTGCACCTGATTACACTATAATCCGCAAAAGTAACAGTGTCTATATACGTTTGTATTTATAATAGTTTATTCCCGTAACTGTATGTAACAGGTGCATTGCTTTTTCCGACCCTGCAAAAGTATAAAAATAAATAAATCGCGTTTAGCCAATTCGATGTAGCAACATCAGTATCAGGAATCAATATAGCTGTATTTGTGTTATAAAATAATTAAAAACCGGCATAGTAGGGCGATTCTGAGGCATGAAAATGCCTTACATTATTTTGAACTGATAAGCTTAATCCAGCCTGGCAACAAAATAAAATTGTAAATCAACAGATCATGGGTTCGAATGTGCAATCCATCAGAACTAAGCCAATTTTATTTATCTTAATTTGGATACCAGCATATTGGACTTCTATATATATATATATAAAATATTTTAAACATTAATAAGGCAATTCTTTTTTCCGAATTTTCGATTCCAGTTCTAATTTTTATGTAAAATCAAAGATTTTGAAGATTTTGATTCTGTGCTAGTTTTTGTATGGCTAACAATATCTGCGTACTAAGATTTCAAATGTAGAAATTTAAATTTTTTGTCAAATTTTGACAATTTTAACGATGTAACCCCTTATAAAATTTTAGAAAAATATAATTTTAGGCGGACATTGCTAGATCGACTCGGCTGTTGATGCTGATCAAGAATATATATACATAGTTCATATGGTCGGAAATGACTCCTTCAAAGCGTTGCAGGCCTTGTGACTAAAATTATAGTACCCTGCAAGTGTATAACAATGTATTGTAACAATATTATTTTTCTATTCACAAAATAAAGATTTGTTTAGTGAGCTTGTATAGTTTTTACTTTCAATACTGTTCAATCTATTAGTATACTTGTCTTGTTTTTAAGGTCACTGATCGCAGCCACTACAGCCCCTTAGTAAGCGAAATTGCAAAGGCTAGGGAACACATACAGAACTCATTGGAAAAGGTAACTATTGTCAATACCCATTTGCCTTCATTTTTAATTTTTTTCAACGTCAGATATTTCTGCTTTTCGTGTATTCTGTATGTTTTTTATATTCCTAGGTAGTTAAAACTTATTTAATCGGTTAAATTATTTTCCTTGTTTTTTGTTTTATTATGCTTTAATAGTATTATTTACTAGTTACTAATACGCTCCTTTTAATTGCAGATTGACGGGGTTACCTTGGATTCCAATTCACCGCTCGCTAGCCGACTGTCGCAAATTGAGGGCGAGAATAAGGAACTCAAATCTGAAGTTGCCACACTGAACAAACTGTTCAATGCCCTCCTCAAGCGCGTTGAAACGCTTGAAGGTCAACTGAAGTTGACCAACGGCGAGGCAAAGAAGTCAGAAGCACCAACAAACAGCCAGAAGGAGCAGAAGGAGGACGACGATGATGTCGATCTCTTTGGCTCGGACAGCGAGGAGGAGGGTGAGGAGGCTGCGCGCATAAGGGAAGAACGTTTGGCGGCCTACGCTGCCAAAAAATCCAAGAAAGCTGTAATTATCGCCAAGTCGAACATCATCCTTGACGTCAAGCCCTGGGACGATGAAACCGATCTTAAAGTCATGGAGACTGAAATCCGCAAAATCACCCTCGATGGCCTGCTGTGGGGCGCTTCCAAATTCGTTCCCGTTGCCTTCGGCATCCAGAAGCTCAGTATCTCTTGTGTGGTTGAGGACGACAAGGTTTCCATTGACTGGCTGACTGAGGAGATCGAGAAACTTGAAGACTTTGTTCAGAGCGTTGACATTGCTGCCTTCAACAAGATCTAAGAAGAGTGTTTAATTTATCACGCGCAGATTCGGATTTACCTCATTACGAATGGGTGTCATTTAAATAAATATTTTGATATAACAAATAGAACTCAATGCTTTTACAATATTTTAAACATATATATTAAAAAAATTATAGAAAAAATACTTATAAATGTAATATTTCGGTTCACAGCTAAACTATACAGTATTATTAGGTTTTGAAGTGCGCGGACTAGTTCTCATAAAGCTCTAAAAATTATAAATACGTAGTGATACACATTGTTAAAGCGTCTAAAGCATAATTTCATGTTCTGCTTGCGTTGTTGTAGAGGTTTTTCGAGCCATCTCACAACTGCCGGGCGTCGACCTAAGCGTGGTCATTGCTGTACTGCTTGGTGCATAGGATTTGGTCAGGCCGACGCGATTCCTGTTCGATGCGACGTTAGTATCTGCTTGTAGGCCTTTAAATCACACAAAATTTTATAATTAATATAAATATATTTACGTTTCAGTTGGTCAAAATATCAGAATTCTTGACAACATTAACACATTACCGTAACATATTAACTCACCTATTTTCATTAGGATTTCATTCCAAATTCGTCGTTTAAAAACAAAAATGAAAAACACAAATATGCCCAGGAGAACATTGAACGAATCGCTTATGGTCCAAAAGAAGGTTTTCTTATGATCATAAAATATAATGCTAACTATTTCCAAAAGCCATGTGATGCCCATTACAAAGCACAACTTGGTGTTCATTACAAATCGGGTTTTATCTTGAAAGAAGCGTCTCTTCAGCACTGGCTTCTCGCTGTTTAAGCTCTGCATCTTGTAGATTTCGTTCTTCACTTTATTGCAATACTTCATGGTGAGCACGAAAAGTATTAGGTTGAAAATGAAAAGTATTCCAACGGGACCTGAGAAAAACAATAAGCTGGCTGACCCAAAGGAATCATCTGAAAAATAAGCAGGGATTAAATATTTGATATTTATTTTGATTAAACAGAGTTACTTACATGTAAACCAGCAACGACCGTGGCCAAAATTAGGACGAAAAACGTCGGGTAGAACATTGGATTTTGTAAATGCCACTGTAATGGCGGTTAATAAAGTGGGGAGTCCCCAGCCATAGCAGGAATACCAAATAAACTGCCGTCGTTGGTCGCTTTTTTCGCAGCTTTTTATTTTCGTGGATCTAGAAAAGAATAAGATCATTTATAGCTCAACCATACTTAGCATTAAATCAATTGCAAATTGGTTTAGAAGTAAACTTTCAAACCAAATAATACATTTTACTGTATTTAGCTGATTTAAACAGAACTAAAATAACATTTTGTTATATGAATTTAAACTTAATTTTACAGTTCCTATCCTAATTCGCACCCGAAAGTTTTCCATATGTCAAAGGAAGTGATATTCATCCAAGAAAAGGCTGCCATCAAGCAAAAATATACGAAAAATCCTAAAAGATACAGAAATATATGAGTATTATATGAAAATGTTTTATATAAAAAATTATTTTCATATGTAAAATATCGATTTATTGTAAATACGTCGCAGTCTTAAATATTTAAGTAGTATATAGTTATTTATAAGCGACGTTCATAAAGATTTCCATAAAATACTTTTATTGGAATTCTCGAAACAGCGTTGTTTTTATTGATTTTGTACTTTCGGTACTCTGTAATTACCGGCACACACCCAGCAGGGCATAACTAGGACATCAAAAGTACGCGTTTGTTGACCATTAATTAGGGTGATATAACCTTACCAGAAATGAAGCAGACGTCATCATTGGATGTGGGCTTTAATTGACCCAAAGCTATGCCCATATACGCCAAAAACAGACTGATTACAAGGCAAATTAGAATTTTGCCAGGAAGATTCCTTAATTTCGCAATCGATATGTAAACAATTAAGGTCATGGCATAGAAGCAACAGGATATGAGGAGACCAATCGGATACATTCGAAACCGAAGGTGATCATTGCCAACAACTTTTGTGTCAAAACAAAGGAATGTGTACAGCTGCTCTGAAAGAAACGGAGGCAAAGAATTAATAATTATGTTCGTTAAATTAATTAAAATGTAAAAATTTTAATAGGTTTTCTTCTTTTTCTACCCTTGCAGGGTAAAAAAAGAACTAAAAGTTTGCAACGCAGTAAAGGAGTAATCTCCGACTATATAAAGTATATATATTCTTGATCAGCATCAACAGCCGCGTCGATCAAGCCATAGCCGTCTCGTATATATGTCGAAACCGGCCAGATCGGACTACTTTATAGTATAGCTGCAATCGGAACGAACCGACAATTTTTAGAAAAAAAAAATTAACTTTTACAGTTTTTAACCTGTTTTTATCTAACTTGATTTTAAGCTATCTATTATTATTGTAGAATTTCGTTATTAGTTTAATGAAAATCGGAATACCATATAATATAACTGCCAAAGAATCGGTTGTTAAATGTAAAGGATCAGTAAATATCTTTCAAAAGTATTAACTATGAGCAGCAAGTAACTCTGAATAATAAGTAACTCTGAACTGTAAGTATCGATGACCAGGAACTAACTCTCAACAGTAATTATCTATGACCAATAAGTACATATGTATGAGCAGTTACTAACTTTAAACACTAATAAACACATTTCTAAAACTTGCCCGGCAGCAATCACTTCGTTCTGGGGATGTTTGAACCAGTTGGGAATCATATGATATGATGATTAGCTATGACAGTGAGTATCTATGACCAGTAAGTAACTCTCAACAGTAATTATCTATGACCAGTAAGTACCAATGATCAGTAAGTATCAATGAACATTAAGTAACTCAGATCAGCAAGTAAGTCTGATCAGTAAGTAACTCTGATCAGTAAGTAACTCTGAACTGTAAGTATCTATGACCAGAAACTAACTCTCAACAGTAAGTACCTATGACCAGTGAAAAGCAATGACTTGCTACTTTTGTAACACAACACATTTCTGAGACTTGGCCGGCTGCAGTCACTTCGTTCTGGGGATGCTTGAACCAGTTGGGAATCATATGATATGATGATCAACTATGAACAGTAAGTATCTAAGACCAGTAAGTAACTCTAAACAGTAAGTATCTATGACCAGTAAATAACTTTGGTTAGTGAGTAACTATGAACATTAAGTAACTATGAGCAGTTATTAACTATGATCAGTGAGTATCTATGAGCAGCAAGTAACTCTGAACAGTAAGTATATATGATCAGTTACTAACTTCGAACACTAATAAACAATGACTTGCAACTTTTGTAACAACACATTTCTGAGACGTGGTCAGCAGCAGTCACTTCGTTCTGGGGATGTTTGAACCAGTTGGGAATCATATGATATGATGATTAGCTATGAACAGTAAGTATCTATGTCCAGTAATTAACTATGACTATATATATAATTAACTATGCAAGTACCTATGATCAGTAAGTATCTATGAGCAGTAAGTAACTCTCAACAGTAGTAAGTATCTATGACCAGTAAGTTTCTATGAACACCAATAAACAATGACTTGCAACTTTTGTAACACAACGCATTTCTGAGACTTGGCCGGCAGCAGTCACTTCGTTCCGGGGAAGATAGAACCAGTTGGGAATCATATGTATGAACACATGCGCGAGATTTGTTTTGGAACAAATGTAAGAGCAAACTATTTAACTGAAACTATGGAGTTATTCTTCTATATAATTTTAAAAATATATAATTCGGAGCATGGCGAATCGGTGGACTATATATGTACATATATATAGCTACCATAGGAACAATCGGAGAAGTTTTAGAAAAACAACTATAACTTTTCCAGTTCTCAACCGATTTTCATCAAATTTGATATATATCTATTATATATTAATCTAGAATTGTAATTGTAATTGTGTAAAATTTAATGAAAATCGGACTACTATATCATATAGCTGCCTTACAAACGATCGTTAAAAATAGAGAGAAATGCATATATATATATATATATAAAATATAATTTATATTGCTATAATTCCTACTTATCGAATTTCATTCTACAAGGGTATACAAACTTCGGCGTGCCGAAGTTAGCTTTTTTTCTTGTTTTTTTTTTTTAATAAGCTTACCTTTTGATTTGGTCTTACTCGTTCTAAACAATATTGAGTATTTGTATAACGTTTTCGAGTATTTTGAATTATAAGTGATCCGTCAGAGGAGTTTATAGTGTGCGCATCGTCTGGAAAGTTGTCGGGATCCAACCGAAATTTTTGGCACTGTAATCTGTGAAGTATGCCAAAATCTGAAAGAAAGTATTATAATAATGTAGTTAACAGTATAAAGGATTAATAAAGAAACAGTATCTAAGCATATATTATATTTTTGAGATGATCAAATATAACAATTCTTTTATTTGTTTACTCCAATCTTGTTTGTTTTTGTTTGTCCATGTTTTATTTTATTTTTTGATAAATAATGGTAGTTTTACGTTTTGACCTAGCACAACAATAGGTGCCATTTTTATACCCTACAATACAGTATTACAAACTAAGTCAGAAGCTCGAAACGCATTGAAGAAATCATTTCTGACCCCATAAATCATATATATTCTTGATCAGCATCAACAGCTGAATCAATCTAGCCATGTCTTGCAATAAATTTTTTTTTTCAAAATTTTGAAAATTTTATAAGGGGTTACATCGTTAAAATTGTCAAAATTTGACAAAAAAATTAAATTTACTAAATTTTAAAATTCGGTATGCATATTTGTTAGCCCTACAGAAACTTGCAAAGAAAAGCTATCCCAATTGAAATTAAAACATTTTTGGCTTAGTTATGATATTTCAAAAACGTTGCATTTACCCATAAAATTTAGCATATCAAAATATCGTTTTAATATACCTAGCACACAGTTTATTTTGTTTTCTTCATGGCATTGCTAACTGCAAGGGTATACACATTTTGGCTTTTTGAAGTAAACTTCCTTTATTGTTAATGGGGTGTTTTACCTGATAACAAATGGTAACAGAGATAATTAAAATGACGAAACGATAATGAAAATGTACCAAAGCTAATGACTTATCAGAATGCAATAATTATCTAACAAAATAGAAATAAATTCTGTTATTCATTCATTGAAAACTATATCATAAATATGTTTATATATTTTAAGCTTTTCGTCTAAATTTAAATGAAACAGGTGACCAAACATATGGAAGTAATCAAAATGATCCGGCGGCTATAGCGAGTTTCTTCCTTATTGTACCGAATCAATGAGTGCTAATCGATAATTGCCAGAAATTAAAATCATGAAAGAGCAATTCTTCGTTAAATATTGCCCCATTTTTCACAATCTCATAAATTATAAGCTCTTACCTGATGGCTTTGAGAAATTTGCGTTTATGTTGAGGTTTTGAAAACCATGAAAGTCAATATCTGTCTCGTCGCTCTTACAATAGGTACTGGAATTTCCTTTGGCATACATTTCGCCCTCGCCACAGCATCGTCGGATGCACGGCAATCTTTGGCAAACTTTTCTTTCCTGACACGCTTGAACCAGATACTTTTGGTTCGAAGAATACCTTCTTTTCGACTGTATTTCATAATCATCATAAATGGCATCTATGCAAAATTTTGATAATGGCAAGCTGTTCGATCCATCCTTCCAAACCAACGAACTTTCACTAAATTTCACTATTTTTGCTGTTACCGTATATTCCACATAGGCCTGATTATCCGAACATTGGAGGGAGTAGTTATCAAAAAATATAATTGGATTGTTGATGATGGAAGAGTAAACAAAGAAATCGGTTTCGCCAAGACCAATGCACGTATTATTTTCGGAAACGTAAATAGAGCCCAGTGGGCAGCACTTGTTTACATATTTAACACTTTGAGACAACACATTCTTTTCAAATTCACAAGACAATACGATGAGCTTTCGCTTTTCTAATTGGCCAACACAGGAGTTATTTTTTAGATACAACGAACTTTCACTTTGATCAGTTACGTTTAGAATAGTAACGTTTTTGCACTTTGGTAGTTCGTATAAGAGGATATCTGAGTCATTATGGGGCGGTTCCGGTCCCTCTAATCCCAGGCCTTGTGGGGCTATCATTTCGCCTATTACTTCAATCGGAACCGGAAATTGTTTAAGGTTCAGGGTTCCATTGGAAGCACATTGGTAAATATCCGAGTTATTCGCGTCGCGGTATTTAAACAATATTGAATTTGGGGTGCAACATATTCGAACGGTGCACCCTTTTGAAATAATGCCACTTATAGTCAGAAATACTAGAGTTAGTCCGTTGATCATTGTTGTTTACGAATTGATTTCAATTTGCAATGACCAATTTCAGGGCGTCTTGTGTAATGTTTGTATCTTTCTTAGAACGGACTTTTCATATCTTATCATTGAAGCGTTATCGGGAGGGCAATAATATAAAAGTCGAACCGTATGCAGTTAGCTGATTTACCGAACTGAGCACTAAGCGTCTTCGCAATTCCTCTTCGCGAGCAAACGCGAATTGTTTATGAGTAAACACATTTGGCTTATGTACACACCCAGGCAGTGGTACAAGTCCTCTGAGTATATAGCCAATACATTAATGAAATTGAATTCGTCTGCTTTGTACAAATATGTAAGAAAGTTTATGCCCCACGGAGTGATAAACACTTGCCATGCTGGGAGCACACACCGGCTATAAATGAAGCTAATGACTACATATTTATTGTATGTGCTTAAATATGTACATTTATACACATATTTATATGTTTCCACAAATTCCAATTGATGTCTTTGTACACAGTAGTTTCTAATGGGATGTCTGACAGACAGGTTGTTCTTGTCTGCGTTCATTGATCCATATTTAAGGATGTTTGGTGGCTTCCTCTTACCTTAATCCGTTTACATACATATGTATGTATGTTTACTGGGTATTCCAATTTTAACCAGTCGTAAAAACGTCTTAAGTAAGTTGCTTTTAATCTATTGACTTCGAAATACATTTTATGTATTTAGATATTGAATATTGTAAATTGGATATTTGGAAATATTTACCTTTTTGTTAATATGTTGAGAAGAAAGTGTTTCCAAATGAATCTATATAAATATATACATATGTATCTTGTATATGGGGACCTAAAAACATCACAAGGCTTTACCAATAAACATTATCGATAACTTGTTTAACTGCCTTTATCACAACACAAGCCGCTGTTTTTTTTTTAAATAATCGATTGCCCGATAAATAAGTTGTTCCATTTCCATATTATTCTATTCCATTAATGGGCCATAAGGTCAGATAAATTTCTTGTTATTTATATTGTAAGCAGATGAAGAAATATTTTCATATTTATAAAAAAAAAATTGTTCTTGTTTTTCTTGAATTTTAAATTTGTTGTCAGATACTGCCTTCTTATTATTCCGCTTTCTTCAAATGCAGTATTTCATTAGGCTTAAGGAATTCATTTCATTTCATATGAGAAGAAAATAATAATGAAATTTAAACTTACTGTTTATTGTTTATAAATATTTTGTAGTCTCAAAATATTTAAAATTTATATTATAAAACTTAGATTTATTATATATGAGTACTGCGATCTATTAGGAATACTGTTTCAGTTCAGCATTCCAAGTGCGAAAGAAATTACTTTAAATATGTTGGCACATTACACTCTCTGAAAATGTTGGCAGAGACTACGAAATTTGTATTATTGATAGCATGTTGTAAGGCGACTTGATTGTTTTGTAGCTAAACGCAATTTTTATCGAAACGCAAAGTTGAATACGTGAGCATATAAATAAATCGGCAATTGCGTTAACTTAAACAGTCGGCCAAAATTGAGAAAGTTTAGAAATTTTAAAAGAAAGTAATATATAATATATATGAGAACAATGATGACGGAAAAGTTAAATTCTGGGCACACTATTTTAACAAGCAAAGGGTTTGTATATTTATTAATGTATTTATTAAATGATGGTTTAGCAAAAGTCATGTATGTATGTATGTTCATATGCTTACATGTATGATTCTGATCAAAATTGTGAAGCGGCCGTAAAACAAGACGATGCGGCTAAAATAAAATACCGCTTTGTACGTTTAAAATAGTATATACATATGTATTATATGTATGTATTTGTTTTTTAAAGAGCTCTTAATTAATTACCAACAACAGTAATTGCTTTGTATTGTTATCTAATAACAAAAGCTTAAATATTGATATTTGTGCTTCATTATTTCCTTGATGTAAGAGCACAAACTTCCGTATGAACATACTTTCATCAGTGTGTATGTATGTATGTACATACATGTGCACTCGTGGACACGGCCCGAAAAACAAGTTGCGCTTCTGGACAACATTTCTGCACAGAGAGAAAATATATGTACCAAACGTTGGATTAAAGACAGCATACAGTTTGCTACATATATTGTGCTATAAACAGCTACTCGGCGGCTGAGGCTGCCATTTTTAATTTTAAACCGTTATTTTTTTCTCTTTGAAAGAATTTTTTTTGATGAAGAATTATATACATATATTTCATAAAAACTGTACTGAAATAAAGAATAAATATAAATAATTTAGTTCTTGAAGAGACGTTACAGGTGCTTGCATACATTTTAGCTATTATCTTAAACATATCACTTATGTTAATGTACCACCACCGTTTTAGGCATATAAATGATCTTCAAATTGCTGGGAACACTAGTGACGATATGGGCTGGAAATCGAAGCTGAAGCTGCCGCCAAAGGACAACCGATTCAAAACAACCGTAAGTTAAAGCATCACAATATTATATGTAATATTTATAAAGATATTTATCTTCCTCTTAGGATGTGACCGACACGCGAGGTAACGAGTTTGAGGAGTTTTGCCTTAAAAGAGAACTGCTGATGGGTATTTTCGAGAAGGGTTGGGAGCGCCCTTCGCCAATTCAGGAAGCAGCTATTCCTATAGCTTTAAGTGGCAAAGATGTACTGGCCAGGGCAAAGAATGGTACAGGCAAAACCGGAGCGTACTGCATCCCAGTTTTAGAACAAATCGATCCAAAGAAGGACTACATTCAGGCCTTGGTTATGGTGCCCACCCGAGAGTTGGCTCTACAAACCTCACAGATCTGTATTGAGTTAGCGAAACATCTGGATATCCGGGTAATGGTCACAACGGGAGGCACCATTCTCAAGGATGACATTCTTCGTATATATCAAAAAGGTATGTTGTAGTTTCAAACCATTTAGAGGACGTATTGTCAACCCCTTCCCATTTGCAGTACAATTAATTATCGCGACTCCTGGACGAATATTAGATTTGATGGACAAGAAAGTTGCCGATATGTCGCATTGCAGGATATTAGTTTTGGATGAGGCCGATAAGCTATTGTCTCTTGATTTTCAAGGCATGCTGGATCATGTTATTTTAAAGCTACCAAAGGATCCACAGATCTTGCTATTTTCCGCAACATTTCCATTGACCGTCAAGAATTTTATGGAGAAGCATTTACGCGAGCCTTACGAAATTAACCTGATGGAGGAGCTAACGCTGAAGGGTGTCACTCAGTACTATGCATTCGTGCAGGAGCGCCAAAAAGTACATTGCTTAAATACATTGTTTTCAAAGCTGCAGATCAACCAATCTATTATATTCTGCAATTCCACGCAACGTGTCGAATTGTTGGCTAAGAAGATCACCGAGCTCGGCTATTGTTGCTACTACATACATGCCAAAATGGCTCAGGCGCACAGAAACCGAGTCTTTCACGATTTCCGTCAGGGACTGTGCCGGAATCTGGTCTGTTCCGATCTGTTCACCCGCGGCATAGACGTCCAGGCCGTGAATGTGGTCATCAATTTCGATTTCCCGCGAATGGCGGAGACCTACTTGCATCGAATTGGTCGCTCGGGACGATTTGGACATTTGGGTGAGTTGAATCGCATGAAAAATTTAACTTGAATGAAGTTTGGTTTTCTTTGACAAGGTTTACTAATCTCTTGTACAACCTCTTGTTTTCAGGTATTGCCATAAATCTGATAACGTACGAGGATAGGTTTGATCTGCATCGAATTGAAAAGGAACTTGGCACCGAAATAAAGCCTATTCCGAAGGTGATTGACCCCGCTCTGTATGTTGCTAACGTTGGCGCAGCAACCGCTGGCGAAACTGGCAACAACAGTGATCTAAATAATTCGGCAAACGAGGAAGGCAATGTTAGCAAATAAAAGATGCGAAAAAAAAACAAAACCATGTGGATGCACGCAGCAACTGTAATACTAGGATCTGAAGTAGAGTAAAATCAATGAAATCGATAAAAGCAGGATGAAATATTTCAGAAAACCAAATTGTATTAAAACTCAATAATAAATTCTGAATGTTCGCCTAGTCAACTTTTTGGACTTGGTGAATTGCAAAACATTGCGTGTTATTCTTTGGCAGTTTTGTTAATGGGATGGTGTTGCAAGGGAAACGCAGCATATTATTTGTTTGACTATAAATTAATGTTGCTTGTATGATAGGAAAGTTCCATATAATACCATCGTAATTTTAATTTAAATAAAATTGATTTATTAGCATCCAAAAATTTTAAGCTTTGCTTGTCCGAGAATATTTACAATAAATGTACAATATTATAAACAAATCATATACATATATATGTAGTCAATAAGCTTGAAAACTTTACGTATTAAATATGTTCGATGAGGAGGAAGATGAGTCCGATTGATCGAAATCAATTTTCGCATACGTGCTACCGTCTTCGGGGCCTAAGGCAATTGGAGATTCCCGCGAACCTCGCTTTAGATGCTTCGCTGTGGTCTGGCCGCCGCTGCAATGGGGAAGATCTAGACTGGCGTAATGAAGCTCCGGCTGGGATATGCGTGACGATGAGCGTGCGGGGAAATTCAAATCGGATATATTCTGTAGAATGTTGGGTTGAGGCGACGTCTCGGAGCTTTTCGAGTCTGCCGTTGTTGTGGCCGCCTTCGCATATGGATAGGTTTTGGCTGTGGTTTTATCAGGAATTATATTAACACTCTCCGTAAGTCGATGCTGTCGCTCGAGGTTATCCTTGAGTATGCCCTTTTGGTAGATTCTCGATGAGGAGATTAGGGAACTGTCGCTCTTTATCTGCAGAATTTTGTAGCCAACTTCGTTGGAGTTGGTAAAATCATTTGCATTATCCTTAATTTGTGTGTAATCCTCGCTACTTATTGAATGAACTAGTTTCTTTTCATCGTGACTGCTCAAATCTAGGTTGTTATTTTCAATTACTTTCACTTCTTTCACATTATTTTTCTTTTCAAGATCGCTTTGAGGCTCGGGATGTTTATAATCCGTATTATTACTTTCTACGGGCTTAGCCTTTTCATCTAGGGAAGCGGGAACGGCGGCGCTTCTGGGGGCCTGCTGTTCTTTCCACTTTTCAGGACTTTTGTTGTATGAACTTACTTTATGAACATCGTCTTTTAGCTTGAGCTTTTCTATTTTAATGGGAAGGCTAATGGTACTGGAAATATTCGTATTTCCCACTGGCTTCATCTCCAGGTAACCGTCCTCTGAGCTACTTGCTGCCGCCGGTGTATTAGTTATTTTGACTCCATTGAAGATGTCCTTCTGGCTGGCAGCGTGCAGGGTTAAATTGGAACTATCACTTCTTATATTGTTGGCGAACGACCTCTCAATATATTTGGGCATTTCACTGTTTTTGATAATCTTTTGCTTTTCCAAATTGGTCGCTTGCGAAAAGTCAATTTCCATTAAGTCACTCATTCGGTCTGGGTTTACCTGTGTTTTCAAACTCAAGAGCGGAGCACTCGTTGATTTCTTCTCGCGCCCCGTACTAGAGCCCGCTCCTCTGGCAATGTTGCTTTGACTCCTGTTTGTCTCAAACTCGTCCTTGTTGTCCTCGACGAGGACAACGCGTTGCAGATCGCATCGCGGTATCTTCAATTTGGAACCGACCGAGTAAGCTCGCACGCGGTTCGAATTCTGCCCTGTATCATTTATATAGCCATGTCGTGAATTCATCTTTAAATGCTCAATTTTGTTGCCTATAGAATAAGCACGAATGGGACGTCCGCATCTGTAAGCAAAGAAGCATAAAATCAGTAGAGATCAACCATAAATACAAAGATGTTGTATACTCACTGATTATCCGAGTCCAAATCCAATTCCTTGGAGAGTTTTTCGGACATATGTTCAGGAAAATTGAAATGCAAATTGGCCTCTTCAGACCTTTGCAAATCCACCTTTTCGTGTTCATCGTTGGTTGGTTTAATGGGAGTCATCATGGTATAGGTTTCGTCACATTCTAAACTCAATAAATAAATAGATTTTTATCTGAACAATTAACATTTTGATGGCTAACTCACCGCTTAGTCCAGTGACTTTGCTGGATTCGGCACAAACAAAGTCATCAAGGTTCTCCTCAGGTATTGCGCTCTTCGACGAACGAGTGCTGTGGAAAAAGGTTTTTAATATGTATTTCTTATGCTGAGAAAAAAAGAAACTCACTTTAGTCGGTAGTGGCTAAAGCTTCCATTATCATCAGATTCGTCTATACTAATCGACGACTCTTCGGATTCGGAGCATCTTAATGGCATGTTGAACGTTGGACTATTGCTATGGTGCTTGTTGGATGACGAATGCGGACGGATGCCAGAAATGGTGTTGGATCTCAGTCCATGATTCGATCCAAAGTATGTTTGATTACTGCACTCGCTAAGGGTGCCATTTCTGGTTGGTAAACTGTCACATCTCTCACGCGAAAAGCCTAAAATAAAAATTATAAGTAACTGCGAAAAGTGGGTTTCCATTACAAATTCTTACCATAATTATGGGGGGAACTACAATTACGCAGTTCGAGTGACTTTTGGCGATTGTGAATAACATTTATTGGCTTTGAGGCTTCGTTTGCCGACGATGAGCGCTGCCTCATTGGCACATTACTAAAATCTGGTCTAGCTTGAAAGGAATTTATTAAATTTACATTCGACTCTGTTTTAGCTGACATGGCGCTGCAAAAATATAATAAAATACATTAATATCAGGCAAAAAAAAGAGGTCCCAATTGAGTTCTCCTACCTTAATATCGTATTGTGCATATTTGTCGCTATTGCTGCATTATCCGTTTCCATCCACAGCTCGCCAGAGCCCAAAACACTCTGCCGGCCAAGTTCCATATAGAAAATACATTGTGGGGATGCATGGCCGCATCTGGAGGTAATATATTTAAAAATTATGCTTTAGGTTTTACGTATTTCTTAAGGAGTTTTCCTTACCGCCGTATCGTTGTGAGAAGAACTTCAATGCTAGCCACTCGGTGATCACCGTTGGGGGTCTTCTCCGGTCCTATGCACACGAACGTCAGGGACTTGGAGCTAAGGCAGCAGTGATAGGTTCCAGTGATTCCCACCTTCTCCGCCAGTCCCTTCTTCTGGATAACCACTTGCCAGACATGGTCTGCAACAAATTGGGAAGTGTGAATAAAAAAAGATTCAAACAAGAATGCAAGCTAGCTTCGGGAAGCCAATATATGACTTTACGGCAAGAATTGGATTAATGGCCTTCGCATAAACCAAAGGAAACCTAAAATATATGTATTCTAGGTATATTAAATCGATATTTTTATATGATCATTTTTTTTTTGGTAAATTAAAGATTTTGAAATATCATTACTCAGCTAAAAGTACAATAAATTTAATTTGGAAAGCTTTTTTAAGCTTGTTTTTAAAAACATGTAATTTTTTGTCATATTTTGACAATTTTAACGACGTAACCCCTTATAACATTTTCAAAATTTTGAAAAAACTTAATTTAAGCCGGACACATCCAGATCGATTCAGCTGTTGACGCTGATCAATAATATATATATATGATTTATAGGGTCGGAAATGACTCCTTCACTACGTTGCAAGCTTTTGCCTGAAATTTTAATACCCAGCAAGGCTATAAAGACACAAACATATTACAGAGACACATACCATATGTGGAGAACACCTGACCATTGGTGTTTGCTATATTCCTTTGTAGAAATAGCAGCTTATCGAGCCATTTGCGCAAATCGTTTTCGCTCTCCAACACAATGCCGAAGCCGCCTTCTCTGGAGGACAGCACTATGACATATCTGTGCTTGGTGTCCAGGCGGCGATTGATATTAAAGCAGTTCTTCAAGTATATTATCCTCTTTGGCTCTGCCTTTTGCAGGAACTTCTTTTCCGTGTCGTAGTATTCCAGGCGTGCTGTAGCATTGCACGTTTCCTCGTACAAAACGAAGAACTTCTTCTTCATGGTCTTCAACTTCTTTTGGTAGCCGCTGAGGACCATCCCGTCGTCCGAAATTGATGCCATTATTCCTGTAATGTAGGCAACATGTGATGTAAATTTAATTATGTAAAACTGTTTGTGTTCATCGTTCGAGAACCTACATAAGTCTTTGTCACTTTCATTGTTGTCATTATTAAGACTTATTTAGAACACTGTATACCCCGTTGAAGTGTTTTAAATTTGTTAAATCATAAAACACACGACATTTGCTGATCACACAGGAAAACTATACATTTACCACAACGAATCTCATAGTTTCACCCACATTCAATATCAACATCAACATCCTTGCCTTTGCCTTGCCGTCTGTCAACATCAAACATCAACATCAACATCAGCATACGTAGTACGCAATTACGTCGTTTATGTCAATAATTGCATGGCAGCGCAGAGACAGCGCTTACTGGACGAAAGATTAGAATCGGTGAGTGGCGATGGAATTCATAATTGGCCCGCACTGTACACTTTGTTTATTTCAATTTTCTGCGTAATGTCTTAGTGCAGCCAATGGGGCTAGATGCTCAATTCATTATACACACACTTACACGCGAACATATGTACATATGTATATATGCTTGTACATATTTTGTTTTATAGATGAGCATCATAAATATATATGCATGTACGTATGTACATATATCTGAGGAATTCTAATACATCTTACATATGTATCTACGAGTTATTCGCTCTGTATGTATGTACATGCAAATATATGTACATATGGCACTCCGAGTGATACGGTTTACAAACGCACATGGATATGGCGTATTATTCATCGCCAGCAAATCAACTAATTGCATGTATTACCTAAAGTATCTTGCTGCTTGCCGCACTAATACTTCGAATATCAGTAATTGCAATTACTCCGTTTGGTACATTTAGGATTTGTATTATTATTGTTCAACGCAATTCTTTATTATCAAACCCACATTTATTCGCGATGACACTTTACTGTAATCGAACTATCGATAGTACTTATTTATCGAATACTTTTACGCGAATCGCATCCGTTACATGTTTTTATTTTTAAATGTTTTACTGTCTGTTTTTATACCCTTGCAGTGTATTTTATGTTTAGTCAGAAGCTCGAAACTCAGTGAAGGAATCATATCCGACCCTATCAATATATATTCTTGATCAGCATCAACAGCTGGCTTAATATAGCTATGACTGGCTTAAATTTTTTTTTTTTCTAAATGTTGAAAATTTTGTAAGGGGTTACATCGCTAAAATTGTCAAAATTTGATTAAAAATTACATTTTTTAAATTTTAAAACTCGGTATGCAGATTTGTTAACCCTACAAAAACTAGCCTAGAACACATTTCCGAACTGAAATTAATGATTTTTTGGCTTAGTTATGATTGTTTAAAAACTTCGATTTACCTAAAATATTAGCAAAAAAAAAATATTGATTTAATATATTTTAGTTGTGATATGTTTCGCCGTTTGAGCACCAATGTAGATCTTCATAAACTTTAATACTTCTTGTGTTATAGACCGCAGAATAAATAGTCTCAGGCGCTTAAAGTAAGAAATTATAATGTTTTGTGTATTGATTTTATTTCTTTAATGGTTACTATATTTTTAAATACAATTTGAATATTTTATTTGTTGTAATAATTTAACAACACATGCCGCATTGTTTGGTAAGCTTTAGTTTTTTATTATGACTGACTAAGGAGAAAAAAGTCGATTTCTACCGCGTTCTATTATTGTGTGCTTCGTAGTCCATAACTTCCTCATAAATTAGCTCTTTCCATTGCTCCACAGTGTGCTCTCTCTCGTCAACACTGTGATCATAGGGCTCCGGTGCAGGCTGAAATATTTAATATCTCGTTAGACCTTCAACTTAGGGTAGAAATAACTACATTTGGTTCACTTACAGCATCCACTTCCTCAGCATCATACCAAACGTTGATATATTCATGCTTTAAAGCCTCGTCCACCGATATCCGCTGTTCTGGATCAATGACGAGCATTTTGCTGAGAAGATTTCTAGCGTCAGAAGCCTTCCGGCGGCTGTTCTGATTATTATCATTTGGAAACAATCCATCGGGAAAGAGTCTATCAAATGAGTATCCAGTATATCTAGGACGATTCTCTACATAGTTTCGGACGGTTGGCTGTAACCGCTGCATAAATGAGGGCGAAGGTGTGCCTAATTGCTCTGGAAAGATAACGAATTATGTAGATCAAACCGAACTCAACGATTCGCACAACTAATTACCAATAATTTTGTTCCACTGATCTATATGATCCGTTCCAGGAAAGAGTACGCCTCCGCGTATCATTTCACCCATGATGCAGCCCACGGACCAAATATCCACGTTCTCGGTGTAGCCCATTCCCAAAATGACCTCTGGGGCCCTGTAGTATCTTGTAACCACGTATGGGGTCATCATAAAGGTGGTGCCTGCGGTGCGTGCAAGACCAAAGTCTAAAATTTTTAGAGTGCAGTCTGCCTTTACAACTATATTGGATGGTTTTAAGTCCTGTAAAGGTAACATTTTAAAATACGCAGATATGTGAAAAGTTGTTTAATATGATTCATTGGAATGTCTTACTCTGTGTATAATTCCAGCTGAGTGTAAATGTTTTATTCCACATAACATTTGGTAAAGCAAATACGACATTCTATCGTGATCCAAATCCATTTGAATTACTTGGCAGAGATTAGCGTCCATCAACTCCATGACAAGATAAACATCCTGAAACTCCTCCAAGTTTCTTTGGGGAGTGAAAGCATTAAGTAAGCCAATAATCTAGGAAAATGTGATTTATTAACATTTTAATTTCCATTTATATATTTATACACTTACGTTTTTGTGATTAACAAGCTTCATTAGCTTAAATTCTCTATAAGCTCTCTTGGCATGGGTAACGTTTTGGAATGGTCGAGATAACTTTTTGATGGCCACATTTTGCTCGGTAACAGTATCGTAGGCGGCGCTAAAATAGTGTTTAAAATAGTTCATAATTAGTAAGCATGAGAACAATATTGAGATTGAAATATAAGAGTAAACCTGTCTTTTAAATTTCAGTGATTCAAAAATCAATTATATCGATTTGCTCAAGTGGGTAAGTAGGACTGTTAAGGATAGTATAGACGTAGGATCAACTTACCATACTATTCCTTGAGCACCGGAACCGATTGGCCTTAAGTTAATGTACCGACTATGAATGGTAAAGTTGGTATCACCCACCTCGACGGTGTAGTGTTGGTGCTGTGCGGCCATCATTGAAACGGATTACTTGTTACTTTCAGTTGAAAGCAAGGAGCATATCGGCCTGGAAGTATTGAAATTTTCAAATCGGCTAAAATAAATCAATAAAGGGCTACTTCTTTTAATAGATACACATACTAATTTTTCTGCCCTCACTGTATAGAGTTCTATAGCTATTAAAATGGAGTGGGGTAGTTTTCAGAGTATTTCGTCAGAATAACAACTGTTCTCGGACTGGATTAGAGGGTAGGAAAACATGAACTTCACTGGCCGCCGTATTGAACCGAAAGTTGTGGACACATTTAATGGGCCTATGTTGTCACGAAGGGCGTTGCGGGGAGGCAGACCGTGGTGTGGTGCGATTTTTTGCGAAACCCCCAGAAATTAGGGAAAGGAAGCGGCCAAAGAAAATATTACATTGATTTACATTTTAAAATTACAATTGCATAACTGAGGCAGTAATCAACTTAACTGTCTTTATACACACATGGCATGTGCGGAACACCTTCGTTGATAACAGATAAAGGGATCCACGAGTCAGTGTGTACAATTGTCGAAAGCTTAAACAAAAAAATAAAACAATCATATCCGCTGGAAAAACGTTTTACCACACACACAAAGCAAGTTATTTAAAATCGATAGTCGGCTTAAACATAAAAGCACGGAATGTTGGACCACTTCGATGTACATAAGTTTATATGTATGCGCGGCCTGTAAATATGTACCTACGACCAATGTGTGCTGGAGAAGATTGTAAACGGCTAGGGATGTAAACTGCATACATACGTATCTCAAGAAAAAACAGAATGTATCTGAAATAAGTTGGCTTAAACGAATTTAAAAAAGAAAGTGTGAGCGACTTCTCTACGCAAGATAGCGGCCTCCTGGTAATGTCATTTTGTATATCTTGTAAATGTTAGATATATGTCTATATATGCGCATACATATGTATGTAGGTACACACACTTCTGGAGGATGAAATTTTTTTGTTAAATATCAATAATTTTTTCATTACCGGCACAATTGTCTTTATTATCAATATCGATTATTACACGTTTGTGTGAGTCTCAGAGTCGGTATTTTGTATGGGAATAACGTAATAGAATATTTATTTACCAGTTAATGCAAGAAATGTACAATTTTCTTATCGAAATATAAGATCGATTTTACGCTTATCTTATTCTAAACACTGGGCACTAAGAGTCGCGTACATTTTCCGATTTGTATAACGATATTGGAAATTATGGAAATAACTATGTTCCGCACATTCGCATCAGAATAATTGTACATAGATACAATATACGAAAATCTATTGGAATATTCGATCACAACAAAGTAAAGTGGTGTGACCAGAGTTGAGCAGGGTCAAAAAACACAATAGAATATGTATCTCATATATCGGTTTGATATGAAGAAAGAAAATCAATGGCATATGCAAAATAAAACACGATTTTTCTAATTTTATAAAAGTAATCGTTTTCGTGGTGTTGATTAAATGATAAATATTAAAACACTCGAATGTTTCATACCCCATCGTTCCCAATCACTGAAAGCATTTATTATCGACTAAATATCGAATGCCACTTGGGGAAAGTAGCGTTGTCATTGCATCACTAACAATAAATAAACACAATAAAGACAAACCCAGCGATATGAAGACGGTTAGCCGGCGGTGATTCACAAAGTAATAAAAATTAAAACCTCTTTTTTGTATTTGTAGTCATCACCGGCACTGAAATACTTACTGGAGAAGGATGTGCAGGTCTCGAAGCATTTTGTGGTTGCCGTGTCCAACCTGTCGTTCTTCAAATCTCTGAGGATACACAGTAGATTTCTCGAGATATCCTGCGATGGGATCGCCTGGTTCGCATCGTGGATTGCCTTCATATGGCTGCTCAGCTCGAAAGACTTGTATCAGATGCAAGTGAATATGCTTTTTGGATTGGTACTTGATGTGGTTGTCGTGGCCGTTCTGAAGGCGCTCGTGCGACGACGCAGACCGGTGGCCAGTAAAGATATGATGACAATAGGTCCCGACAAGTTCAGTTTTCCGTCTGGACACGCCTCCCGAGCGTTCTTCGTGCTTCTGTTCTTTGCAAAGCTGTATCCCCTTCACATTGTATTTCTAATGCCGATGACTGCGTGGGCTGTTAGTGTGGCTATCTCGCGACTTATCCTGCAACGCCATTATGTCTTGGATATTTGCGCTGGTGCAGTCATTGGGATTTTGGAAGCCTTAGTCATTGGATTGTTTTGGATCAGTGAGAAGTCCGCCTTTGATATTGTTGGCTTCCTTTCCTCGGAAAATGTGGACAGTGCGGCGGAGTAACCAAAATTTGGCATTAATTCGTCAGAAAGCTGTAATTAAATTTTAAAATACTAATTGAATTGTGCTCTGTACCAAATACATTGTTGATATTATACGCATAATTATTAATTGAGGGAACACTCCTTGCTTTCTGTTTCTTAGGCCAGTAAGTATCTGTGACCAATAAGTATGTATGATCAGTTACTAACTTTGAACAGTAATAAACAATGACTTGCAACTTTTGTAACAACACATTTCTGAAACTTTGCCGACAGCAGTTACTTCGTTCTGGGAATGTTTGAACCAGTTGGGAATCATATGATATGATGATCAACTATGAACAGTAAGTATCTAAGGCCAGTAAGTAACTCTAAACAGTAAGTATCTATGACCAGTAAATAACTTTGGTAAGTGAGTAACTATGAGCAGTTATTAACTATGATCAGTATTTAACTATGACCAGTAAGTAACTATGAGCAGTTATTAACTATGATCAGTGAGTATCTATGAGCAGCAAGTAACTCTGAACAGTAAGTATATATGATCAGTTACTAACTTCGAACACTAATAAACAATGACTTGCAACTTTTGTAACAACACATTTCTGAGACGTGGCCAGCAGCAGTCACTTCGTTCTGGGGATGTTTGAACCAGTTGGGAATCATATGATATGATGATTAGCTATGAACAGTAAGTATCTATGACCAGTAATTAACTATGACTATATATATAATTAACTATGCAAGTACCTATGATCAGTAAGTATCTATGGGCAGTAAGTAACTCTCAACAGTAGTAAGTATCTATGACCAGTAAGTTTCTATGAACACCAATAAACAATGACTTGCAACTTTTGTAACACAACACATTTCTGAGACTTGGCCGGCAGCAGTCACTTCGTTCCGTGGAAGATAGAACCAGTTGGGAATCATATGTATGAACACATGCGCGAGATTTGTTTTGGAACAAATGTAAGAGCAAACTATTTAACTGAAACTATGGAGTTATTCTTCTATATAATTTTACTAATATATAATTCGGAGCATGGCGAATCGGTGGACTATATATGTACATATATATAGCTACCATAGGAACAATCGGAGAAGTTTTAGAAAAACAACTATAACTTTTCCAGTTCTCAACCGATTTTCATCAAGTTTGATATATAGCCATTATATATTAATCTAAAATTTTGTGTAAAATGTAATGAAAATCGGACTACTATATCATATAGCTGCCATACATACGATCGTTACAAATAGATGAAAATTCAAAGCGCTGAATGTAAAACTCTATATCTAAAATTTGTAGGTGGTTAAAATGATTTAAATTTAAAACAATATCGATACATCGATAAGCAACCGATAGGAACCCCTGCGCGAAGGGATGAAATGTATCAAGTTTTCGCGAAAGGACAAATACAAAAATATTTTTCGCAGGGTCGACATGTCAATTAGTTAATTGCTATAACAAAAATTGTGTATATTGTTTGGCCCAGAGCTTTACAAAATGACCAAGAAATCAGCATTTGTTTTGAGCTTTTTGCTACTCCTTTTTTTAAAGACGACGAAGGTGCAGACAACCAGTAGTATGGGCTCGGGAATATACGGGTAGGTATTTAGATCCATAAAAAAAAGCAAACAAACTTTTTAGTGTCCATGGAAATTAGCTGTTCAATTAAAGTTTTAACAAATTTGTATTTTTTCTCCATCAGGTTTCAACAATCGTCAGGGATTTGTCACTTATACAACGGCACTATTTGCCGCGATGTCCTTAGCAATGCCTACGTTTTTGTATCACCGAATCTCACTATGAATTCCTTGGAGGAGCGACTAAAGGCCGCATATGGCGTTATTAAGGAATCGAAGTAGGTCTTCTCCCTTACTAAGCAGTTATATTCCGTGCTAATTTCTTCTCTTTCAGAGATATGAATGCAAATTGTCGAATGTATGCACTGCCAAGCTTGTGCTTTAGCTCCATGCCTATCTGCCGAACTCCGGAGCGGACGAATCTGTTGTATTTTGCCAATGTGGCTACGAACGCTAAGCAATACAGTAAAAACTCGAATTTTACCATACGCCGAAAGAGGACCAAAAGCAAGGACATGAAAAGCATTAATATTTTCAAAAAGAAATCCACCATTTACGAAGATGTGTTCAGCACAGATATTTCGAGTAAATACCCGCCAACGAGAGAATCCGAGAACCTGAAGCGCATCTGTCGCGAGGAGTGCGAACTCCTTGAAAACGAACTTTGCCAAAAGGAGTATGCCATTGCCAAACGTCATCCGGTTATTGGTGTGGTTGGCGTCGAGGATTGCCAAAGATTGCCCCAACACAAAGATTGCCTGTCCCTGGGCATAACCATTGAGGTGGACAAGACCGAGAACTGTTACTGGGAGGACGGCTCTAGCTACAGAGGAGTAGCAAACATATCGGTGTCCGGAAAGCCATGCTTGAGGTGGTCCTGGCTGATGAAGGAAATTTCCGACTTTCCTGAGCTCATCGGTCAGAATTATTGCAGGTATTTTAAGATTATAAGGATCACAGACTAATAAATATTTCATTCTGTTGCTATATATTCTTAGAAATCCCGGAAGTGTTGAAGACAGCCCTTGGTGCTTCGTAGACTCTTCTCAAGACCGCATTATAGAACCTTGTGATATCCCCAAATGTGCCGATAAGATTTGGATTGGCATTATCGGGACGACAGCAGCCACCATATTGATTTTTATAATAATATTTGCCATTATAATATTTAAACGGCGGAAAATCATGCACTACGGAATGAGAAATATTCATAATGTAAGTATTAGTCTCCAGACAGATATAGAGATAAATGATCAAATCATTTAATTTTATAGATCAATACACCCAGCGCTGATAAGAACATCTATGGGAATTCGCAGCTTAATTCTGCACAGGATAATACCAGAGCCAATTTAGGAAACTTATCGGATCATGTTGCGTTGAACTCCAAGCTTATTGAGAGAAATACGCTATTAAGAATTTCGCATTTTACACTCCAAGACGTAGAGTTCCTGGAAGAGTTGGGCGAAGGAGCTTTTGGTGAGTTAATTATGAGTTACATAGATGATAGAACCTATACATAAATATAAATCACTATTTTAGGAAAAGTCTACAAGGGTCAGCTTTTGCAGCCGAACAAAAGCACGATAACGGTCGCAATCAAAGCGTTGAAAGAGAACGCCTCGCTGAAGACACAGCAGGACTTTAAGCGTGAAATCGAACTGATATCGGATCTGAAGCATCAAAACATAGTCTGTATATTGGGAGTGGTGTTGAACAAGGAGCCCTACTGCATGCTTTTCGAGTACATGGCCAATGGAGACTTGCACGAGTTCCTCATCTCAAACTCACCCACTGAAGGCAAGTCCTTGTCGCAACTGGAGTTCCTGCAAATAGCATTGCAGATCAGCGAGGGAATGCAGTACTTGTCGGCACACCACTACGTTCATCGCGACCTGGCTGCTCGAAACTGTCTGGTTAATGAGGGATTGATAGTAAAAATATCAGATTTTGGACTCTCAAGAGATATTTACAGCTCGGATTACTATAGGTAACTGCAATAGTCTGGTTTACTAGTGAAAATTAGCTTAACAGTGTCTATTTTTTTCCAGGGTTCAGTCAAAGTCCTTGTTACCTGTCCGCTGGATGCCCTCCGAATCGATATTATATGGAAAGTTCACCACCGAAAGCGATGTCTGGTCATTTGGCGTCGTCCTTTGGGAGATTTACAGCTATGGAATGCAGGTAAATATAGAAATATTTCACTTTAAAGACACAGAATCTAAGTTTTAATTTATTCCAGCCATATTACGGATTTAGCAATCAGGAAGTGATAAATTTAATCCGCTCAAGACAACTGCTATCCGCACCAGAAAACTGTCCCACTGCCGTCTATTCACTGATGATCGAGTGCTGGCATGAACAATCTGTAAAGCGTCCAACATTCACTGATATCTCGAACCGTCTCAAAACCTGGAACGAAAGCCATTTTAAAACCAGTAATCCAGAAATGTAAACGTATCGTACTTTCATATGTATTTTGAACAAGAATGGACTGTAACATATAAGTAGGAGCTAAGAATTTACGTAAAATAAAAAAATTGAAAATATAAGTCGGTGGGGATGCGCATTCTACGTCGTATTTCGTTTCGTTTTTTGTTCTTTATTAAGTGAGATTTGCGTTTAATAACCTTATGGTATTCATTTTATGTATTTAAATGAGTTCTTTGTTGCATTTGACACTTGGATTAACCTGTGGCGATGCCCAAAGCAACGCCACCGAAAAAGGATGCCAAAAAGATGTGGAGATCGTTGATCTTGGGCCCTTCCTCATCGCCAATGAGCTTGGAATACCATTTTGCTGCCTTTTTGCCATTCCTTGTTAGCAAGCTCTCGGCCTTATCTAATTTGTTGTCCACAAATCGTTCGGTCTGCAAAGTAATATGTAAATAATGTTTAATATTAAAATATGACTAGCCTGTTTATTATTTACCTTTTCTTTCCAATTTTTCTCGCGACCAAGCGACGATTCAACTTTGTCGGCCAGCCTGTCAACGCTTTTATCGAGCTTAGTCCAATTTATTTTGATGAGTCCCTCCTGGTGTGCGATCTCCAACAAAATAATACTGCCGCCAACGGCGAAGGCGGCAAATTTTCCTATTTTCATTGTTGTGAATCCAGTGGCCCTGTGAAATTATGAAACAATTATATATCTGTGTAAATATATGTACATATAGATACGTATACGGCAGGACTTAAAAAAATACGTAATATTTATGTACAGCAAGAACTTTATTCTGCAAACATAAAAGGCAAAAACAACAATGGCTATGCGGCGAATGAATCACTGCATTATGAAGTCATAAAATCGCAATGCAGACAACGTCAACCACGAATTCTGTAGTTTGTCGGATATTATATATGCATGTACGTTAACATCTAATATACATAAGCACAAAAGCATAAACTTGATAAATGCATAAAAAGAACTGCAAATATCCCTGTGAAGTTTATTGATTAGGACCGCAATGATGCAACACTTACCATCCTGAAGTTACTCCAATCAACATTTGCGAATAGGCAGAACGACGGCTTATGTCGCTAAAAACATTCTTAAAAAATTCTGAATAATTACTCATTGTTAAAATTAGATATTTGACGTTAAACTGCAAATGCCTATGAAAGTTTGATGTCAAATGTACACAACAATAATATAAGGGTAGTCAAGGTAGCGTCATATTTGGCATCATTTGAGGAAAAGAAAATTTGGAACAAGGAAACGAAACAGCATTCAAACTTATTATATTTTACACTTTTTAAATTTAAATTAAATTTTAATTCGTAGGTAACTTAAACTTTGAATTTATTGACTTTAGACATAATTGAAATGGAAAATTACAATACTTTAATTGACGTTCAAAAATTATTTTCTAGGCGATTTAAATTTTACATGAAATTTTCGTTCGGTAAAAAATTTAAAATGATCAATACTGATAAAATGGAAAAAATAATTTTGTACTTAAAAACTTTAAAAATTATTGAAAACTTAAAGCAATTATTAGGTTTGCAACCTGTTTTTTTAAATACATAAATATTTTTTTAAAACATGGCCCCAGCCTCAGTCCCTTACTATAGTCATAGCCGATAAGATCCTTTGCAAGGTTTTTTATTTTCTATATTATTCCGACCAAGTTTACCTTGACATTATTAGCTATTTAAAACCAGTAGACAAAGAAAACCCAAAGTTCGAATGAAATCTACAATACAAAATGTACATGAGTTTATTTAAAATAATTGTTAAAACTACTTAAATAAATATCATACAGTATATATTTACAAATTCGAATAGATTAGCCAATTACTTAGCAATTTTAATTACTTTGCTAAATCACCAAGAATTATAAGTCCGTAATAAGCATTGATTACAGGTATGTTGATTCACCTAAAACGAAATGAAAGAACATATATCAATTAGAATAGAAGAAACTTGAGCCACATGAACAAATGTTTATAATTATATTTTGCTACATTAGTTTAGACAATGTAAACTCGATGAAAATGACTGTGATACAGAAGCATACATTTATTTTGTTAAAGTTAAAGATATGTCGATTTAGTTGGTGTTTATATTTCATGGAAATCATTCAGGTGTCATCGATGCATAATTGTGAACAATAAATTGGACAATGTCCGCATGTCAGCTTACTTCAAAAAGAACATTCTACACAGTATTCATGAAGTCGTGAGAGATGTTTAATGAGAGACGACAATATGTGGATACGGATTAGTTTAATTTTTGAGCAGCAGGCCTGAGCTCTCACTCACCTATTTTGTTTATATTCTAAACAGATGTGTGCAGGGCCCCACTGTTTTCGATCATTTTCCCGTTTAAAGGAAGGAAGCAGATCTTGGACAGCCTATCTGCCAGCATATATGCTCTCAAAGTCTTGGGGACATATAAATCCATTATTCTATATATATTTTAAACATATATGCAATCCAGTTCTGGTGGCTTCGTTTTATACAGCAAAAAATAAGAGATCGTTCAGCCAGAAGTCTTTTAAATCGTCTCGGATGATTATTCTGGCGAAGTCAATAAGAATATAAGTGGGTGGACGATATATGAGAAGATAGACAGAGCTCGCAAATAACAGACTTTTTCCTTGCCAACATTATTTGCGCGCTCTGGTGGCAAGAGAAGGCAAAGTGCTGGGCAATTAAACTTCTGAATGCAATAAATACTATTTTTACTATTAATTGTACAAAACAAAACAAAAGGAACAAAAGGAACAAAGAAATCGGGAATGGTCGAGCACTGGTGTTCACAGCTTGCAAGATTTTCAGATCATTTGTGTCGGGTCAGGTAGGATTATTATGGCAAACTCATGTCGGAAAACTCACCGGATTCCCAATCTTCCTCGCCTTCTTCGGTGCCACAGCTGAATTTTGGATTGGAGGATTGATTACATGTGATGTATGAATTGTAATTGATGTTCTTATTCTCATTTATACTTCGAGTGTCAGAAGAGCTGGTGATATGAACATCGCTATTCTGCCATGTGATTAAATCGGTTTTCTTAATGGACGGCTGATTATTATACATATGATTCTTTTTTATATCCTCTCTTGTGCTGGAATCATTCAAGCTGGATGAAAGAGGCTTGCTATTATTGGGCTGTTTGCGTTTAGACGCGCTCGAAGAAGAACAAGTGTTTTTTGAATTGGCTGATGTGTCGTATTGAATTTTAGTCTACGGATATTAGATTTATAGATTAAGCATATTATTGGGTTCTCCGCAAAACGTGTTCACACTTACAACTATATTGTGATCCTTATGATCCAATAACGGTTCTATAGTTTGACTTTTCGATGTATTATTCTCATTGACGATCGCACTCAGGGCTTTTTTCTTAAGAAAACAGTTGTGTAAAACGTTGTCGTTCTTCTCCAACTCTGAGGGTTGTTCAGCTTGCACATTATTGCAATAATTATCTGCCTCAAATATGATTGTAAACTGTAATAAAAGATATGAAAAACTGCATTAAACTATTGCAAACTTGAATAGCGAGTAATATCAAACCTCGAAATTCGAAAGCTTTCTTTCGAACTTCTCACTATTAATTTACCTTGAAATCCTCTGAAAATTTATGTTTCCTGTCCTTGTGAACATCATCAATTTCCGATTTGCTTAAAGTGAGTGTATATTTATTAACTGATCCCTCGGCTTCACAATCTAATACAAAATATATACATTAATGTACGTCCTTTTTAGCTTTTTGTCAGTTTACTCACTTGAAGAATTTTGCACAAAAAATGTATTCAGCCAGAAGTGACAAACTATCTTTCTTGAGGATTTTTGTGCTAGTTCAAATTTTAAATCACCGGCAACTGCAAAAGATGGACTACTGGTCAATACAAATGATTTCTGGAAATCAATCGTCCAGGTTTTCAGTCTCTGCAAGAAGTAAATAAGCAATGAAAATTATTTTTATTATGATTAAGAATGAATTTAGAGAATATTTTTGCCACAAAAATAATACTCACTTCTGGCTTAACATTTTCAGTAGCTGAGTCGGTTAATACAGATACTGAGCATTCAACCGTTCCTAAATTTTGCAGAAAACTGGACACCGAGAATCGTATTTCACAGACCTGAGAGTAAATTTTTTTTTGTGTTATTAGCAATGTCTAATAAGTTCAATTGTAGAGTTATACTTACGTTAAGGCTTATTTTCGAATATGGAACACTTGAACAAACTAATTTGGAAAAATACTGAACATATCGACGCTGAGATGGGATTGTCACACCTTTACCATCCTTTGTACGCTTCTCATCATACCACGCTAATGCCTCATCGGCGGACTTCTTTAATCCGCTATACAGTAAATATGCACAAATCATGGTTCCTACGAGGAAGATTGATTACTAGGGCAAGGAATATTGAAAATTAAGAGATTTCCTTACCGGTTCTTCCTTTGCCCGCTTTGCAATGTATGGCCACAACATTAGCATCGTTTTCCTTTAGCCACAGGTCAACGTCTTTGCAGAATCGTTGTATTAACTCGATAGTTGGAGGGTTATGGTCTTCGAATGGAAAGATACCCACTCTCTGTAATCGTAATTATTGTCAGTACTTTGAGGTATGAGAAGTATGAGCTTTGTGCAAGCAAAATGAAGCTTACTCCGTGAAACTTGGAGATGTCGTAGTTGCGCTCTGGGCAAAGATTGTATATCTTGTAATGTTGGCCATGATTCTCCTCCAGAAACTTGTATACGTCTTCAAAGCGGTTTCGATATATTCCCTCTAGTATATCGGGCGCTGGATATCCCATGGCAATGATGCGCTCGTCAATGTCTAAACAGGGTTGGAAAAATTATATTACAACCATAAGAGACAAATTAATTAAAAATTTTACTTACAAGTAAGATCCAGGTTGTATCCCTTCTCCTTATATCGTATACGTTTTTTGCTCACTACATTGCGTATCGCGTTCGACATTAACGAAATGGTGTTTGCCATAGTTTTGTAAGTTAAAAGACTTGATCAAATTATTTTAGCTGCATCCATTCAAAAATCTATTTGGAAATCCATTTACGACTACGACTATTTTTCCATATCAATATTTGAGGTTCTGCAATGATAAACGAAAATTAAAAAATTATAAGAAGACATTGCCTTTTTATTTGTTCGGTATTGAATGGTGCTGAATGAAATGACAGGTATGTTCTTTTGATCTTTCATTTTCTAAATTGTTTTTTGTGCAAAGGAGTGTTTACTTTTGAAACAAGAATGGTTATAAGCTACTCTAATACTCCAATGATTAGAAGATGATCTGCAGAGCTTTGGTTCCGTGAAAATAAGTATTATTGTGATATAGGACCGGTTTACCATCTCTGTTATGAATCCCTACTCCCTGTCTAATCTTTTACGGCTCGAAATCAGAACATCTGATTTCTGCTTGCGATTTGCGACTGCATTTATTTCTCTTTCAGATAAAGTACTGGCACCAAGAAAACCGAAGAAAAAGGACAAGCCGCCCTTGCCATTCTCTTCCGAAATCAGCGAACATGTGTGTATATACATTTTAATAATTTTAATACAGTTATACTGTCTGAAAAAACATGTCTTTACTTGAAAAGTGACGACTCCTTAACAAGGACTTAATATCGCATTTAATTTTGGTATATGTACTTATAATTGCCACTCACACACGCAGAAACACAGTACGACATACAAGTGAATGACCATACTTACATGTTTAGGGATTTTATCAATGATAAACAAAATAATCATTTTCCTCTTAGCAAAATACATTTATTGGCCGAATTATTATTGTTCAACTTGCCAATATTATATATCGTATATCGTTCTTATTGAAGTCAATGCACAATGTACGGAATTTGATGAATTTAATTGGTGCACTGAATGAACCGAACGAAACTGCGCTTGTTTTAAAACAATCGAAATCCTTGTTAGAGAACACCGAATTAATCTAAATTACTTAACATAGCGACATGATTTTGGCAACAGCAACTGTTTTTTACTTTTCTTTTTGTTTTATCTTGTAGTAGACACACACTTTTTGGACAAACTGTTTGCGAATGGTGGTATGTATTGTAGTTAGAGCACACACATATGCATGTAGAGAAATATGCAGATATGCATGGGCATGTGCGCATATATGCACAGATTTTTCGTGCAATTATGTACATATTTGTTTAAATAAAAACATATTTACAGCAGAATCCACAGACATTTTACACATTTACACTATCAGCAGCACAGGCACCACACGAATATATGGGCCTACTCTTTAATACATATGTATGTTATGTATGTATGTGCATATGGGTATGTTTAAGTCAATAAGCTAAATGTATTTGGGTTCCAACCGAACGAGTTTCTGTTACTGCATCTTAAAAAGTTATCACATGTTATACATTAAGCCACGAAATTCCAAATAAAAACTTTTAAATTATGTGTAAAACTTAAACAATAGCTCATGCTCTATTAAATGTATTTTAATTTATCAAGCGTGAGATCCACAAATCTAGAGGTGATAGTAGTTTTAGGGCTAGCAAGTAATTGTTATCGATAGTCAGTGTGACCCTCAAAATCCTCTCTGTGTATCTAAATCTGAGAAGTGGAAATGGACGATGAAATGGTGCAGGTATCGATACATAGTTTTTCCGATGATTATTATTGCTGGGTTTAAGAATTTAAATTATCGCAATCGTTTTTTAAATTATATCGAATTAGAAAGAAAATGTTGTTTACCAAGGTGCCTATTTACCTTGAAAGACTTTCTGGGAGAAAATAATTCAATACATATCTGTATATAATTTAAACCTTATTGATTTAGGACATTTTTGGGCGTTTCGGAAAATTGTTATACCAGATAGATAAGAAAACAAACTTTTTGTCGTAACAACCAATTCCGTTTCTTTTATTTATGTATCTGCCTTTTAATATATCATTTGTGCATAAAAATGTATTCGCAGTCACTAAAATGGCTTCAAATGGCTACTTTACCCCTTAAACTAACTAATCGACCAAATTTTAGATGAATATTGCTGTACTATTATTTATATTTTAATTGCGATCCAATGAATCTTAATTTGGTGACTCTAATGAAAAATAAAAAATTAAACCATATTTCAAAGATATATATAAACTAAGAGTACTAAATGTCATTTACTATTTGTATACACAATAATTTTTATAAATGATCAAATCAAAAGTTTTAAATTCACAGCCTGATTATAAATAAAAATAGCGTTAAAGTGTGATTGTATACATCCTGAAGAAAACCTTTCATTATAATAGCCTTTCAGAAAAATGTCTTACCATGTTTACAAGTAAATATTTTTGAAATATTGAGGAGTTCACTGGCATGCGAACTCCCCTAATTTACGCGTGATTCGTACAGTGAATGTAAGGCGAATAAAGGCAAATAGTTGTTTATATCCTTTCAGATCCTGGGGTTATTAAGCAGCAGAGTGAGACTACATCGATCCATTTATCCTTATCCATGTCCATATTTATTCCACATTCTCCTTCTTAAGACCCGGACATAGTGAGGCTTCACTTTTACAAGTAGATCTTCGACTTTTTCAATATTAAAAAAAAGCAAGTCTGTAAAATAAAAATCACCGATTAATTGCTTAGAGAAATCTTGTCATTGTTTGACCAATTATTTTGCGAAAGCTTGAGTACGTATACGAAAACTTTGACGCATTTCCTTTATTAAAATTGCGTACTTCTAGAATTTGGTTTCGACGTATGTAGTTCGAGTCTTAACGTAGGCTTTTTCTTACTAAGTTATCTACTTTAAATAACTTAAATTTTAGGTGCTTGCAATTGTCATTTTTATGGGCGAAATGTTTACACACTTTACCCGCAATTCGTTAAATAAATAATGAAGAAACGACGACTATCAGTTTTTGTTTGATGGTTTTTGTTGATCGAATACGATCAAATGCTACAATTTTAAATATTTCGAGGGTGTACTTTTTGCGGTCGCACTTAAGTTATTATTTATTATTCTTTACTCATATGTAAGCCTTAAGCAACTATGAGTCGTGGTGTTGTTATTAGAATCGAGGATATATAGCTGGCGAACGGGAACGGAAGCGTCCAGCTCCTTGTCCACCACTACGGCCGTAGCTGGCGCTGCTATAACGGCTGCTGTCCCGTCCCCCGCTGTACACCTCGCGGCGATTGGAGCTGCCGCTGCTACTTCCGTCTCTGCGGCTGCTGTCCCGTCCCCCGCCGTACACCTCTCGTCGGTTGAAGTACACCTCGCGGCGATTAAAGCTGCCGCTGCTGCTGCCACCGGTCGCACTGTGCTTGCCAAAGTCACCGCGTCGTCCGCGTTCTACGGAGCCTCCACCACGCCTACCTTGACGCGGGCGGCCCTTGGAAATCTCCACACGGAGCTGGGAGCCCAACAGCTCGGAGCCATTAAGTATGTCGCATGCCTTCTCGGCATCGTCGCGGTGCTCAAACTCCACAAAGGCGAAGCCCGGGGGGTTGAATGCAATCCAAACTGAATTCAGCTTGCCGTATTTTGTGAACTCTCCCTCGAGATCGTCCTTTTTAACTTTGTCAGTCAGATTGCCTACATACACTCTAGTTCCACGCTGATCTCCCATACTGGACATTTTACTATGTATGTTATCCCTTTTTCAAGAGATACCTGCCTTGAAAATAAATAATCAATAAGTTATCACCACCGGATAATTTAGCGTAGTATGTATCTATATCAAGATTTTCAACCAGGGTGGTTAAACTCGTTGCAAAAGTGCCAATATTTAAAAATAGCTTTGTATTTGAAACATTGAAAACGGAGCAATAAATGTAAAATAGAGTTTGTAGTCTATCATAAAAATTTGACTTTTATTTTACCTAAGATATTCCTAGGGGTATATTTTTTAGTGAACTTACTAAATTCAAATTTGTACGTAGTTTTCTTCCACACTTTTTATGGAAAGGAGCCTTTAAAGATTTATTCCTTAGTAATATTGTTATTTAATAAAACTTTAGGAATTTGGCTTTTAAATATAATATATATATTTCTGTAGTAATTTATCGCTGAATATTACAACAAATTTCTAAATCTTAATAATGAATGTCGTTTTGCCGATAAATGAATTTTAGCGTTTCATTCCAATTGTTTCAATCAAGACAATTGCGTATCCGAACGATTTTGCTGGTTTTGTATAATTTGTTTAGTGTCATCTCTGGAGTATTTACGAAAGGACGCATAATAACAAAGAAGAGTAAACATTCAACATTTAACATTTAATAGAGAATAAAAATGGCGGAAATGGAATGCCAAAGTATTAAAATGTCTATCAGCGAGGAGTCTCAAACGGTGGTAAGATATTTTATACCAAACCTACGTTTCTCATTTGTAGTTTATTTTAATGCGCAGTAAAGTTTCTATATAAGTATGTAAGCGAGTATGTATGAATGTATGTATTAGTATATGCACATATACATACATATGTATGAAAACAAACAAAAGCTGATTGTGAAATGATAAAATATATGTTCAAGGTTAATTAAAACATTATTTGTAAATTATTCTATAAGACATTCCAAGTTATAATATTTTATTATTTATTAATTTTTCATTTCAATTAATAATTAAAATTTTTAATTTGTAGACCCGTAAGGAATGTGGAAAGAGGGGACGAAAACCTGGAAGGAAGACATCGACAGAAAAATTGGATATAAAAGCCAAGCTGGGTATGATAGTACTATATGAAAAAGCTTATTTAATTTATTAACTCTATGAAATTGTGATTTTTAGAACGCAGCCGACAAAGTGCTAGGGAATGCCGGGCACGGAAGAAGCTGCGCTACCAGTACCTTGAGGAATTAGTAGCGGATCGGGAGAAAGCCGTGGTTGCATTGCGTGCTGAACTGGAGCGCGTCGGTATACCTATAAATTTTGTTGCTATATCAAGCAATATTTATTTATTATCTTTTTTAATTGCAGTTAATACAATGGAATAGACAACTGAATGAAAACGTCATACCAAATAACAATGACCAGTTGCTTCAGGATATCGGTATTCTTAAACAGGAATAGCATATGTGTACTTTCCTTTTCCTAAAATAGAAGTTAATTTGTTTTCTTATAATAATAAAGATACTTATAAGCCTATTTATTCTATATTGTTAATGAATTTAAAAGGATTAAGGGAGGAAATAGGTAATTTGTTAATCAGCTTTCCAAGACTATAGAACTTTCGGTTTCAGATTACAGTTTGAAATGCACTGAAGGAACCATTTCCGACCCTACAAATCATATATATTCTTGATCAGCATCAAAAGCCGAGTCTATCTATCTACGCCCGAATAAAATTAAATTCAAAATTTTAAAAATTTTATTAGGGGTTACATCGTAAAAATTGGCAAAAAAAATTTATTTCTTTAAATTTTAAATTGAGTATGCAGCTTTATTAACCATAAGAAAACAAATATAGGAAAGCTTTTCGAATTAAAATTAATGCTTTTTTGTCTTAGTTATGAGTTTTTTATCTGTAATTATCGTTAAATTGTCATTTAAAAATATTGAATGCTCGTATTTTAAGAATTAGAATTCTACCCTTTAGTTCACTAGCGAACTGCAAGGGTATATAAGCTTCGGATTTCCGAAGTTAATTTTATTTCTTGTTTGTTTTTAAAGTAACATTTTTGTCAATTTTCTTTCTACATTTTCTACAGCCAGCGGAACGATGGAATGGTATAGTCTAATAATCGATACATTTCGCATCACATCTCTATTTCGCGACTTCTAAATACAGAACAAAATACTTTACGAAACATAATATAAACGTAAACATTATTGTGCCAAATCGAATTAAACAAATAAAACGTTAACACACATGCTTATGTGCAAGCTTAACACCTTCTTTACTTCAATACAGGAATCTATAAAAAGATAATATGGCTTTAAATGGATTTTTAGAGTTCTTTCAAAAAGGCAAGGTAGGATTGATCAAGTGAAAAATTGTACACCACAGCACTCTGTAGCTAAATCCATTTATGTATACCCTTTATAAAGACTTTCAGACCGAAGAAGCCGTTTGCATCGGGAACAATAAGATATTCGCTCCATAAACAAGCCCAGGCCAGTTTGCAATCCGGGATTAATCTGCGTCAAGTGGTGCGGCTGCCGCAAGGCGAGAACTTGAACGACTGGCTTGCTGTGCATGGTGTGCACCAATAATATACACTTAATGTATAACAATTAATATATTTATGATTCTTCATTCTAGTTGTGGACTTCTTTAATCGCATCAACCTTATTTATGGCACTGTCTCCGAGTTTTGTAACGAAAGTACCTGTCCCACAATGTCCGGGGGCTCGCGTTATGAGTATCTGTGGGCCGATGGAGATCTGTAAGTGTGTTAAAACGTTAACTGAGCTTAAATGGTTATCTATTGTTATCTTTAAGCTATAAAAAGCCAACCGCCCTCTCAGCTCAGAAGTACATTGAGCATTTAATGGATTGGATTGAGTCACAGATTAACAATGAAGCCGTGTTCCCCGTCTCCACTGGTAATATTTGCGATCGGATAATGATGCTATAAGCTGGACATTAAAAATTATTCTTCCTTTCAGATGTTCCTTTTCCAAAGAATTTTACCGCAATAAGTCGTAAGATTTTAACTCGACTTTTCCGTGTTTTCGTTCACGTCTACATCCACCACTTCGACAGGCTAGTGAGCATCGGGGCTGTATGTATCGCAAAGTAGTTCGTTTTTCCAATATTTAAATAAGCTGAAATATTTTTCTTCACAGGAAGCCCACGTAAATGCTTGCTATAAACATTTTTATTATTTCGTGCAAGAATTCGACATGATCTCTGCTAAGGAGCTCGAGCCGTTGCAAGAAATGACTTCTCGAATTTGCAAAGACAAGGACCCGGTTTAATACGTACTAGAATGTGATGTAAATAAGTGTGGTTTGCTTAAAATAAATTAGATTACATGGAATGCATTACAATTAACTCGAATTTTTTAGGACAAACATGATATTTTTAAAACATTTATTTTGTTTCATTCATTTTTGAAATGTCCAATTATTTTTCATGGGTTGCTCGTGGTTGCGTATTTTTGGTAATTGACAGCGATTTGGTATATTTGGTATTTTACAAAACAAGGTGTTTTAGTGCCAGCGCACTTTGGTCCCACTCATGTAAACATAAATGTTTATCGCATAAAATATATTTGCTAGCAAACTATAATTTAGCAAAGCATTAAACTCAAGATGGAAATGGTAGATCCAGATGCTCACTTGGTGGCCCTCAAAGGTGAGTAATGTAAGGCGCAAGAAAACTCCTTAATACATTTTTTATTACGTTAGTTATGCGCCTGATGCGTCCCACTTTAGTGGGACTTGGGCCAGTGGTTACATGCGAGCCCACGGATTTGGTGCAGCGCTTAAGCCATGCGCAGGAGCGACTAGAGGCCAATGGTAAGCGCTCACAGATGAATTTGATATGACACTTACATATTTCCTTGCTATATCCAGTGGGTGACGGAATGGCCGGGGAAACCCTGGCAGCGGGTCAAGTCCTGTTGCTACCGCAATCGTTTGGCAGCATATATTTGGGCGAAACGTTTGCAAGCTACATTTGCGTGCACAATACCACTGCGAATCCGGTGGAGTGTGTAACCGTTAAAGCTGACCTCCAGTCGAACAGCTCACGCATTAATTTGTCCATGCAGGAGCACGCCAAGAGCCCAGTTGTATTGGCACCTGGCGGCACCATCGACGATGTTATCCGATACGAGGTAAAGGAAATCGGCACTCACATGTAAGTTACAGGACGTACCTTTTTGAAAAACTTCTAATTAAATGTATATTAAGTCTTGTTTGCGAAGTAAATTATTTGACGCCCGCTGGCTATGCCCAGTCCCTGCGAAAGTTTTTCAAGTTTCAAGTTCTGAAGCCGCTCGATGTGAAGACCAAGTTTTATAATGCCGAAATAGACGAAATATACTTGGAGGCCCAGATTCAGAACGTGACCACCAGCCCCTTCTGTTTGGAAAAAGTAGAATTGGACAGTTCCGAAGACTATTCTGTGACGCCCCTCAATACACTACCCAATGGCGAGTCTGTGTTCACGGTAAAGCACATGCTCCAGCCCAACAACAGCTGCCAGTTTCTGTATTGTATCAAGGTGAGAGTCCACTGGATAAAAATGTATTCAGAAGAGGTACCTATAACTTTTATTTCGAGCAGCCAAAGGCCGATATTGCTAAGAATATAGACAGCTTAAGGCAGTTCAACAATGTTGGCAAACTCGACATCGTCTGGAGGTCGAATCTGGGCGAAAAGGGTCGGCTACAAACCAGTCAACTGCAACGTCTAGTAAGTAATGAAAATTTTTGTAAATAATTAATAATATATTATCACTGTTTTCAGCCGTTCGAATGCAAAACTCTTCGCTTGGAGATACTGGATGCCAAGAATACAGTTAAAATCGGGACTATATTCACCTTTATTTGTCGCGTAACGAACACCTCGGAACAGCCGATGAAGTTAAACGTACGTCTAGTAGCCAAGTTTTCGCCCGATAGCCAATTTACCGGTTGTGCGGACTTTATGCTGAATCAAATTCAAAGTGGAGAAAGTACCGAGTTCCCTCTATCCGTTTGTCCGTCCAAGTTGGGTCTCGTAAAAGTGTCGCCATTGATATTGACAAACGTATTACAAACTGACCAGCAGTTCACCATTGATAATGTTGTTGACGTTTTTGTAGTAAACTCCGATTACAACAACGACCCCACAACGCATCAAAACAAGCTGATTCGGTATGAAAGTGCTACGAGCTGTCTAAACCAAAAGCAAGTGCAATTGCAGGTGGTTTAAAATTGCCTGATTATAAATGTATTTATGTATGTGTTATCTTAAAAAGACATTTATTTATAAGAAATTACACACTTGTCAAAATGTGTACAAATGTACAGTGGAATCGGGCTAACGGAAAAAATACCAAAAAACATTCATGGTGTAAATAATAAATAGTCGATTTTTTTGTACCGATTCCGATTTGGTCACCCTATTTCATTGTTTAGATCACAACACACAGAAATGTTACGAAATGTGTGCACCTTTTCCACGCATTTTGCCAAATGCATTTTTCAAACAAACTACCAACCAATTCGTGGCATGGCGGGTCATTCAAAATGGGCCAATATCAAGCACACGAAAGCGTTAAAGGATGGAGCACGAGCCGCACTGTTCGCGAAGATTTCACGTCAAATTCGAATGGCCATTCAGGAGGGAAACTCTGCGGATCCGGCTATAAATTCCCTGTTGCGGACAGAAATAGATAGGGCCTTGAAACAAAACATGCCCAGTGGTACCATACAGAATACCTTAAACAAATTTAAAACTAGTAAGGTTCAGCTCAAGAAGTACCGGATGGACATTCGATACAAACGCGCTGTATACTTGATATGTATTCTTTATACGGACAACTTTTCTGGTGTTAAAATGGATGCGACGCCAATTATAAAGAAAGCCGGGTAAATAATCAACACACTTTTCCATGTGTTTTTACTTATATACATATTTAAAAATTATGTCTTATAGAGGCGAATTCATGGATGTTGGGAATTTGTTTGAGGACTTTGGCTTGATACAGACTCGGCTTGATACGTCGAAGGTGCCTGAAGGCTCCAGCTTCGAAGATAAAGCAACTAATGACGCGATAGAGCTGGGAGCTGAGGAGATTGAAATAGAGGATGAAGCGGAGGGCAAAGTTAATGTAAATATTCCGTCAATATGTAACCTTGATTATTGTCTCCTAAATAATGACTACGTTTTCATCTTTAGTTCTTATGCAGTCCTGTGGTTTTATCTAGTCTAAGTCAAAACCTGACTAAACTTGGATATGCCGTTGAAAATAGTGAACACATATTTTCTCCAATGGTGAGTTCTAACGCCCTCTTATTAATTAAACTCCCTAAACGTTCCTTTTTTTTTAGAAACTTGTACAACTATCGGCAGAAGATCAAAAAGCTTATGACACGTTTTTAGAAAAATTACGAAATATACCAGGATTGGAGGATATTTATGACAATGTGGAATAGCGTTTAAATGTATAATAAATGGACATTTACTGAAGAAAGCGGTTGGGATTTTTGTTTTAAAGTTTAGTACTAATAAATTGTCCTTAAAGGTCGTTAAAATTTGAATTTGTATTAAAAAATTGACGTAAACGTAACGTGTTTATGTTCCATTTCCATCGTTTCAATTTGAAGCGAAACGGTTCGCAGAATCGAACCGGCCACTGAAACGTTTGATTATACAAACAAAAACAGGTGTTGCAGGCTCCACATCTAAATTATGAATTATTTAAGAGTTATTCGGAATAATTGGAAAAAATGCACATTCGGAGCTTGTGTCTCGGTGTACGCTCTTCAGTCACTGAAAACCCACATAGAGTATGCATTCACAAAACATCGAAAATTTGAAAGACTATAGCCATTAACCTCTTATAGGATCGAACAATATATGAGAGAATTTTCGGCCAAAGCACAGTCTAATGCAGCTGCTACATCGGAACGGCCGAAAAAGGTGCTGGTGGTCATGAATCCAGTTGCCAATAAAAAGAGATCTGAAAAATTTGTAAGCAGCTGCAAAATACCTGACCACAATTACATTTTGTTACCTCCCATTATTTTCAGTTTAAAAATTACTGTGAGCCGGTATTGCATTTAGCAGGATATTCGGTGGACATACTACGAACAAATCACATTGGTCATGCTAAGACCTACATCCAGGAGCTGGCATCCTTACCTGATGCAATTGTGGTGGCTGGAGGCGATGGAACCTCGTCGGAGGTAGTCACTGGACTGATGCGAAGGCGCGGCAAACTGTGTCCCATCACCGTTCTTCCCCTCGGGCGCTCCGTTCAGGATGCATCCAAAAAGTTCCCTATTTTTGGGGTGAAAGATGTGGAGTATGTCAAGTCGCTCTGCTCAGCACTGGAACCGATGCTCAAAGATGAGAGCAAGTACCAGAGCGTTCTACGTTTCGATGTGATCAACGAGACGGACGACGACGAGCAGCATTTGAAACCAATATACGGCTTAAGTGGGCTCTCTTGGGGCCTACTGAAGGACATTGACTTGGCCAAGGATAAGTATTGGTACTTTGGACCGCTCCGGCATTATGCATCTGCCGCATTTAGATATTTTGCTGATAACTGGAGCCTGAAGACTGACTATGTGTACACTCCGCCCTGTCCGGGCTGCATCGACTGCGCTTCCGCTCTTCAACGCCAGGAGGATGTCCCCCTTCCGGCTGGACGTTTCACCAATATTTTATTCAAGTACAAAAAGAGCATACCGTCAGAAGAGCCGGCGCGGGCTCTCGTTAAGAACGACAATTGCAGCAACAAGTTTGAGGGCAGCATCGAGGCGAATCAAATCAACATCAAGTGCACCCAGAACAAGGATAACTTTGCCGAGCTGGAGAGCCAGTTCATCAGTTCGCTGGAGCCGGGATGGGACTACATTATGCAAATTCCACAGGTGGTCGGGAGTAGTAGCATTCTACCAACCTTGGTGGTGAATAGTCGGACTATTCAGCTTCATCCTGCCGGAGAGATGGCAGACAAATTTTACTCAATCGACGGGGAGGAGTACGACGCTAGACCAATTAAGGTATCTGTTGTTCCCAATGCTATTAAAGTGTTTGGTTAAGATTTTCAAGTGTGTGTTTGTATATATTAATTGAATATCGATTAAATGGCGCTAGTACTAGTTAGTATAGCATGACACATTCACAGCAAAAGTTAACTGCTATCTCCTCCCAAATCCAGAGCTGCGTGTAATCATTCTTAAACTTCTCAGCGGTGATCAAAATCAATTTATCATTTATTCGAATGCATGAGCCAGTCTTGCGGCGCAGTACTTTTATTGTAAACGATTTTGGCTTGCAGTTGAAGTGATCATACCAACATTTTCTGGCAATACACTCGACCGAACGGATATAGCGCGGAAAGTAATTAAAGCCTAAGTCGATCCAATTGATCTTTGAGGAGCACTCCCAGGGACGCTGCTTGAACCCATCGACCCGTGCATGTCCCACACGGTCCATAAACACGCTTCTCGTCCGCACACTCTTGCGATGAGGCGTCGCCTCATGGGCAAAGTGATTCGTCTCCCAGGCGGGAAAGCTACTGACCGATATCACCTCACTGTCCGCATAGAAGGGCAATTCGTTAGACGATCGCTTGTAGCCGCCGGGTAATTGCTGGTGGTTCTTCTCGTCCGGTTCGCCTGGCGGATCGATGCTCATGTAGCGGGGATTAAATGCCTGTCCCAGAATCCGGCTCAATGACTGCGTTGAGAGCTCAGCACAGTAATCGACATCGGCATCCTCCTGCGCGGACCCAGCAGCAGCTAACAATATTATGCACACAATCAGTGATCCAAGTTGCAGGTGAAATTTCATAATGGTGAAAAGTATTTGCAAAAACATGTCTTCTTGGTTAAATCAGGGCTACTTTAAACCAGAAGTTTTAGTTTATCGTTCTATTTGCAGAGATAATCTATTGGCGACTTTATCGCCATCACTGACAATGTCTGAGCTCACTTTTGTGGCTTGGATCCGTTATTTGGCAGCAAAAACATCTGATTGCCAAGGTAATATGTCGTAAAATATACAATTTATTAAATCTGCATTATTAAAAATGATTTGTTTCTGGTATTACAACTATTGAGTGTATGCTAGTCCTTGGGTTCTATGTAAAGAGAACGAATCGTAGACATGTTGAAGCTCAGACAGACGATACTCCTCCAGGCAAACAATGCCCTGCAGAGATGGCGACATTTTCAGGGCACACGACAGGCAATGAACGACATGTCGTTTCTCCTGTTCTTTGACAAAAAGTACATTAAAAACTTCGACCTATGTAAAAGAGAAGTATATCACAGTATTGAGGAAAATATTAATATTAGCAAGAAGAATTTGTGAAATTTCTACAATAAATACATACTTCGCATTGACCGCAGTAATGGGAGGCTTCGTTCTTTCCACGACCATTAAAGCGTATTTCAACACCCTTCGATTTGACGTACTCCTGTATGTGCAATACGTTCTTCAACGTTTGCAGCAAGCACATTCTGTAAAGAATGCGGGCAGTTAATATTGTAATAATTCTATTCAACATTGTATAACTCACTTGATCAGTTCGAAAAGTTTCGTGTCTGACACTTTAATGTTCCTGGCCAAATTCCAGCTTAAATGAACCATTGGAACAATGCTCTTGAAGGCCTGCACTTTGTTCCATTCATATCGCTCAATGGCCAGCGAATACTGTCGAGCAGTCAGGGGTCCAACATTCCAGGCAATATTATTACACCAGCCAACAGATTGGACCCAATGGACGCACCTTAGAGGTAGAGGCAAGAAATGTAAGATGGAGCTAGAATTAGGGTTCACTTTCACTTACCCGGCATTAACCCAAACCAAATCGCCAGGCTTTTGTATAAATCTATAAACTGGTATATTCTCCTTGTATAAATCCTCCAAAACGGGCCACCAAGAGCCGTGCAAATAGCTAATATTGTTTTTTTCACATAAATTGTGAACGCCGCCCCAGTAAGCGTCGGGCACGGCAAACCACTCACAGTCCCCTGGCCCGATATTGATATTGATTGAGCAAAAGTTATTGTTCTCTTGATGTCCGGGCGTCCTGCTGCCCGGCACCTTCATATATAGCTGGACAGTGTTCATGCCGAGTATGACGTGGCCCACATGAGACAACATATTGGCAGCGGATATGACGCGTGCAAAAGCTGGCAGTTTTTGTAGCTCCGTTAATTGTGGCTTCCATTTGCGTTCGTCGGAGAGGTCAACGTTTGTTCCAAATCTACAAGATTTGTATATTGTTAGACCGTTAATTTATCATCTTCAATGGGTAACACATACCTTAACATCTTGCTGTTGATCTTGTTCTTTTTACGCTTCAAGACAATGTTTGTTGAATTCGAAACCGAATCCTTGGAGTCCGAGTCCGACATAGCCTGTGAACCCTGGAATCCCTTATCACTTTCATCCTGTGGTAAAACAAGCTATTTCAATATAAAGTAGGTTGCTTTTTAACTTGCAATTAACACTAAAGAAGGGAGCATCGTTACCTTAAGGCTGTCCTGAAAACTGGATGCCTGATATTGGGCATATTTGGCTATTGTTGTGTGAGACCGATGCGATATGCAGGCCCAGACCCGTTTTCCCTGCGACGTATCCCAGTTTTCATCGGGCGATTGGTGAACTTGTGTCCGAACCTCGACACTGTGTTCGGGATTGGCTTCCACCAGTGTTTTGGTCGAAAAGAGACCGAGATCAAGCTTGAGAGCGCCAGCCAGGCCGCGTACAACGGCAATCGGATGCTTCAGGCAAAACTCCTGCAACTGGGGACTGAACGCGTTTTTTTTATTCTCTAAATGAACCGATGGAGTCGGGGGCAGGAGCTGGTCCCTCGTCAGTTTCTGCGGTGGGCAATCGGGCGGAGAGGGCGGCGGTGCGTTCACTTGCAAAATGGTAAAGTGTACGGGCGGTTCGTCGATCGGTAGCAGTTTCACCGAGGACATTAACTGTTTCGAATCCATTTGTATTTTGAACGATGTGGTTAGATCCGAGCTGGTATCACCATTATATTCGTTATGTTTTGAGTCTTCGGTTAAATTATTACTTATCGCATCTTGGCTTAAACGCTCCAGTTTTATAGTCTCATTTTGTTTATAAATATCATTCGAGATGTCATCAAAGGTGTCCACGACGCTTTGTTCAGAAATCTTTTTGTTTTCCCCCGGCATTGCGATCAAGTTGCGTTGGCTCAACGTCTCGGAAATGTCTGTAATGATAAGATACGACAAGAGCGTTCTGTAAGAAGCTATTTAAAGTAATGGCTGATAAATCATACTCATTAGATTTGAATTCAGTTGCGTGGCTGTCTGATTATTATGTTGTACTAATTCTTGCTGGCCATCTTCCTTAATACGTTTCGCAGGTATGGGACTTTGGCTGAGTTGGCTGTGCGGATATGGAGGTGGCGGTCCCTTTCGTAGATTAAATCAAATTAAATCACACAGTTCTCTAATAGTTTAACTGAGAAAGTATACCTGTACTGGACTTTGTTTTGCCATCTGTCGCGGCAGCATCTGTGCCGTCTGTTGTTGGCGAGAGTTCATTTCTAAAGATATTGGCAGATTCCAGGCTTCTTCGATAGAACACAGTGTCCGGCGCTTCGATGTAATACTTGGCAGTGGTGCTTGGCTAAGCTGAACCTCCAGAAACTTGATGCGTTGTGTGAGGCCCTTGGAGAGACCAATAGAGTCCTTTTTCATGCGTATTACTTGTTTGCGTCGAAATAATGATGATGTCTTCTAGGGGAACACATAATGATTACAGACTATAAGCTGATGCTGTCGATTTTAGCTTACTTGGAATGAAATTTGTTTGGTTGCATTCAAATAGCAGGCATAGGCATCGCGTAATTGACCACAGCTCTCATAAAGTATACCTAGATTCGTCCAGGCGGCCTTATGATCCTTATCTAATTGAACGGCACAAATATAGGCTTGTAGAGCATCCGTCGGTTGGTTTTGTTGCTGATATAAAACGCTGCGAATGCAAAATGCTTGAATTAAAGATATCTTTAGCTAAGTAAGATGGTTTCTCTTTTACCCGATTGAACACCAGGTATCCGCATTTCCTTCACTCTTTTCCACCGAATTGCGGTACGCTAGAAAGGCATCATGGACTTTATTGATTCCCGCGTAGCATCTCCCGAGTAAATATAATGATTGTCCACTCTTTGGATCGGCTTCGATGGATTTTTGAAGAAAATTCAATGCGTACGTTTCACGTTCCTTTTTTTCGCCTAGGCATTCTACGCAGTGGTACATCCATCCTGTAATATTTTAGAAAATAAGACATATTTATACAATTTTCACATTTTCTAGTAAATAGTTTCCAAATGTGGATAAGCATCGTCGTGTTGAGTAGCGCTTGCATTCGCGATGATTTCCCCCTCCTAAGCTTTTAATATTCGTCTGATTCACCGAAACAGGGGTTGAAAATGCGAGTTCTTTTTGCAGCATCTGCTTAAATGCAACAACATGCTTGTCATTTGCATTTACTACATAGAAACATAGGCTTTAAATTGAATAATAACTCACCTAACTGCCTATAAACATCTGCTTTTAATTCCAATGAAATGTTCTTTTCTTTCAACAGGAATTCATAGCCATCCTTGGCCGCCTTGTGCTTGTTCTGAGTTTCATACAGATGTGCTATTTGAAATTTAACTAAACATGACAGAAAAAATCGTTAATTAAACAATTATCTCACCATAAATAAAAAAACATTTGTAGGACTTACCCTGAAGCTCGGAAAAAGTCGATGGATATGTGTAGAGCAGCGCCAATTGCAAATGTTTTAGGGCAATATGATATTCGCCGCAATGTTTTAGCATAAGACCTAAACGCAAATGGACTTCATTTGCACATGTAAAGTTTGGGCTCAAGTACAAAAGTTCTTGAAAAGATTTGATGGCCCTGGGAAGTAAGAGAGAAAAATGTTTTTCTTAATATAAAATATAATATTTTCAAATTCAAAACAATTTTAAAGTGTCTGTACAATTTTTGTAAAATCTTTGTAGGGACTCATTCGGCAACACGAGTCAACGGTATTTACATTGGTACATACGTACATACACACATACATATGTACATGTGCATGCAGTCACGTACACACCGTTATATGTACATACAAACGCATGTAACACTGTTGATTGAACTAGAATAATAAAGTTTAATGCTTAAAAGTAGAATATATATGTAATTCTCAGTCAATATCCTTAGTCTTACTGTCAATTCTGCAATAGAATTTGCAACAAACTGCCCAGACATGTCTGTATGCACTTTAAAATGATACAGACATTTTTACTGGTAAGCGAAAAGAGGCAATTAAGTTACAAGGCGATTTTCTGTTGCATTGATTATTCTCAAAAATCGTAGGGCTGTGCGAAAATGCATGCCTAATCAAAGAAAATAATGCGTTTAACCAAGAAGTTCACATAACGACCTCAAAGGGGGGCAATTCATTTATGTATTTGTTTGAACATACACACGCACAATTTATATACATACATACATGTATGTAATGAGAACGTCCATGTAAATGTTGTATGAAAATTCTCACAAACAAAGGACATCATTTGTTGTCTTAATTTGTTATGTTCTTTTGAGTTTAGCGCCACTACTCATTCTTTTGTTAATTTTCATTTTAGAACTCATCCATTTTGTATTTTGTACTCTTAAAAAAACATATAGAACAACACAACACACAGCATAACTTGCATGGACCTACTTTTTGTAAATAGAATATTCTTTAAATAGTCCAGTCTTAGGTTTACAAACAAATAACATTAATGGCAGTGTTGTTTTCACGTAGAATCTATTTAGTAAACAATTTAATAATAATACAATAGGGATGTGATAAACTTGATAGCGAAGGCCGATAACAAGCTACATCTGTATAGCCATATATACATAGCTATAGCTATATCAAAGAAATGTATCGATTATATTTATCGAATATTTTACAAATGTGAAACTAGTCAAAATTATTATTTTACTTTCACAAATACTATAAGTTTAAACCACTTTTTAATAATAAAATATTTTAAATTAACTCACCATTTAAAGCACCTAAGCTTGAAGTAGGCAACGCCTATTCCATACATAAATGTATGGTTTGTCCAGTAACTATTTTCTCGAAACCGCAAATACTTTTGATAAGCCGAAAGAGCTGTAAAATAATAAAATTAGTAAGTTTAAAATTTCTAAAACAAGAGAAGGAAAGATATTGAAGGCTAAATCTCACTTTGAATTTATAATTAATAAGAACTACTGTATGGGAAATATTGAGCATTATTTAAAGGTTTCTTGCTGGGCTAACTATGATATCAAATTGGTATAGTCGGTCCCACGCGTTCTGGTCCGTGATACTTGATGTTAAGTATTATTTATTTACCTTCAGAATATTCGCCGAGAAGAAGGTGCAGGTGACCTAGCTTGCAGAGAGCATTTACGTAGTTCTCATCGTCACCGACTGAAACTAGAGCCTTTTCCTTCGTTTCGGTATCGAGATGCTTGGTATCCCCGTCGTCCTTTTGGTCTGTACGGCTTGATGAGTCGTAAACATTCGTAACTGCGTTGTTTTGATGACCATTGGCTATGTAGTTCTGCAGTTTTGTCACTGTTTGCTGGACAAGATTCCTTATTTCTGCATTCTTCTGATTGGACAAGTCCAGAAAGCCATAGTACCGACTAGAATTACGCATTTTATATTATTAGTTTAGCGACTCGGTCGACAGGTAATTAATTCACTCACCTGTCCAACTCGCGAACCAGGCAATCATCCTCATCCAAGGAAATCTGACCCATGTCTGTCGCGCTTCAAGTGTAGAATTCTACCGGCGGAAGATTTCGATCGAAAAGACTGCGTATTATTTAAAATCTCTTTTATTTATATTTTTGTTTTAGTTATGACAAAATCAGTGTGACCGCGGCACGGCCATAATACCAAATACACCATTGGCTCAACAAATAAACATACCATACGTGTACCACAAGAAATAGTATTTACATGGTTCAGAACTTCGAGGCCAAAGCAATGTAAGATATTCAATATAATAAAACTTATTTAACTAACAATTTATCTGCCATGTGTTTTTTAAGCTATATGAATATTTCGAAACCAGGAATATATATATTCCTGTACTGAATATTATTTTTATTTATAGTGTACTAAAATTAATTAATCAAAACCTTTCAAGCTGTCACGTTTATTAAACACTTGAATATTTTTAAATTTGGTAATGTTTTTTAATGCAAAACAATTAAGTCGTAAATATGTATTATTTAAATTATCCTCTCATTTTTTTAGTTGATAAGACTGATGAATATAAAAATATATAAGTATTGTATTTTTAAAAAATCAACTTCACTAGGAAATGGAAATTAACAATAATAAAATTAATTAACAATATCCATGAGGAAATTCCAGATGCCATAAGTATGTTCGCTGCGTTTGTATAATATCCAGCTTTAGTTTCAACATTTGGGTCAACTGAAAAAGTTTAACATTTTAAAAACTGATATATAATTATTAATTTAAAAGTCGTTTATTCTTACAAATGTCTCGTACTCCGACTGTGAAGTATTCTGCCTCAGATTCAACATTTGATTTGACTGTAAATAAATGTTTATTTAAAAAGATTTATTTATTTACAGCTTTAGGAAAATATTAAAAATTTATATGACAATCTAAGTTCAAAATTCTCATAACTCAGACAAAAATGCATTAATTTCAATTCGGAAAGCTTTCCTATGTTAGTTTTTATGAGGTTAAAAAACTGCATTCTCAGTTTAAAACCTAAAAAAAATCCACATTTTTGTGACCGAAATTACAGGGTATTTAAAATTAGTTTTGACCTTACCGAGCTCTTCCTCATTTTTATCAGATACTGCATCAGAGTCAACATATTCGTTAGCTGTTAAAAAAAAATAATAATAATATAATTTTTAGTTTAATGAAATAAAAGAAAATTTAACAAATAAAAAAAAATAGTTGAGTAAATATAATTAAATAAAAATAGAAAAGGTAGAATGTTCTTTATCCTTACATAGGTCTTCTGGATTTGCAACAATCTCTTCATCAGTTTCAAGGATTTCTGTACCTAAAAGAAGCAAAATATTATATTTATTTAAGGGGACTTAAAACCACATTTGACTTTAAATACTATATATATTTTAAATTTAGTTTTATTTATTTTATTTTATATTTTAAGAGGAAATCTTTGTTAATCCATCAACTTGTTTTTTCGTAACAGGAATATCTTGAATTTCTCAGAACTTATTTGTTTTCGCAACAATTAAATGTGATAAACAATTTGAAGAATAGGATTTACAATTTATTTACATACCCATTTCTGCGCTCTTTCTCTGGCGATAAGGTAAAGATACAGTGTAGTTATTATTTTGCATGTCGGCGATTTCAGCATTTTGTAAAATATCATATATCCAACTTAGGTAGGAATTTATTTGGGTGACTTTGTTGGGAAACTGATACTCAACATTATCCTTCGCCAAGGATATGATACCAACTAAATTACTTTCCTGAATTACACCGTAGCCTGGATAAACATTTTCTGAAAGCTGCGGCGACCATTAAATAATTATATTTAAATCTTAATATAAACTACACTTACTGTTGATTCTACTTTTTTCTGCAAAGGCGATTCCGTGGTTAAATCATAATCAGCCAACAGAACCCATTCAATATCGTCTCGATCTGATAGGGGAAGTTGTGTGCTCAAGCGAAGAATTGCAATATCATTGTCAAGAGTTGTTCCATTAAATCCGGGATATACTTCGATTCCGCTCACAAAGTAAAGAAATTCGCTTAGATCATTACTTTTGAATGACACGGCTAGTTCCTCAGTTGTTATTATATTTTTAGTTTCATTAGAAACTAATAAGCACGATGCCGCGGTTAACACTATACGACTTTGGAGTATGTTTCCAAAGCACTTTCCATCGACAAGAACTCCGTGACTATTCCTTCTTTGCAGCAGAACTTGGTAGGAAGGACGATGATAGTACTCATTGTAAACGCACGGAAATAAGCACAAAATAATTAAGCCCAACGATAGCATAATTTCTCCTGATCTTGATACGTGGATAGAAAAACCTTGACTGTCACGTCACTTGCCCTTACAAGATAGTAAACCCCAGATGCACAGAGCACAGATATATCTTATCTCCAGCAGTATTTTATGCAAGTACAGTCAAAACCACGATCCAGGTCTAATTCACGGTGTTGCTATTAAGTCCCGAAAATTGTTTTGGCATGAACAACGTTATTTAAATAAATTGGAACTTGAATGAGGTAGCTAGCAGACATTAAAGATAACAATTAGCTCAGAGATTGTCAAATTTTAATAACTCTTTTCACAGGTTTTTACTGTCTTCTGCTATGTTTGCTTTTGTATCAAGCATTTCCAGAGGGGTGCTCACTGTTAGCTTATCAAGTGAATTTTGAAACCATTTCAAGAGGGTAGATCACTGCAGATGAAGCATCTTATAAATTATATATTTTTTCTCGACCCAAAAATGTTTAGTACTCTTGGTATACAAGTAACCTATTTAATTCGAATAATAATAATGATCGAGGTTATACTATTTACAGTGGCGCTTATAGTGTTTCTTAACACACAACAGTAATATTTAAATAACAAAAGGCTCAAATTTTTATTAACTTGAATATCGAATACAATAAATTGTTTAATTTAAATGAAACCCCTTTTCCTTAGTTGCCGTTAACAAGCGCTCCTTCATTATCTCCTCGGTTGGGTAATCCGGAAGCTTCAGGTAGTGAACGCAGGTGTTCACCGACGGATAGCTTCCAACGCCGGCGTCCACCTTCCGGACAACTGTCAGTCTGGGATGTAAGTTTGCAAGTCCACCCGGAGGCAAGCTACTGCAACCGGTTGTAAATTGAAGGAAGGCTTTCCTTTCGTCGCCCGACATGCTCAACAGAACGTTAACAAAACGTTGGAAGCCAGGACTGAAAGCAAATATATTAAATATTATAAAATTAAAGTCAATTATATGCTAAACAAAAATATTATAAGGAGATATTTATAAAGTTAAATGCATACGAATACGTAAAATTATTTCACATCGTTACTAAAAATATTTGAAATCTTTTCTACTTTTCTTCTTATACTTCTTATTTTCTACGGATGACATAATAAACTCAAATTAAAACATACCTGTCTTTGTTGTAGCCAAGTTTTGGTTCAGTATATGAAATAATATCTTCTCGGCTCCAATGGGGAAACTGTTCGCCACATATCATCATTCGTGCCTCTGAGGGGGTGAAAGCGGCCAGCTTTTTCAGAGGGAACACCTCATTGAACCCATCACTAAAAGCCTTCATCTGTTGCGCAATGCCGTCTTGCAGGATGAAGTTCATTAGCAGCTCACAATATGCCTCCAAGTTGTTGATGGTGACGTTCACCGAGGATCCATCCGGCAGCAAATCGGCCTGTTCATATCCGTAAACGGAGGAACTAGGCGAATACGTAAACGTAAGCGCCAAGTCTTCTAGGGATACTTCTAGACCATTCTGGGTGTGTAACTTCAGCTCGTCAATCAGTTCTTGTTTCCTTTCGGCGCTTAGAGTGTCGTCACAATCGATGGATTGCTTGCGCATTATCAGATTTTGCAACTCTTGCAGGAACTGATACCGCGTGGGATCAATTTCTTTTAAGTTCTCCAGAGATAGGATGCCGCCAAAGGCATTCGATTTATTGCCATCAGTTCGCAACAGCTTGGTGCAGGTATCTAGAATGTCTGATTCTTCTTCGGACACGACAGAGAGATCACCATTTCGTCGGTCCGAAATTACTTTATGGAGATTACGGGATAGCACTTTGTTGTGACAAAGCAGTTGAAGAAATGATGTGGACAAAGGTATGTCCACTAAACGCATGTCCTGCAGTACCTTTGCAACGAAAACCCCGAAGAACCAGAAATATTTGAGGACCTTCTCACTGATCTCGGTATTCTGAGGAAGGGGTGCTGGGAACAATCCATGCTCCCTCCGATTCACATAATACCCGACGGGTTTTGAACTCGCTTCAATGGTATCCGGGGCGTTTTCTAGATCCTGGCCCAACTCCTCATCACAGAGCCACATGCAGAGATCGGAGCGTTGAATTTCTGCCGCAACTAGGGCATAAAATTCCAAGGTGGGTCCCAAGCCAGTTCCTTCCTCGTCCAAAAACTCCACCTCCAACACAGACTTCCTGTTACTGTGCGTCTTCATAACCTGCATGGCCCACTTCAGCAAGTCCTCGTTTCGCGGAACTTTAACGCGCTCGTGCTTTAGTCGCCCGATGCGGAATTCGTGATCATCACGGCGCGGACTCATAATGGGTATCCGCTGTCTTTCAACGGTGACATCCCGCTGAGATTGCAGGCAAACGATACTCCTCGAGGCTCCAAACGATGTGCAATTGAAGTACAGCTGCCTCGTCTCGAAGGGAAACAGGAACGGACAGGATTGATTTAAGTTCTCGCACCAATTCGGTAAAGCGTTGCTGGAGAGAACCAATGGATCTTGGATTTGCTGCTGTAACTTGTTTGTGATCTTCTTGCTGATGAAAAGATCTTCGGATAGAAGTGGAGCTCCAACGTGTTCCTTGTCCGAATGCTCGATATCGTTCTGATTGAGGGCATTGATTTGAGTGAGCAACTCGAGGACGTCGTCAACGGAGCACATGTGGTTATTGTCCGCAATAGTGAAACCAAGATGCATTGGAGAGTTGGGAGACAATGTGGAAGCTCCACTTTTCGACGACACATCAGGCGTTTGTGCCAGTTCCTCTGCGGTTTCCTGTGCCTCTGGCGACACCTCCCGGTACACAATGGTGTATGTGGGCTCCCATATCTTTCGAAATTTGTCCAACTTGTTCAACTGACTGCATTGCAGTAATTCCTGCACGGCTCTAAAGATGGTCCAGTCGGTGTTGTTCAAATCGATTTCCACTTCAGGAATTCCGCCGATTCCCGGACCGCGCAACTTCAAACCAAGCAATGGCTGCTCAATTGTCTCATGGCCACTGGGCTGTGGTTTGGGTGACTCCTCAACCCCGATTGGAGGAAGTTCCAGGTCCGAAGTTTGATTCACGTTTGTTCGACCCGGTCGAGGGTCAAATGCTGGTATCAAAGCGGAGAATTGCCTCTTAAGAACGAACTCATCATCCCACGACTTGCGCTTCGTAGTCACACCCACCAGCCTGTTCTCCAAAGCCTCGTCGTCCATAAAGGTTAGCAAGTTCCGGGACACCATGACTTGTAGCAGCGTGTTGCCCACCTCCTCATACTCGTCTTCATTCTCCTCCTCATCGTTGTCCTCGTCCATGTCGTCCTCATCGTCCAAGTCGCCCAACAACGCCGGCGCTCGACAGCTCTCCAAGAAATCTTCAAGGGACACTTGTTCGCTATCGCTAGATGTGGAGGTCAGACTCATGGTTAGAGTGTGATTGATGGTAGATGCGGATTGCTGTCCGGCCGAGGTATTTGTCGATGGATGATTTGATGACGGAGCCGTGTTTATACTATTATTCGAGGATAAGCTTGGATAACTCTGAGCGGTGTTCAGCAATCCTGAGTGGAAGTTACTGGACAGTGCCAGCTTAACTAAGCTAGTTACCGAGTGTCCGTGGAAGGAGCCGGAGGCATTCTGATCGCCGCCATGCTCATTAACATTCACAACATCCGCCGCATTCATAATCTGATTATCCTGGATGTTGGATGTTCCCTGGGAGGTACGACGACGGGCAATCGCTGCGAAGGTCTCCAGCAAGCCGGTGTGCATCGTGGCCACCTCCGATGTAGTCGGCACTTCCGAAGCTGAAGTTGTCGTCAAGTTGGGGACACTAATGCTCATCATCTGGCTGGGGACCGGAACTGTTTCAGATGAAATCTGTGGATCTGCACTCGGTTGCTGTGCTGCTGCTGCTGCTGTTGCTGGCTTCAGTGAAATAACACCACTGGGTTTCTTTGTATTCTTCTCGTCGACCTTAATCAAGCCTTGTCCCTTTGGCTGCTTCTTCAAGCCTATGTTTGCGCAGGAAGCTGGGAACGTGTCTGTTGAGAGTATATTGTTTGAGTTATTCCTGATCATATCCACGCCATCACGCATCTTATCAATCATTTCGAGCGCTTCGGTCGAGAGTTGGGTTACTGTGTTGTTGGTGGTTCGCAGATTCACCAAAAGCTCCTTAGAGATTTTATTCACCGTGTTGTTGGCATTCATCTTGTTGTTTTCTTCAATGTTGGATATGTTTTTGATATCACTCGACTCTCGAGGAGCAGGAGTCTGGACATCAGCAGGAAGGATCTCGGATGGTTTGCTGCATACATTCTCCTTGGTCTCTAATTCTGCCAGTGATAAGTTCTCGGAAATGGTGGCTAGATCGGAGACAATGCCAGAGTTAATAGCCGGCATGGAGTTGTTGATCGCTGACAAGTCCGAGATGTGCTCCAAATCGCGACTCAATGGCGACGGTCCACTTATGTTATCCTTATGCATGGGACTTGTCCCGGATTCTTTGTGCTTCGCACGAACCTCTCTGGCGGATGCGGTGGCCAACTGGTTTGTCGATATAATCTGTGTCTTGGCGGATGCAAAGACATTCTCCGCAATTGTCTCGACGACAACAGCCTGCTTCCAGGCGAGATTATCCGCTGAAACGGTTTGATTGGATGCCCCAACTTCAGGATGATGGTTCTGGTTCTTCTCCGTGGCCTCGGGCAGGGATGGCGTGGAACTAGACTTGCGTGATGTAAGCGCCGTCGGGTTGGTCTTATCATTTACCTTCATCGTGCCCGTCGCCGACGATTGATTGCCTTCGAATATGGAAAGATACTCGCCATCGGCCAGTTTCAGATCGTACTTGCCCTCAGCACCCATGCGATACGAGTTGCGCACGCCGTGATCCCACTTGACATCGATCCAGCCGTTGTGTATTTCGCCCGTAATTGTTCCCTCGCCGCCACATCCGTCCTGATCCTCCCATCGCCAGTCAACACCGCGTATTACCCTCGCTCCAGTTGTCATGTGCTTTAGTTGCGCGCGAATTTGCCGCCTCTCGCGCCTTATTTTTGCCTCAGCCTCCTTAACACTTTTGCCAATGTCATCGGCAATGCCCACAACACGACCATAGATCTCGAAGCCGCTCAAGCTCAGGTAATGGGTTTGACCAGAGGCATTGCGTCCATTCTGTTGGATCCTAATGTGGCGGTATCTAATGGTATCATCCGAAGCTGGACACGTAATGGGCCACGTGGCCGTGCTTCCGGGTTCGATGAGACTCTTGTCATCCGTATGCGCACTGAGCGTGGTCCAAGTCAGACCATCCTTTGAGCCCTGGAGCAACCAGTTCCTTAGAGCCGATCTTCCATACCCGCGAGCATGCCGGAGGGTGTAAGCCGTGGGTATGATGTAGACACCCAAATCGATAGCGAACCATGCCTTCTTGTTATCCTTCGTGTGACAGTTCAGCGAGATGCTGTCTCGGGAGAGGATATCCTCCAGCTTGCCATAAGGTAACGTTTTGCCTTCTGAACTGGTGACCTGGACCAGACCGTACTGCGCTGGATTGACCCAATCACAGGTCTTGGCGTTCGTTCCAATGTAAAACAACAAACCCTCTTCATCGAAATCAAAGGAGTGCGAAAAGACGAGTCCCGGACGATGCTCCCGTATTTTCTTCAAATAAAAGTATGTGGATCGGTCCAGGTCGTACCATTGCTTGGCCACCATTTTGAGCAAGTACTTGGACAGTTGTCCGATTGTGGCCAGGGGCTCCATTTTAAGAGTACGTCCGGAGCGATCGAACAAGGTGCTTTCACACTCGGCACGTTCCAAGCGGAAGCGCAGTCTCTTCTGCAGAATCTGCAAGCTATAGCCGGTGCATGGAGTGTCGTAAAGATATATCGGTAGCTTCTCTGTGCTCTCCAATACGGACACTAGTTTCTGGATCAAAATGCTGGCCGTACTCTTGGTTCTCGTTGCCGCCGATTCAACGCTGTCCTCGAGGATACATTTCTTGAAGACGGCCACACGCTGTTTTTGCATTTTGTTGCGCTTTGAGTTATTTTCCCAATGATTAACCGACAGTACGGCCACCAGAGCCTGCACCAAGCCCGACGAATGCATTTCGTAGGCGCTCACTACCCCATCCTCGTGTATCAATTGACACAGCTTGGTGAGAGCGGCGGATAAAGTCGTGTCCCAGCTGCCATTCGGTGCCATGTGCTGCTCCTCGAACGACACCTCAATTTGCTTCACGATATCGGTCAGTATGGCGACCGCTCCGCGAGGGACAGTCTGCGCCGATTTAAAGTACTTGTTGTAGATTTCGCGCGACAGGTTGCGTACCTGAAACTTCTGACCCTCCGCCTTGGACTTGTTGCGCTTCTTTTTGGCCGTGGACCAGCCGGAAGCGAAATCGGGACCCAGCACAGTTTCGGCCGTGAAGGTGTGTTTCGTGCCTCGATTGCTTTCAAATATAAAGCCAGGCAAGTCGTCCTGCAGTACTGTGACCTGATGGCCTTCTGTATTGTGTATTTGCAGCTGATTTGTTTTATGCGATTGCAAGACCCAGTTACCGACAACCAAACGCAGGGCACTCGCTGTGGGTAAAATTGGCTGGGAAACAACGCCGGGAATCACGCACGATCGGGCTCGCATTAGTTTTTCCAGGAACTCACCGCGATTTTCTAAATATTTTTAAATTAATATACACATTATTTTTAATGTAAGAGTATAATATTTACCTGAACTATCATTTCCATTCTCTGGACTTCCGCTGGAGTACATTGTGGCCAGCTTGCCATCGATTATAAAGCGAAACCAGCCGTTTGAGCCATTGGAGAGCTCCAATGCCACCGAGTCTGACCACACATACAGGCAGTCACGTCCCCGACAAATGCTCCACTCCCGCCAGTGGTAGGGCTTTCCCTGCAATATCTCTTTAGCGTCCTCCATGGGGTCGTCTATAGGGTTAAGCCCGATTATAATAGTCATTATAATTATAATATATGTATAGGGGATCTTTACCTAGAGCTGCTCGAGGGCTGACGACGACGTTGCTTAAAGATTTCTGAGTGGAAGATGCCGTCTCGTCGGCGGTTCCTGACGATGATTGCACATACATATCCTCGGCATCCGTGTCCATCAGAGCTTGGACCTTAGCAAACACTCCTAATCGGGCAAAGTGATCGAGAAATTCCTCTTGTGTCTTACACATAATTTCCTCAATAATGTTTAAAACAATTAAATGACCATCGTCGTCGTCCTGGAATTAAAGTAAAGAAAATTAATACTTATATTTAAAATATTTTTGCATTGATTACCTCATTGTCTAGGACACTGGCGACCACCTCGATAAGCAGGTTTCCGCCATTCTGGCCTGATGAAGTGGAGGCGTGTACCTCATCGCTGTAGCCGGACTCGCTCAGGCTTTGCAGCACCGTTGGGTACGCGTATTGGACAATCTTTTTTATCAGCGCCAAGCTAGCGCGCCTCACACTGCCAAGCATGGAGCCCAAAAAGGTGCGGCAGAAAATAGGAAGTAGAACCTTAAGATAAATAGGAGCCATTTCGGGATCCCCGCGCGGCTCCATCAATGTGCCCTTCTTCCCATCCTTGTTGAGGAGCGAGTGATCTGGCGACATCCACTCGCCGGGTGACTGAAGTATGGCCGCCACTTCCCGGTGGCCGTCGTCTAGTCTCTCACGCGCCTTGTCCAGTGGCGTCTTGCCGTCCTCATCACGTAGATCCGGATAGGCGCCGAATTTGAGAAGAATTTTTGCAATTGCCGGACGACCGAAGCAGGCTGCATAGTGAAGGGACGAGCTGCGCTGCCCCTTGTTCACGTCAGCACCTTTTTCGCACAAGTACTCGACCATTTCCAAGGTACCAAAGGCAGAGGCCCAGTTGAGAAGCGTCTGCCCCACATCGTCCATGCAGTTGACATCGATTCCGCCCGATTCGATAGCCTCACGCAACGCTTCCGAATCCTTTGATCGGATGCAATCAATGAGCTGGCGGTGCGTGCGATCAGTGTTGGTATTGTTGCGCCTAGGTCGGGGGGCCAACTGTCCCTGATTGGGGTTGTTATTACTGCCTCCGGCGCCGCCTCCTCCACGGTTTAGCGCTTGCCGTCCCTCGAACAAAAGTAAGAGGAGGAGATCTGCAAACCGCATGCAGTCCAGCACACATCTCTCGTCGCCCTGCAAGGCCCTTTCAAGAGCATCGGCCAACTGCGATCGCAAAATGTCATGGGTAATCGATGGTGATCCACGACAGAGTGTAGATAGCAGAGAAATCGTAGTGGATATGGACTGCGGGGATGCAGCTGCATCAGATGATGCCTTTACTTTGGTGGCGCTCGCACCCGTGGCCACATTTTCATTGATGGCATCTGACGAGTTAGTGGGTGCAGCGGTCAGGGCAGGTGGCTGAGCAGCAGCAGCAGCAGTTCCCGAGTGTGGGCTGCTGCCTCCCACACTCTTCAAACGCTTCAACAGTTCCGTGGTGAGCCCGTACTCGGCCAGCGGTGCCGGGTCCACCCACTTTCGGGTGAAACGATCGGCCACAGAAGCGAAGCACTTGAGGGCGCCGTCGGATACCATAGAATCCTCGTGCTGCAGCAGCGTGCTCAGGCTCTCCACGCAGTTTTGAATGCATGGTGTGTTGGGCTCTACTTTGGTGCACAGCCGCGACACCACAGACATGGCCGAGTGCAATGTGTCTTTGTGCACTTGCGAGCCGCAATCACGGATGAAAGATAGGACACAGTTGAGGCCGCCACCCTCGAAAACGGCGCCCGCTTCTCGAGTGCAAATCAGCTCGAGCACCTTGATGCACTGCTCGGCGAGATCGCGAGATGTGCGTGATGAGAGATCCGCAACCACAAGATGATTGCAAATGGCCTTGATGGCGCCATCGATCGACACGATGCGGCGGGTGCACTCCGCCGAAACGTCCAGGTAATAAGTAATGGCTCGCGCCGTAACCTCAAGCACGTTTTCGGGTGCCAGTTCATCCAGGAAAATCTTGCACAGTGCCGGCAAGAATGTGCGCGGTGGACAGCTGAAAACGGAAAGATAATCGATCAGAAAAAGAAAGTACAGAAATTAAATAATATTCAAGTACCTTTCAAAGCAACGATCCACATTGTCGGACATCAGGAGCAGCATGCAGAGCTGCTCCAGTGCTATCAGTTGCATATCCCGCTCATCGCCCTGTCCCATGGACAGCCATTCCAACAGAGTCTCGGGATCGACATCGCCCATCTGTGCAATGTAAACAATACAATTTTGATAATTGAATATGTTAGTTGTTGACAGCTAAGGCAGGCAACAAAGAAAAGGCAGTGGCACCCGTGTAATGGTCTTTGTTTTTGGCAATTTTGGTTAATTATAATATGCGTTTGTTAGATACAGAATTCTCGGGTTAAATATTTGAAATGATGCCTTTAATGGCCATTTATTTGATTGATTTACATTTTTACAATAAATCAATGTGTATGCTTACTGAGATTAATAGTTCTATTTGACTTACCGCGAATCGATTTTTTCTGCTTTTCTTAACCAAAACTGCAAAGGGGACAAGAAAATTATGAGTATTAAAAATTTTATCAAAGAATTATTATTTAAGGAATTAACATTTCAATTCTTTCGTCGTAATAAATTAATGTTAGAATTTGAATTTCCATTTTGTAGGAACAACCTTGGGTTGCTAGGCATTCTTACAAAGGCAAACAATAGATACCAATAGACTCGTTAAAAATGATTCCAAGTGTACATCAAATACATACATACATATGTATATTTATGCACATATTTTCAGTAAATCAGATGAGCTATGCGAATCACTAATAAAGCGCGCCAAAATATTATAATCCAATGTACATATGTGTGTATGTACATATTTCATCAAACTTATACAGCTTAGCGAAAGTTACACATTTACTTTGATATACAGCAGTTGTACTCCAACTTGTTTTTGTACCAATTGGAGGTGCCACTAAGAAAATTACGTGTAACACAGCACAAAGGAATATTTAAGTGTAGAGAAACAGAAACTGCGTTGTTCCAACTGAGAAACACACTTAAGTCACTATACAATGACGGCGTTCGTTATCAAATCAATAATAAAATAGGTATGAATAAACCTTTTCAATAGACGAAAATCACACTAAGTAAACAAAACAAACATATGTATGTACAAACACATTTTGTTTTATTTATTATTTCACGATTCTATTATAACGTTGGTAATACTTTCAAAGTGTTCACGAAGAAAACAGACCGTGTAACGTGCTCTAATAATTTACACAAGAAAGTGCACAAATTCTGACTATGATGACACTTCCATTTTTCTTTTGCCCACAACGATAGTTGAGTTGTGTATGTATTTATGCATGTGTATGTATATACGTATATTTTCGGGGACCTTTCTATTCCAATAAACATAACTGCTTTGAAGTTACATAAATCAAAGAAGCAGTTATGACAATGGTCTTCGCCAAACTATGTATGCACTAATTTCACAATATACCAACGCGAAAACATGTGTGTAGGTAATGTAATTGTCAATTATTCATACAAATTTGCGTCTCCACGAGTGGGAGCGCAGCTGAGAGCGCGAAATATTGTTTAATCCAGGTCGTCATACCTGTTTTGCATTATATTAAATATTATGCTGTCTTTATTATTCACTTAATCTTGCTTTTTAAAAGCTTTTTGAAATTACTCAATACACTATTTTCATTCACACAAATTCAGCTTGAAAATTGATTCTAGTGATGCTAAAGTGGCGATAGACTGAGACTATATTATATCGATAGACTATCGATATAAGCTATCTAAAAAAGTCCAATTAAAAAATTATTGACAGTATCATATTTTTTTTTTTAGTAAGAAAAACTAGTATTTAAAACTTGGAAATATTGATAATGTAAAATAAATACAATCTCATTTAATATGCGGGAAGATGAGCAATTTTCGAAACGAAAATGTATAATTAACCACCTTGGTCAAGTTTGGAACAAACTATAAAATAGACCAGAATATATAAAGGACCAAAACATTAAATTAATTTGATGTTTCTTTATCTCTCACCTGTTATTTTTATACTAATTTCAGTCAGAAGCTTGAAACGCACTAAAGAATTGATTGCGAAACCTATAAACCATATATATTTGTCAAAAATTAACAATAATATCAATTTTTTAAATTTAATGTTGAGTAAGCGAACGTAGGAAAACTTTCAGAATTAAATTAATTCTTTTTTGACTTAGCTATGAGTTTCTTACGTCTTAATTTGTCAAAAAAAAAAATTGTCATATAAAAATATTGATTTATATCGATTCAAAGACTGAAAATATTTTAAGGTTATAAGCTTATAATTCTAGTTATGATAGATTTACATAAATAAAAAGAACTGATTGCTCGCATTTTTAAGTTCCGAATTAGAAATTGAGAAAAAAGCAATTCTTCTTAATTCCCACCAACTAACAGATGCAATAATCAAAATGAATGTTGACAGTATCTGCGTATTTATTTAAGAAATATTTTATTTTAAATATGTAAATTATCAATACATAAATATTATGACAAGTAAATTTTAATTTAATAAGAATGGATTATTAATTATGTTCTGGAATAAGTTCCGACGCCCAAACATCTTGTGGCCATCCCGTACGGCCCTTAGCAGATATGGGCACATTCTGAAAAATAACAATAATTGTGTTTTAATAAATTCGATTTTAAATATAATTTAATTTCTCTTGTAGTAAGAATAAATATACCTTTTTATTTTTTTTTATTAAGTTATGATATGCTTTTATACCTAAGTTCTAAGTTTGATTTGTTTTGTTTTGTCATACTCATTTTTTGATAAGAACTATTAAAAAATAAAGATTATGAATCAACACTGAAATATTTCCAAGCTACAATTTTGGTTAGTTTAAAATCATCCACATTTTGAAGAAAAGTTTGATAAAAGAAACCTACTAGGAAATTTGTAGTAACACCTTTATCTAGAATAATACAAATTAAATTAAAGAATTATCTAAAACGCGTTTTTAAACGAGAGTGTAAAATATATTTTAAATATATCTTTGCAAATATTTCCAAATCTTTCAGAATGTTTTGGCAAAAAAATTCAAAGAATTGTTTTTAGAATAACACTTGTATATAGTAAATATTCGGGTGTATATACACCTGCAACAGAAACACATATCGAAATTATACGCATGAACTCTATTTATGTAGATCATAGTTTTCTTTCTTGTTTACAACTTTGTACCCACAAATAGACAATTAAGAAGTAAACAAAAGATGTTAACACGTGCACGGAAACACTATAGAAACACCTTATTATTTTATTTAGAAATTGTAGTTCAGGCTTTAATTGTTGTGAGGAAATTTCTGTATATCTTAAATGCTATGCCAGAATATGAAAAAAGAAACGAGTATTTTAAAGAAAAAATTAATATTATATTGATGCAATGTTTTCCCTCATTTCCCCCCTCCGTTTTCCCATTTTCTCGCTGTTTCCCAGAGAACTATGCACTTCCAAAGCACTTGATTAATCCAAACCCTTAATGGATTATATACATGTATATTTTTGATACAACACTTTGGCGGTCGCACTTGTCTTGTGGGTATCTCTATTGCCAGATTGCCCTATTAGGTTAATGATCAACCCACCCCAACCCGTGTTGGTGGATGGATAAGCATGGATTCTCAATTACGGCTGCATGTGCCTGCGGTTTATCACTTCCTATAATTGCACAATAAAGTGAAACTTGGAGGCGGTCACCCGAATCTCTTATTTTGTAGCCACCCTGCACTTCAATTAAGAAAGAAACAAAAGCATGTTTTTCTGGCAGTTTTCAAAGATGGAAATGGAAATGGAAATAAAGTACATTTATAAAGTCAAGTGCTTTTATTTATTATAGGAAAAAAAAATAGCAAAGAGATACAATCTACTTCAAGTTCAGAAAACCAATTTGGGGCTAAAAAAATGTTTTCTTAAAGTTTAATATCTTTTCTAAATCACACAAATATTTAGTTCTCATTGAAGACTAATATATTGGAATTAGGACAAAACAAGAAATAATAGATACGTACATATATTTATACATATATACGAAATAAAATACGCCCCCAGTTGTACAATACAAAAGTTGCATCTGTTTTTTCTCTCTTCTTTCATAACAAGTCTGAAAAATATATATAATAAAAGAGAATAAGCAAGAGAGCATTTTTGGTTTTGGACACATAAAAGTGGTTAATAGGAGAATTAAGTAAGAAAGCATAGTAAGTTAAATGTTTGTATTATTCCTTAAATTTAAACCGGAAAACTATTTATTATAACTGCCAGAGAAAGGGTTGTTAAATGTAGAGGCTTAGTAAATATCTTTTAACAGTATGTTATTATGAGGAGTATGTAACTATGATCAGTAATTAACTCTGAGCAGTGAGTACCTATGACCAATAACTAACTCTGACCAGTAAGTATCTATGACCAGCAAATATCAATGAACATTAAGTAACTCTGAACATTAAGTAACTACGATCAGTAAGTATCCATGACCAGTAAATATGTATGATCAGTAACTATTTTTGAACACTAACAAACAATGACTTGCAACTTTTGTAACCACACATTTCTGAGACTTGGTCGACAGAAGTCACTTCATTCCGGGGATTTTTGAACCAGTTGGGAATCATATGATATGATGATTAACTTTGAACATTAAGTATCTATGACCAGTAAGTAACTCAGAACAGTAAGTATCTATGACCAGCAAGTATCAATGAACATTAAGTAACTCTGAACATTAAGTAACTACGATCAGTAAGTATCTATGACTAGTAAGTATGTATGATCAGTTACTAACTTTTAACACTAATAAACAATGACTTGCAACTTTTGTAACACAACACATTTTTGAGACGTGGTCGGCAGCATTCACTTCGTTCCGGGGATGTCTGAACCAGTTGGGAATCATATGATATGATGATTAACTATGAACAGTAAGTATCTATGAGTAGCAAGTAACTCTGAACAGTAAGTAAGTATGATCAGTTACTAACTTTGAACACTAATAAACAATGACTTGCAACTTTTTTAACACAACACATTTCTGAGACGTGGGCAGCAGCAGTCACTTCGTTCCGGGGATGTCTGAACCAGTTGGGAATCATATGATATGATGATTAACTTTGAACAGTAAGTATCTAAGACTAGTAAGTAACTCTGAACATTAAGTATCTATGACCAGTAAGTAACTCTGAACAGTAAGAATCTATGATCAGTAAGTATCAATGAACATTAAGTAACTCTGATCACTAGATAACTCTGAACATTAAGTAACTACGATCAGTAAGTATCTATGACTAGTAAGTATGTATGATCAGTTACTAACTTTGAACACTAATAAACAATGACTTGCAACTTTTGTAACACAACACATTTTTGAGACGTGGTCGGCAGCATTCACTTCGTTCCGGGGATGTCTGAACCAGTTGGGAATCATATGATATGATGATTAACTATGAACAGTAAGTATCTATGACCAGTAAGTAACTTTGGTCAGTGAGTAACTATGAACATTAAGTAATTATGAGCAGTTATTAACTATGACCAGTAAGAACTATGAGAAGTTATTAACTATGATCAGTGAGTATCTATGAGCAGCAAGTAACTCTGAATAGTAAGTATGTATGATCAGTTACTAAGTTTGAACACTAACAAACAATGACTTGCAACTTTTGTAACACAACACATTTCTGAGACGTGGGCAGCAGCAGTCACTTCGTTCCGGGGATGTCTGAACCAGTTGGGAATCATATGATATGATGATTAACTTTGAACAGTAAGTATCTAAGACTAGTAAGTAACTCTGAACATTAAGTATCTATGACCAGTAAGTAACTCTGAACAGTAAGAATCTATGATCAGTAAGTATCAATGAACATTAAGTAACTCTGTTCACTAGATAACTCTGAACATTAAGTAACTACGATCAGTAAGTATCTATGACTAGTAAGTATGTATGATCAGTTACTAACTTTGAACACTGATAAACAATGACTTGCAACTTTTGTAACACCACATTTCTGAGATTTGGCCGGCCGAAGTTACTTCGTTCCGGGGATGTTAAAACAAGGTGGGAATCATATACATATGCATGTGCGAGTTTTGTTTTGGAACAAATTTAAGAGCAAACTATTTGAATGAAACTATAGAGTTATTCTTCTATATAATTTTACTAGAATATAAGTCGGAGCATGGCGAATCGGTGGATTATTATATATATATATATATTATATATATATATATATATATATATATATATATAAACTTCGGCGTGCCGAAGTTAGCTTGTTTTATTGTTTTATTTTATATTTACAAAAACCACTAATAATGCGTAAGAAAGTTGTACTTTCAGTAAAATACTTTAAATAAATTTAGATTATATTAAATAAAAGTCGTGTAACAATGGCTGTCCAAAACCTAAAAAATTATTTGAACTTAATCAGAGTTTTCCTGTGTTTTATGGAAATTAAAAAAGAGTAAACATACTTATTAGAAATATAATTTTGTAACTTTAGCTTACTTGAATTTCGTTCTTCAGACATTGCTGCTTCTTTTCGCTACAAATCTTTCGGTTCATTGGCTTCAGCTCTGCTCGAAATCCGCCTTTCGGATCCTGATCCCCATCGAGGACATTAACCAAGTAATTTATGTATAATATGGCCAATTTTAATGTTTTTATCTATTGAAAAACGCAAATATATACATTTTAAAAACCTTTAAGAAGTTGTTTTTTGTGTGAGGATTGGGGTTTTGCTCGTAATTTTTGTTAATAAAATTTTTATTAGAGTATCAATTTTGCTCCTCTCTCTTTAGACTCCAAACTTAAATTTACCTTTGATAGTTTTGTATCTGTCGGAACATTAGGAATTTTTTCTCGCAAATAGGAAAAGGCATTGTTTATACTTTGTGTTCTTCTCCTCTCCTTTTTGTTAGCTGTGTTTCTTTTCTTAATAGTTCGAGTAGTCGAAGGTGGAGCATAGCCCACATGATTCTGGTTATAAATCTGTTGCTGAACTTGACTTTCAGTGTCTGAAATAGATATAATCAAATATTTTATTTCAGCCTTTTCTTAAATCGATTTACAAATAATAATATAACTATGTTTAGAACAAGTATTTGGCAATGCATGAAGATATTCTCGATTCAATGGCAATGGATGAGCAATAACCTCCACTACATACAAAGGGAAATATTTATCATTTTAAGAAAATAAAGTTTTTGAATAATGTTGTTTAATTGATATCACTGTCAGGTCACATAAAAAATATAATTACGGTTTAAGTCGAATATGGTGGATGTATTATAAACTGAGCTATAATATTGAATGTTCGTTGAATACTCGCGTCCCACAAACATTGCTTTTTTCGACATTTTAAACTATATTACGTTAGATAGCTCGATTAGAGTAAGGCATTATTGCTAATATCAACCGAAAATATAACTTGTTGTTGCTGCGCGTCTGGGAAGTAACTGAAACTGAAAAGATATTCAAAATAAACTGCGGACTATCCCATCGATGTTCTGCGGAAAAGCCTCCCCTAAAATTAACCAATCGCAGAGCTGATATTAGCTCTCTCCACCAATAACAGAGGAGCACTTTCAGAGCACTGTGTGTATGTATATATGTATATTATTATCCGATGGATATATAAAAAATATGTATGGGACCCGACCTGCACGGTTGACTGCGCTGTATGTCTATATCTTCAGTTCAGTCTGTCTCTAGCTTTCCTGTAAAATAGTGTCTTAATTCGAAGTCAACTTAAACTTTATTTACCGATGTGAACTAGAATGTAGCAATAACACAAAGAGAATGATATCAATATTTAAAGCGAATGTCGACATTTCAATGTTGTGATATATCTGCGATAAATCAATATACTGTTTTGATAACATGAACGAATAAAGAGACAAATAAATTCAATGTTTTCGAATATTTTTCGATAATATCGATATTTTACGTTTAAATGTTCTACTATAAAACATTTAGCATATCAAAATGTACTATATTTTCTACATAATGTTTAACGCCTCGGTGTGCAGTGTATAATAAAATGCTGTTTAAGGATGATGCTTAGCTAGGCACTGAAAGCTTAACGTCGGACTTTCAATATTAAAAGTTATATTTCGTAGTCTGGATTTTGTCACTTTATTCTTCTTAAGAAATTTCACGGACCTTGCTAGATTTTTAAAGCCAAGGTTTATATACCCATTCAGTTTGTAGTTAAATTTTAAGATCTTATCGGAAATCTATCATTACTTAAAATATTCGAATTCATTAAATCGATATTAATCCATAGTTTTTTTTAAGAATTTGTTTGACAATTCAAGTTTTAAAAAACTCATAGCTAAGTCAAAAAATCATTTCATTTTGTTTCTGCCTAAGACTAGGCGGTTTATGTTGATCAAGATATGATTTATAAAGTCGGAAACGACTCCGTCACTGAAATTATAATACCCTGCAAAGGGGAATAGAATAAATTGGCGCCAAATTCAGAAATGTACGTAAGGGTAACCCTCAGTATTTTCTATATAATTTATAATTAGGTTAGGCCGTTAGCTTTGAGTACACGTTTGTAGATGATATTCTTAATACAGATAGCTGTTTTACTTAAAATTATAATTAAGGAATGGGGTCCATGACAAGGGAAATTGGATAGTAATAGTCATAGTATAATATCATAGTCCTAATCATTGTAATGGTTTAGACTTACCGCAGTATTGCAAACGTGGTTATGCTTTTTCGTCATTGCAGAATATCTTCCAGTGTGGGGCCGTATTATTGGTTCCTCTGGTTATCCAGATGAATTGCATCAGTCAGGTGATATATGTATGTATTTTGTGTCGAAGGCGAATCAGTATCATTACTGCCATAATCACTTCTGGCACTATCACTACTGCCACTTTCACAATAGATGTAAACAGAGGAAAGGCCACGTAAGTACTGAGGGCAGCGCAACTGCTGTGCCTGTATTTATAGTCCCCGAGTAAAGAGAATAGAGAAAGTAAGAGAGAGAGCGAAGAGAGCAGAGACCTAGAGAAAATGTGAAATCTCTAGGGATAGACATAGGAGTCAGGGAGAGAAAGAGAGAGACAGGGAGGGAGGGAGTTAGGTAGAGGTAGAGGCAGGCAGCTTTTCACTCCCATTACAATATTATATTAGTTGTTCTTAAGCTAACTTTGGCAAGCCGATTTTTGTATAACCTTGGAAATTGCAATTCGATTATTAATAATTAACACACTATAAATTATATCGTTCAATTTTGATGAAATTAAAATCGAAATGTAGAATGCTACAAGATGGATATATCTAAAATTTAAACAAGAGATGAAGCTATATATATATTTACACTTTTAAATTTTGCATATTCCTCTATTTTGAATTATCGTTTATATGGCAGCTATATGATATAGTAGTCCGATTTTCATAAAATTGTACACAAAATTCTAGATTATTATATAATGGATATACATACATATATCAAATTTGATGAAAATCTGATGAAAACCAGAAAAGTTATAATCTTATTCTTTAAATGTTCCGATCGTTCCTATGAAAGCTATATATACATATATATATATATATATATATATATATATAATCCACCGATTAGCCATGCTCCGACTTATATTCTAGTAAAATTATATAGAAGAATAACTCTATAGTTTCATTCAAATACTTTGCTCTTAAATTTGTTCCAAAACAAAACTCGCACATGCATATGTATATGATTCCCACCTTGTTTTAACATCCCCGGAACGAAGTCACTTCGGCCGGCCAAATCTCAGAAATGTGGTGTTACAAAAGTTGCAAGTCATTGTTTATCAGTGTTCAAAGTTAGTAACTGATCATACATACTTACTAGTCATAGATACTTACTGATCGTAGTTACTTAATGTTCAGAGTTATCTAGTGAACAGAGTTACTTAATGTTCATTGATACTTACTGATCATAGATTCTTACTGTTCAGAGTTACTTACTGGTCATAGATACTTAATGTTCAGAGTTACTTACTAGTCATAGATACTTACTGTTCAAAGTTAATCATCATATCATATGATTCCCAACTGGTTCAGACATCCCCGGAACAAGGTGACTGCTGCTGTCCACGTCTCAGAAATGTGTTGTGTTAGAAAAGTTGCAAGTCATTGTTTGTTAGAGTTCAAAGTTAGTAACTGATCATACATACTTACTAGTCATAGATACTTTCTGATCGTTGTTACTTAATGTTCAGAGTTATCTAGTGATCAGAGTTACTTACTGGTCATAGATACTTAATGTTCAGAGTTACTTACTGGTCATAGATACTTACTGTTCAAAGTTAATCATCATATCATATGATTCCCAACTGGTTCAAACATCCCCGGAACGAAGTGACTGCTGCTGTCCACGTCTCAGAAATGTGTTGTGTTACAAAAGTTGCAAGTCATTGTTTGTTAGAGTTCAAAGTTAGTAACTGATCATACATACTTACTATTCAGAGTTACTTGCTGCTCATAGATACTCACTGATCATAGTTAATAACTTCTCATAGTTCTTACTGGTCATAGTTAATAACTGCTCATAATTACTTAATGTTCATAGTTACTTACTGACCAAAGTTACTTACTGGTCATAGATACTTACTGTTCATAGTTAATCATCATATCATATGATTCCCAACTGGTTCAGACATCCCCGGAACGAAGTAAATGCTGCCGACCACGTCTCAGAAATGTGTTGTTACAAAAGTTGCAAGTCATTGTTTATTAGTGTTAAAAGTTAGTAACTGATCATCCATACTTACTAGTCATGAATACTTACTATTCGTAGTTACTTAATGTTCAGAGTTATCTAGTGATCAGAGTTACTTAATGTTCATTGATACTTACTGATCATAGATTCTGACTGTTCAGAGTTACTTACTGGTCATAGATACTTAATGTTCAGAGTTACTTACTGGTCATAGATACTTACTGTTCATAGTTAATCATCATATCATATGATTCCCAACTGGTTCAGACATCCCCGGAACGAAGTGAATGCTGCCGACCACGTCTCAGAAATGTGTTGTGTTACAAAAGTTGCAAGTCATTGTTTATTAGTGTTCAAAGTTAGTAACTGATCATACATACTTACTATTCAGAGTTTCTTGCTGCTCATAGATACTCACTGATCATAGTTAATAACTTCTCATAGTTCTTACTGGTCATAGTTAATAACTGCTCATAATTACTTAATGTTCATAGTTACTCACTGACCAAAGTTACTTACTGGTCATAGATACTTACTGTTCATAGTTAATCATCATATCATATGATTTCCAACTGGTTCAGACATCCCCGGAACGAAGTGAATGCTGCTGACCACGTCTCAGAAATGTGTTGTTACAAAAGTTGCAAGTCATTGTTTATTAGTGTTAAAAGTTAGTAACTGATCATTCATACTTTCTAGTCATGAATACTTACTATTCGTAGTTACTTAATGTTCAGAGTTATCTAGTGATCAGAGTTACTTAATTTTCATTGATACTTACTGATCATAGATTCTGACTGTTCAGAGTTACTTACTGGTCATAGATACTTAATGTTCAGAGTTACTTACTGGTCATAGATACTTACTGTTCATAGTTAATCATCATATCATATGATTCCCAACTGGTTCAGACATCCCCGGAACGAAGTGAATGCTGCCGGCCACGTCTCAGAAATGTGTTGTGTTACAAAAGTTGCAAGTCATTGTTTATTAGTGTTCAAAGTTAGTAACTGATCATACATACTAACTAGTCATGAATACTTACTATTCGTAGTAACTTAATGTTCAGAGTTATCTAGTTATCAGAGTTACTTAATGTTCATTGATACTTACTGATCATAGATTCTTACTGTTCAGAGTTACTTACTGGTCATAGATACTTACTGTTCAAAGTTAATCATCATATCATATGATTTCCAACTGGTTCAAACATCCCCGGAACGAAGTGACTTCTGCCGGCCAAGTCTCAGAAATGTGTTGTTACAAAAGTTGCAAGTCATTGGTTGTTAGTGTTCAATGTAAGGAACTGATCACACATACTTAATGGTTATAAATACTTACTGTTTAGAGTTAGTTAGTGACTTCTGACTAAAATTACAATACCCAGTAAGGTTATAATTAAAGAAATATCAAATACAAAACGCATGTGTTTATCTACAAAAATTTATTACACCTCTCATGGTTAATCAAAAGATAAAAGATTGTTCTAGTGGTACATCATGATATCTGTGCTTTGGTACAGACACATATAGGCATCGCAAAAAATACGCTTAGCGTGTTCAGGTAATACTTTATCGTTCGTTGAAGTTTCATTTATAGATCGCGCCCCCTCGTCCGTGAGCCACTGCGTTAATTCCGGAACACACGTAATTTCAGGTATATTGTATCCATTCTGTTCGCCTACAAAGAGTTTCGTATGAAATATAGCAAATGTATTGAACAATTTTAAATTAATTAATATTAATTACCTTTTCTATCCGCCATTGAATCGAAAAAACACCATGGAGCATCCGGACCAGAACCCGATTTCACAAAAGCCACATAATGTGATGTTTCGATGCAAACTACGGCAAATAATTCCATATATAATCGCGGGACAACCATGTGGTCAGCCATAATCCTAAAGTCCTTCGGAATGGAGATCTTCTTCGAAACGTGATTGCTCCTGTAAACGAATTATGTTTTATAACAAACTAAAATTGTGTAAATCTGTTATTTAGGTAACCTTTTTGAGTGCGAGTGAAAGGTTTTTAAGCACTTGGGACAAAAGGCGGTGCATTCAAGGCCAGAACCGGCTTGCAAGCTTCCAAAGCAATCACGACATTCAAACTCTGCCAGTTTGCCGCAAAGCGAGCACTGTCGCGGGGCTAAATATAAAGAAATAAAATTATACATATCAAAATGTAAAGGCCTCTAGGGTACTTGCAGTTTTCAATGATATCCGTCACATCCAGAACTTGCGATGGCAATATTCTTGGGTACATCTTGAAGTTTTTCCCAAAGCGAGGCATCTGAATGATAAAGCACGATGGAACTTCCTTCAATTTGATGTCGGACGAGTGAAAGCTCTGTTCGAATAGCTGCTGGACACTCGGTAGCGTTAGCTTGTCGTCCTTCTCCACAAACAATTGATAGAAATACGAATCTTGACCGGAGCTTAGCTGAAAAAGTTTATAAATTTTTAAAGGCTAATGTTAAAAACAATTTTAATGCTACGCACCTTTAAAAACGGTTCAACTCTCATTATTTGTGAGAGTAAACTGTTGAGGAACTCTTCAGGATCTTTCTCCTCACAGGTAAGGCCACTAACCGAACTTAGCTGGTCCAGCAATTCGCGAAGCTTCATCACACGATCTGAGCGCACAAAGACATTCTTTCGCAGGGGATTGACGATTTCATCACGCAAAACCTTCTGAACTTCGCTGTAATTTCGAATGTCCTAACGATAGAGGAATTTTAATTGCATTATTATACCCTTGCAGGTGTCATTTCATTTTTAAAAATTTTAAACTGAATATGCAGATTTATTAACCAAATAAGAACATGGAAAAGCTTTCCGAACCAAAATTAATGCTTTTTTGGCGTAGTTTTGAGTTTTGTAAATTTCGATTTGTCGAAAAAGTTGCCATATAAAAATTTTGCTTAATTCGACCCTATAATAAAATTGTATATTGCATGGGTATTTAGACTTCGGCTTTCCGAACTTAGTTTTCCTTCTTGTTTAAATTAAATAAAGTTAAAATTACTTGAGCTCCCGGATGCCGGTACAGAATAGAATCAAAGACACTGGTGAAAGTGAACATTGAAAATAGCGTGGCATCTAAATAGCAGGAGTTATGATGTCCTTGTATTCCCTTGAACTTGCCACAAATACTGGCTAGCTCCTCGGAGTTGTGTATTTCTAAAGAAGCCAGGAATTAGTGTTTAATTAAAAAACATTAAAAGTTTCTATTATCTCTTACCTAAAGGGGGTACTGGTCCATATATAGCCGGACACTCAGCCACACCGAATTTCTTCGCCTGATTATTCGAAACTCTATTGGCTGCCATGCTGGCAGTGTCCACATCCGCAAATCTACGGTCAGCGGTGCATCTGTTAGCAGGGACAAACACGGCTCGACCTTCGTGGCATGTGAATAGGCTTGAAAATATCGGAAAATATTAAAATATTATAATACGAACAGGTTTTTAATAGAAACATACCGAACTCCGTTATGCCTGCCGTCTGAGGTCATAACGTTCTTTAAGTTGGACTCGTCCTCCACTTCAATTCCCACCAGAACGTTCTTTTGAATTCCCGGCGGAATGCCAATCCATCTTATAACACCATATAGATCTTCATTCGCTCCAGGACTCGACACTTCCACGAGCGATCCAATCGCTAGCTCAGTTCCGGGTATCTCAATCAAAGGCTGATAATCGGCTACGGTGATGCCTAGAAAATAGAAAGAGTTTATTGATAGCAGAAAAACAAGAGTCCTATCGGTTCGAGTGTCGGGTATAAATGACTTCTAGAATTTACCGGGTTCCTCGTCTAGGGAATCCGGGGTGTAAAATTCCAAAACAGTTAAAGGTATATTATTGTGTAAGTCCGATTCGGTAAACAGTGATTTTTGGTACAGATTCATGTTCACAACTTTATAGATAATTAAAATATATATAAGTTTAATGCAGCTTAAGGCGAGCAACGTCTAAGCAGAAATGAAACTCCGAAAAAACAGCCAGAACACTAGCATTTTACGTGAACGTAAATAGAATATATGTATCTTTGGCCAACAATCTAAAAATAAAGCACACACTTTCGGTCTGCGACCATTTCTAAGATGTTCGTCCAAGTGAATAAGAAATTACAAAGAAACTCTTCACAAAACCGAAATTATAGATAAATAAATTATACTTTTTGCATGCAAATTTCCAAAACGGTTTTTGATATCCAAGAAATGTCCGCTCTCTGAGGAATATATATATTTTATCGAACGTAGAAGAACGTTTGACAAAGTTGCTTCTGAGGCATCCGGAAAATTTGTAAGTATAAGAGCACAGTGGAGCAGACGCCTTTAGAAATAGTGCAATTGTGGCTTCAGCATGCTGCAATTGGTTGCTTTTTTAAAATTGTTGATCTCCAAGGGAATTGGTATTCGGAAATTCTATAGACCCAGAATGAACCTGATAGACATTGGCAACCAGTCAAGGATCCTAGCACCAATACTAGCAATACGTACGCGGACTTTCCTCTGGCTCGACTTTCGGTAAAACAGGCGGGGAAGCTGGTTTAATTTCTTCGCAAATGCCAGGCTCCACCAAAGTTTTGCTTTTGTTGTTTAAAATCATAGCTGCAGCTCCAGCACGTTTTGGCCAATTTGTTCCAAGAATGTCTGCCAAATCCACATCTTCGTGATAAGCGTTGTCGTGGTTAACATCGTTGTTTCTAAAATTGAATTTAAATTATATATTTACCAAATATATTTTTCGGTTCGTTCTTACTTTAAAATTCCATTTTTTCGATTTTGAATCTTTTTCGGATAGATGTGTGCCATGTTTTCACCTTCGTTGGAGAGTTCGTAGTTGTCCAGGGAATCCCCAAACCGATTTGTAATTGTTAACTTTTTTTCCTTTTCTGTTTCATGATCGGATTTGGAATTCATTATATCCAACTGAAGGCTGAAAAATCAGTCAAATTTTGTCAGTTGATTTTTTTGTTTGTTTTTATTTTAAATGTAAATATAATTTAATTTAGATGATTCCATTTGTGCAACCTGGGAAAGACAGCAGTCAGTGCGACCGCCTAAGCCAAATAACTTTTCACGGTCACACTGAACAGCTGATAAAACATTGCAAAAATAATTTGTACATATGAAAATACATTTGTACATATGTTCACAGACAACATTTGTTTCTTCCTAGATATTTTACAATATATTTAAACTCACAGGCCTTTCAATTAATGTATATTAAAACATATATACACTATCAAAAAACAACGAAATTTCCTACATACAACGGATTACTTGTATTGCGATGCACAGCACAACATGATTATATACACAAGTTCACCGTAGCCGCAATAACAACTAATATGCCTAAATACACTTATATACTATACTGAAATAAAATAAACCTGCACTCCCTATATGTTAATAACAAACTCAACATTGTTTACAATTTTTCAATGTTTGTTTTGGTAGTCTTTGTCTGTACGCCTGTATGATTATATTGATTTAGCTGCAGTGTAACTAAATTTGATTTCTTTAATTCGTTGTTTCTTGTCATGTTATTACATTGTAGGTATCTTTCAGGACAAACGCGGACAACCATAAGAAAATAAATAAAGTTACACTTAAGTTTCCTCCACAATTTTCCTTTATGATAAAAACACTGGCACAACAGATTATAAAAATACAACATGGCCACTGTTTTACAAACGTTTCGACCCTAAATCTAAAAATGAAACATGTGAGAATGAAACACAGATGATAACTATTTAAATTATTATTTTATAATATTTTGTATTTTTATTTTAAGTCTCATGAAGAACGGCCTTATTTCATACAGATTGATTTTACAAAACGCGTCTGGAAAACCTTTTTTAGGTAAAAACTAAAAAATGTTATAATTATTTTATATTTTAGTTTAATTTTTTTACCAATCATTTAATTATTCACTTACGATATTCCGAGAAGTATATAAAATCCTAATTATTATATATTACTCTTACTGTTTAAAGGACTGGTAACTCAAATTACGTGGACTATAAAATTTTTTAATATACATATTTTCTAATTTCTTCTATTGGTAATGGGGCCAGTAATGCTTCTTTATTTTGGAGTCGATTCTGCAACAGCTGATGGAGCTGGCAACTCCACGTTGATAGCACTCTGGAATGCCATAGGTTGCAATTGGACAAATTGGAATGGTAGCGAGAAAGGAATCCCACGGAAGGCATTAGCTGATTCCTGGGGGTTCAGGTCAAAATTGGAATTATTTACGAACGGTGGGGCTGAGTTGGCGGTATCCAAATCTTGGCCTGTGATGTTAAACGCCTGGGGTGTGGGGCCGACAAGCTTCAGAGAAACAGGCTCTCGACCAGAAGAAGCCGTTTCAATAGAGCTTTTTAAAACAGGTTCGTGCCTATACTGCGGCAGAGCTGTGTTTTGATAGTCTTCGATTCGGGGAGGAAGATCTAATTCTTTCGATTTGTATATCCTATTGTAATAATTTGAAGGCAGCGAAGCTTGCTCGTGATCTCTAGGTGGCGGCGGCGGTGAATGATCAATTTCCATATTATATTTAAACTCTTCGGGCTGGTGATAGCTTTCAAAAGGTGAAGGCTCAAATTTATATGGCTCGTTTGATCGAATGTAAACAGGAACCTTTCTTTCCACTTCAACCTTGTAGGGAACAGGCACTTTCTTTTCGAGTGCTATGGGCACCTTGATTTCCACAGGATACGGAACGGTCCGAAGAACAGGATATGGTTTTGGAACATGAACTATTTTCTCAATGATTTTCTCCACAACATAGGGTTTTGGGACTTGCACTGGTTTTGGAACGTGAACGATTTTTTCGACTATTTTTTCAACGGGCACATGCACAATTCTCTCAACCGTAACATTAACAAGCTTTGGAACATGCACAATTTTTTCCACAATTTTCTCAATGGGCACGTGTACAACCTTTTCTACAGGATACGGTTGGGGTACTGTCTTTATCATTTCCTTAATGTGATTGTGATGATGATGATGATGATGATGCTTTATTTTAACTTTCATCCGTTTCTCATCTTTCTTGTTGGAATGATGATCCTTTTCGTGCAGGATCGACTGGGTACCAATTTGCTCCGATGCTTGGTACTGCTGTCCATCGTCGTCCTCCTCGACGTGTTCATGAATTTCCTCAAAGGTATGATAGTGTCGACTTTCTGTATCACCGCCCAAATGAGAATTTGTATTCTTTCTTCGATCAAATACCGAGGGCTTGTATTTGCTCTTATGTCTACTTATTTTCTCGGTCGGCTTGTGATAGTTATTTCCGCGCTTGAAGGTAGCATTTCGTTCAGCCTCGCGATGATAATTTTGAGTATCTCCGTTCTCTGATCTGCCTGCATGTCGAAAGGATACTTTTCCGAATTCAGGATAGGTCCAATCATGACTTTCGGCGTTACTACTCCGATTAACAGCAAAGGAATCACTGGGCGCTGTATATCCAAATATTATTAGAGGTATAAATACATATCCGGAAAACAAAATCTGCAAAAGGAAAGGAACAAAATTAAAATTAATAGAAGAAATATCCTTGTGTTTTCTGTGTGTATAATTCTCTGGAAAACTTACCAATGAAATCATTATATTAAGCTTTTGCAGCCTTGCTTTGAGCGTGGAGCGGTTCGTTCAAAATCTGTAACAGCAATGATTTGTTTGCCACTGGAAGAAAGCATTTATATGAGCATGAAACATAATTAAAAGAAATTTTAGATATTTCAATAAAGTGAAGTGTTTATACTCTTTCCATCTAGTCTTTGGGCAAATCAAAAAATAGGTAATAAAATAGATCTACAAGCTTTACTTCAGCTACCTTTTTTGTCTAATAATAAATAAAATCTTTGGAGCCTCTCAAATGTGTAAGCATATTTAAAGTACACTTACAATAAGGGGAAAAACAGTACCAGTTTACATATATGTTTTTCCGATTGAAAGCCTTTGATCGCGTGCCGTTGCTTGTGCGAGAGTACAAATGAATTATTTTTTGTAAATGTTTTAAATTTCTCTAGGTGAATATTTCAAGGAGGATCACAATCCATGTTGTAATTAAAGTGCATTGAGCCTTAGTTTGCGGAACCTCCGGTGGACTTATGTAATTTTTGGCTCTTTAAGCTACCGTTTTTTCTTAACGAATATATACGGTTTCCGGAAATTAGATATTGTGGAGAACAGGGTTAAATAAGAGAAGGAAGCACTATCGAAGCACTTTTTATTAAAATTTATCTCTTGTCTTCAACGAAATCACCTACCGCACGCCAATCTGACGAAAGTATTTCAAAGATTAAAGCTTTTTTAATTAATTTAAGTTTCTTTTTAAGATTTATTCAACCAACCGTAAAGGACTTAGTCTAGTTCAATTCTGTTCTCTAAAAATAGACTCCCAGTGTGCATCTTTGACTCCTTAATTTTAAGTGTGAGCTTAGCAAGTCATCCATTGTGATATTGACGCTATTTCGATCCAATGTCGGCAAGTTTCCGGATGAATCACCAGCCCCGATAAGCTGTCTCATCCGGAAAACGGATGCGTTGCGGCACATCTCCCGGAGATCAGAGCCCGAGAAGCCATTAGTGAGTTTGGCCAAACGATTCAAATCCACATCACCACTAATTTCTTCCGACTGCAAAATCAACTGAAGTATATCTCTTCGTTGTATTTCAGACGGAAGGCCAATGTGGAATTGAGCTGGCATGCGGCGCACAATGGCCTTGTCCAGGTCCTGCGGTCTATTTGTGGCGCCCATCACAATAACTGTTGCATTGGAATTGGTGCTGAGGCCATCCCACAGCATCATAAACTGTGTCTTCATCATGGCGGTGGCCTCATGGTCGTTAAGATTACGGGAACGCAGGAAGGAATCGATTTCGTCAATGAATATAATACATGGCTGGATTTTTTCGGCCAGAGAGAAGACGGCGGAAGTTAGTTTCTGGGATTCCCCGTACCACTTGTCGGTAAGAATAGCAACGTCCAAATTGATAAAGCGCATGCCGGCTTCTTTGGCCGTGGCCTTTGCTATCAGGGTTTTCCCGCACCCAGGCGGACCGTGCAGCAAAACACCCTTGGGCGCCTGCCAAAGTTTTGAACGCTTGAAGAGATCCTTGTGTTGCACCGGAAGAACTACGGACTCGCGTAGCTCCTGAATAACCGTATCCAAGCCAGCTATATCCGACCAACTAACTTGTATGTCGGCCGGAACAACGAGATGTGACGCAATCATTAACTCGTAGTCATTAAACTCCTGGGGATTGAGTTTAAAGCCATCTTTCTCTGCAAGTCTGTGGACCGAGTTCAAGTAAGAGTATGAATTAATACAGTTTAATTTAGTAAACGCATCTAAGTACCTTTTTAGCTGCTCTTCAGCAAGTATTTTCGCTTTTTTCTTGTTTTACTAGTCGGGTCCAATTGGTTCATCATCCATTTAACCGAATAATATGTTATCAACGAAGCCACAGAGAGACGAATCAAAACTTGGAACATTTGCCCCTTGCTGAGATCCACTCCTCCAAGGCCGAAGTTGTCCATGTCCGTGAGATATGTGTAATTTCAATAAAAATAAGTTAGAACAGATCTGATTTTAGTTATATTTTCCATGCACGCACGTCAGTGTGACCGAATTGCAATATACAAAATATAACGTTCGTTGCGGTGATTTTAAGTGCTCATAAAGGGTATTCCAATAGTAGTGCAAATACTTCATGTTTTTGTGATAACGAATCTTCTATAAATTGTTAAAGATAATTGTTTTGTAGCTTGTTAATTTTAGTAATTGGCCATCCATAATTTCCCTATTAAATAAACCTATAAGGCAAATAAAGTTATATTTAATGCTTTATTCGTTGAAACCTGATGAAGTAAACATTAAAGTATTTCTAGTGTTTTTAATTTTTTAAATTAAAAGTTTCGCCTTTTTTTTATTAATTTTTTTACATTATTCAATTTTTGGTTTCTTAAGGCGTATAATATTTGGGATCAATTCCCCATATTTTCAATTTTGAGTCAATCCATGGACGAAGTTTGGCTACGTTGGCGTACACTCCGGGAATGTCAACCTCTCCGCATCCAATTCCCCAGGCGACAATTCCAGCAGACTTGTAGCGGCCCTTCTGTCCCTTAATGGGACATACTAATGGAGATCCTCCATCGCCCTTACAGGTATCCTTATCCTTTTCCCCGCCGGCGCAAATGAAGCTGTCATGTAACAGGAAGTGCCTGCCGAGGCGGGTGGCGCGCAAGTTCGATTGGCATGTTTCTCCTGGCACAACGGGCATGTCAACCTTCTTGAGGATTACCTGGTACTCTCCTTCCTTGCCGAACTTGTTCTTGCCCCAGCCAGTGGCATAACAACGGTCATAATCAAAGACGTCTTGTACATTGGGCAAACAAACTGGCTGAATGTTCATTTGCAAATCAAACGAACTTTCCAATAATAGAACTGCAACATCATTGTACAAGGACCCCTTGTTAAACTGTTCATGATAGACAATTTCCTTAACGTAACGGTCCTCATGTGGGATGATCTCTGTCTTGGTCTGAGTATCCCATTCTCCAGCTCTCACTAAAAGAGGTATTAAATTAAATATGTATATAATAATGAAATAAAAAAGCGAGTAGATTGATAAGATTGCTTAAAATACTAACCAACAATTGTGTTAGGCTGCTTGTTGTGAACACAATGAGCGGCAGTTAGAACAACATTTGGCGCTATCAAAGCTCCTCCACACTCGTACAAGTTGAGGGGTCCATCTTCTCGTAGAATCGCCAGCATCCAGGGGAACTCCCCGAACTCAGCCTCTTGATTCACAGCTCCGGTAATTTTAAAGCCAACACCGTTCGGGTTTGTGTACCCACAGCCTTCGGGGGTTTCCGGCGCAACTGGGAATATGGGCTTGTCCCGCTATGTATCGAATTTATTTATGTATTGCTAATTAACACATTTTTATAGAACTGTACCTTGTTGGGAAGGTCGCAACATAAATGCAAATAGTTTTTGCATGGTGACCCTGTGTCAATACGAATATCAATTATACCCTCACCACTGGTGTTGATTGTGTCATTGGCACACAGCCATCGGGGCACACATTCCTTTTGATCACCACAGGACTGATACACTTCTGAGCCCGAGGAAGAAGAGTCCTTTGGCTTAACAGTGACAGGATTAGGAACGGGCGCAATAGGAGTTGGATTCGCGGTAGAAGATTCAGTTTCATCTGTTTTAAAGATGTCCGCGATCAAGTTGTCCAACGAAGTGTCTTGTGCTCGGCAAGATAATATGCAGACGCATATTACAAGGCAATTTATTATTATCATTTTACTGAAAATATATTTAAAAAAATAAAAAAAAATAAATTAAATTAAAATTAATAGCTGTTAAGCTTGAAATATGGTGCTAAGAATATAAATTTTATTGGCTCTAGTCCTCACTTAAATCTGTTAGTGTATGTATGTATATCTTTCGGACACAAAGTCATTCAATTCGAACGAAACGGATCTTATTGGCGACTAAGCTTTCCCCAATCTACAGATTATAATTAGTTTCTGGTTTTGGCTTTCTTTCTTCTGTTATTGAAAATTGTCAAAAAAAAAGGAGGGCACATGTATACAACAATGAATATATACATCTTGTAATCACTTGTTCTCATTTAAAATTAAATATATTTGTTTTAGATGATAAGAAATTTATATATTTTGAGTGAATATATGTATATGTATGTGACACTCGACTCGTTAGGCCTTAAATAATATAAAAATAAATCATTAAATAATGATGATAACCTCGTTTCTTGGGTCTTTTCTTTATTTTGATTTTACTATTATTAAACAATTGACACAATTGACAGACACGTTTATATAATTATTTAAGATGCATACATAAACCTTCATTACTGCTCAGGCCAACAATAACTTTGGTTTTTAGCAAATATAATGAGAAGAGAACTGGTTTTTAGTTCCCATATGTACATACATATGTCTATATACACATATGTGTATATATCAGTTTATAACTGTAGGAAAAGCACACACTATTCAATGAACTTTAATATCTGATAGATTGATTACAATCAATATAAGTAAATACGATAGGCACCTATGTATATTTGTCCTTGTGTACTACATTATTGGTCAAATATATAAACTATAAAAATAATGTTCTTAAATGGCTTTTTTTATAAACTTCCTATTTAAATATTACTTTTGTTTTATTTAAATAAATATATACATACCAAACTTTGTGAATTTAACTATTGGGCGATTCTAGAGAAATGATCGGCGTGCAATAAAGAAGAGACTCAACTGATTTGATTTCTGATTCAATCTTAAGTTTGAGCTGATGATCTTCGCTTGCGAAGAAGCTTTAAAGCTAAGAAGTTTCCCAGCTTACAAATTACACTCTAAAAATTGTGTGGTTATCTTATTTTGTTATACCCTTGCAGGGTATTTAAATTTTACTTAGAAGTCTGTTGAGATGTCAGAAGTCATTTCCGACCCCATAAATCATATATAGTCTTGATCAGCATCAACAGCCGAGTCGACCTAGGCATCTCCTGTCGGAAAATAAATTTTTGAATTTTTTTTTTCAAAATATCAAAATTGTGTATAAAAATGTTCAAAAATTGATAACATTTTGAATTTTTTAAAATTTTAAATTATGTGTGCAGATTTATTAACCTTATAAAAACTAGCACAAAAAAGCTTTCCAAAGTATGTTATTATGCTTAGCTATGAGTTTTAAAAATTTTAAGAATGCAACTATTTAAAACTTGGCTATGATCGATTCTATGACATTGGATCCTATATTTCAATTGCAGTATTAACTTTGGCATCCCGAAGTTAGTTTCCGTTATTTCTTATTGTATATTATTTATTTCAGATTAAGTTGAATGTATAAAAAATTTAATAGTATTTGTGGGCAATAACTTTTATAAAGTGAACTTTGTAGTTCAAAATATATTATCTTTATAATTATTATAGAATTACCCAAGAAATAACCTTTACTTGCGCTTTAAACACTTTATAACTTGTAATTAATTTTTAATTTCATAAATATATTTTAAAATTTGTATTTTTACATTTAGGAACATGGGAAACTGAAACACCAGTTTCGATAACGTTGTGAACGATAAAATTAAAAGCATCAATGTGTCTACGGTTTTCGTTTCCAAATGAGTGTGCGTAATTTCGATGCGTTTATATATATATGATGAACAAATTTCTTGTTGTATTCATCATATGTAGACATTTCTGAAACCCAAACACGGTTCCTAATTTATTCAGTATTTATAGAAAGATGGAATCGTTTAAGCAAAATGACGGCAATCGTGATGAGTTAATTATTAAACAGCAAAAGGAAATCGAAAAGGAGGTAAGACCTGCCTGTGGCTTGTTTAAAATGCAGCGTAATGTTAATATTAAATTATGTAGATTATTGAAACAACACCATTGGTCAGCGAACAGTTACCGCTAACGTGCCTGTGGACAGAGTACAATGGCGACGAGATCTTCACCGCCAAGATCGAGGATCTCTCCAAGAAGTACAAGTTCATCCGGCGCACACGCCCCGACGGCAACTGTTTCTTCCGAGCCTTTGCCTATTCGTACTTAGAGTACTTGATCTCAAATGTTAGTGCCTACCAGGAGTTCCGCAAACTGGCCGAGGAGTCCAAAGACAAGCTCGTTCAACTTGGTTTTCCCAGCTTTACTTTAGAGGACTTTCACGAAACCGTAAGTAGGCCCTTTTAGTTAATGTTTACTATCCTAAATCATTGGTTGTCATCTTCGTTTCAGTTCATGGAGGTCATCAAGCGCGTGAGTCCGGAGAATGGCCAAAGCCAGAGCCAGGTGCATAGCGAGCTACACAAGATTTTCAATGAGCAAGGCTATTCAGACTATGTGGTGGTGTATTTGCGTTTGATAACGTCGGGAAAGCTGCAGGAGGAGGCCGATTTTTATCAAAATTTTATTGAGGGCGACTTCACAATCGAAGAATTTCGGCATCAGGAAGTTGAACCCATGTACAAAGAATCCGATCATATTCACATTATTGCCCTGTGCACCGCTCTTGGTGCGGGAGTGCGTGTTGAGTATTTGGATCGAGGTGAGGGTGGAACGGTCAAGGCACACGATTTCCCCGAGGGAACAGAGCCCGGAATTTACCTGATTTATAGGCCAGGTCATTATGATATATTGTATCCAAATTAAATTGCTCTTAAAATTAATTTTTAGAATATGTAAATATAGAATTGTAAAATAAAACCTCATTTATTTGCATATAAAGAAAAATGGCAAAGAGTGCCACGTTTTTCAAATCTCATAACTAAGCCATAAATACATTAATTTCTATTTGGAAAGCTTTTATGTGTTTGTTTTTTACGGCATACAAATCTGCACACTACGTTTTAAAATGTAGAAACTTTTTTTGTCAAATTTTGGCAATTTTAACGATTTAACCCCTTAAAAAATTTTCAAAATTTGAAATAAAAAAAAGAAATAACTTTTAGCCGGACATAGCTAAATCGACTCGGCTGCTTATGCTCCAAGCTTCTGACTGAAACTATAATACCCTGCAAGAGGCTTCAGGGATTTTGCTCCCACCTTAAGGCTCAGTGCCCAGCCCAAATACCCACAATTATAAATGCAAGAAAAGGTAAAACACAAATGTGTTTACGTTGACATATCGTAGATGTTAATTTTATTTAAACACTAATTCTTTATTATTTGATTTGAACGATTGTGATAGTGACATAATGAAATTGTCTAATGTTTTATAAAATATTAAGTTTCATTTAACGGTATTTCGCCATAATTTCTTGTGGAAATTTCTGGCGATGCGCAGACAATGAGAGGTTGACAATAATCTCTCGGTCATCCGTCCGTCAGGCGCCTCCGCAGTACGATTTAATTGTAGGATGATATTGACCACAAGATTTCAACTCAGTGAAGACTTCGGTGAAGAAGCCAGGCTCAGCATTGATTTTAAGCATTTTATCACTTAGCTTGTTCACAATGACGAGACACCTAATTATATTGGAGACTAAATTATTTCCGAATTTAAATAAATAGAAGGGGACAGCTCACCTGTCCCAAAACTTTTCCTTGGAGTCTTCAACCAAAAACGGTTTGAGGGGATAACTGATTTCATTGCCCATGTATGAATATGACAAGTACAGGCAGGTGAGTACTGAAGCCTGAAGTTCTGATTCCTTGCTCTCCTCGCCGCTGACCAATTCACGAACTAGCATGTAAACGAATACCACGTTGGCTGGATTAATGAAAGCCACATCCTATAAATCGATAGGAATTACAATAATTAGTAAGCTTTGGCAGTCTTTTGATCTAAATTGTTAATTTTTTTTTTACTTCCGAGAAGTTGGTAAATCTAAAGTTAAACTTTACCTGCCATCCTTGGAGCAATAAACTGCGATCAACCGCTCTGAGCCACATTACAGCGTCGCCAGCATCAAAGTTGTTCAGCCTCTGACAGCGGCAATGCAAGAACATGCCCAAGCACTTTAGCAATTCGGATGTGGATGCCTGCAAAAATTGTCAAGTTTAAATATGCAATATTGAGAGCCTTTCTATTGGTTATTGGCTTCTGGACGTCTGGTTAAATCCTTCTTCTTTGGGAAGGATTAGTTTAAGTTGCAGAATAGCTTCAAACCATAATTTGTAATGCAAAATATAATGAGCAGAAAATGATTGAATCAGATCCAAGTTTACATATTAAGTTTATTTTTTTATTCCTTAAAGCTGTGCAAAAACGCATGGGGATAATTTATAAGGTTCATTACTACTAACCTGGATGACGGTTTTACGAGGGATCTGATTGGTATTTTTGATCTGCATTGACGCCGGCTGCAATTGCTGCGGCAGGGTTAGCGTCAGTGGTTGCTTCTGGATCAGCTTGTTGTTGTGATTGGATATCGAGTTCTTGTTATTCAACTTGACCGGATCTTTCGCCTTGGAAGGGTTCTGCGATTTGCCCGGTGCTCCCGTGAGCCCAGCCTCCTCCCGATGGAGTCCCTCCTGGGACTGATTGCAGTGCTGTTGCTGTTGTTGTTGCTGTTGGTTGTTATGCTCCTCGATCCGGTTGCAGTGCAGCTGGATGTTTCGATTTTGTCGGATGAGGAGGCGAACGAGGACTCCAATAGCTGGGCCTTGAAGCAGGCCGTCGGCAGGTTGGCGCACTTGTTACTCTTGTTCTCAATCTTCTTCTTATTATGTGATGTGGAGAGCTTCTTCCATGAGAGGGCGTTAATGAAGATCGAATGCTTCTTCAAATTCTTCTCGAACGAGCTCTTCTCCGCCTTAAGGACGGAAGAGTTCTCGTTATGCGTATCCAGGACATTGGTAATCGTGTCCTTGGACGCATTTGTCAAGTTATTCAAGTTGTGCGAGCTCAGCTGTGTTTGCGTCTGCAAATTAATGTGCACTCCACCGCCACATGTCCCCTGGTGTCCATGTCCTTGTCCCTGCCCGATGACGTTCTTGGACAACTGGTGGTGGTGGCATGCCGCCGACTTCTTGCTTTCCCTATTCTTGGCATTATTCAATTGCTCGTACGAGAAGTTATTCAGATGAGAATCGATTGAGCCCGTGGAGTCGTTCTCATTCCTAATATCGCTTGAATGGTTATATTGAAAATTTGGCTGAGACGAGTATATGGGATGGCGATCCCGTGGATTGAAACTCAGAACCGTTCCCATAATGGCTGAAATTTAACGTTGTGACAATCAATAAAAACCCTCGAATATAAAATGGCCTCTTCTTCTATTTTAAAATATTGATTTTTAATCAAACCACACATTCATGCTAATATGCAAATTCAGATTTCTCTGTTATCCCTTTCAGGACTTTGAGTCAACAATTATTTCACTTGAGTAATGTTCATGAAAAAGTCGTATTCAACTCGATTTTCATAATTTTTTTACCTCCTTTGTTTTGTATTACTTTTGGGCGAAAAAAGAAGAGATTCTGCCAAGACTGTGTTTAAAATAACGCCACTATCTCTTTTCTGGAGCACAATGTTATGCCATTTTTAACTGCTGCATAGTTGTACTCAGGTTCGGGACTCCTTTACGACCAATCATATATTTTTAAGCACAAATTCCAGCGTTACACTTGTTTATGAAAACATCTTTTCGCTACAAGCTTATGAAATAAGTACACAGTCTTAAAATCGATACAAAGTTTGCGCAGAGCGCAAGGCGAGGGTGGGCACAGGTCCTCCTTGGCATTTCTGGGCATGCTCAGTAGAGGGGTGTTATTTGCGTCATTATTTGAAAATTGTTAGCCAGGGAGTTTTAAATTTTTTTATACTTATATTTTTAAACTTTTGGTTAAAAAGTTCTTACCTAGTTCGTAAGCAAAGGCATACTTTTATTTAGAATGCTGTGCTTCAATTTAATAAAAAATTAAAATTTTAAAGACTAAAAAATAATAATTATTCAGTTCTTTTTTTGTGGTCATTTGATGGTTGTCAGCAATTTAAAATGTTAATATTTAGGCGTTAGCGACAGTTAAAAAGTCAATAGTTTACAACGGTTATACCGCTTTATTAGAATTTCAAAAGAAACAGTGTTGTAAAAGACGCAGTTCTGAGTTTCCAATCCTTAGATTGGTGGTGGATTGGGCCAGCCATTATTTAGGTTCCTTTAGCCAAGTTCCTTAAAAAATCATTTGCTATTCATTTTTGTTAAATTTTAAATTTGTAAAACCAATTAAATACAATATTAAGTATAGTTATATTTATCTTTTATTCAACTTCAGTAACAATGTCTGTGCTTAGATTTAATAATAAGCTACCAGAACATACAATGCAAACGGTTATAGCCAAATCGCCTAATAATGATTGAAGGATTGAAAATAATTTGCTAAACTGCTTAATTTTGTTGCTGATATTTGGATGCACAAATAAAAGTAACATCGGAGCCACGCTGGGAGGTAAATTATCTCCGCTGCGATATTGCAAAAATACAAGCTCTGCTAATATAAATAGCAGGACAGGAACAAAAACACTGCTTTTAGCATACAGCGCCAATAAGAATCCAACGCATGCTGCCAAAATAATGTGAACTCGGGTTTTCAGCAGTGCATTCGCTACGGAAGCACTGGGCTTGGATACGGGGACAGTCTGTTCCGGCAGAAATGAACGAGGAATGGGAATATCAGGTTCCACCTCCGGATCAGAATATTGGGTTGTGTTGGCGCTTTCGTCTGGAATTAAAGAAGATTTGGGATAGGTCAGAAATATATTAATTTTTGTACACTCATTGTGCAAGACTTTTTGTTAGTTTACCTGTGTTACCAACAGTTTCGTTGTCTAAAGCAGTGGCTCTGCCATTTAATTTATCGAGTCGCGACTTGGATGCTTCTAATATCTTCTTTCTACGGAGTTCCCGCCGTAAGGCAATAGATTGCTTAACAGAAGTTTCATTTGTATTATCCATACTTATTTTAACGAATTTGGAAATTTATCAAATGGTATGACCGTGCTGCAAATTTATTTACCCAGCACGTCAAGTTAGCGTCGAAAAAATCCTAATCAACTGAAATCAATGGAATGGAAACACATACACTAAAACATTTATCTCTACATACTTACTGAGAAAAACGGGTACCGCTCGATTTTTTGTTCTGAAATAGTTTTATGAATCCAAATCCAAAGAGCGAGTAGTTTTATGAACATATTAAGATTTTGGTTATTTATTCAGAATTATTATATTAACAATACAAATGTAATGACGTTAACACAATTTTTATAGCTTTTCCAAGCGTCTGGGCGCATATAGAAGGACGTAGGCGCAGTGCCAGTCTCCGCCGCCGGACAAGCGTAGGATCTCTTCTGTTGCCACGGACGAGACCTCATCGTCATCAAACTTAAACCACACATCGCCACTGGAACGCACCCAAGCCACATAGTGTCCCGAAGAGCTTGACCGTCCCTTGTGTGTCAGTACGGCTTGCAGTGTGTAGTAGCCAGAATTGTTGCTTCCCAGGTCATCATCAAACCAAAATTGCTCGTACTGCTTCTCCTTCTCCTCTTCCTTTGCTTCATTGGGCTTGACAACGTCCACTTCCATTTTCTTGTCTTCGAGATCCTTGAATTTCGAGCGCATAGGGCACAACTTGTTTTGCAATTCGGGAGTGCACAGCTCGTAGGCATCGAACTCCATTGGAAATTTAATATCTTTCAGCACTTTAGCATTAATACCCTCCTTGCCCTTGTATTGAAAGCGGACAAATTGAACCGTGAGATAAGCTGGAAGTCGGCTAATCAAATACTGAAACGTAAAAAATTTTCATTTTATAGAGCGTTTTTAGAAGCCAATTGACCTTACAGTTCTTATATACTGTGCATCGCGTCCCAGAGTTTCCGATTTCTTGACCAATGTCTCGCGCATTTTCTAAAATAAAACAATTGTAGAGTTATTGGCATTGGCCGAACTCAGTTTAAGGTTCTCACTTACGGACTTAAGACCGCTTTGCATGTACTTAACATCCATGGAGATGAAGCAGCTCAGTTGCAAGAAGTTCTCCGTTGTTACGGTGGAGGGTTCATCGGGAACCTCTTCAGAACTCATCTTGACTTCAAAAGTTCCGCCGAAGTATTGATCAATAAAGGAGCTTAAGGAAAATGTCAATAAACTATGTTTGTGTTCGACTATGTTCGACTTACTCACCTGTATCTTTTTGGACTGCATTCGATGGGTCTTGGCTTGTGGCGCGCAGTTTTTGCTGCAACATTTTCAGAATTTCCGCCCAACATTCATTAGCATCCTGTTGCCTGTACGTACCGTTCTCGCCGGTCTGCGCGAACTGCGGTGATGCACGGTGTAACGCCTGCAGCAGAACAATTGGAGTGACGGTTGTGCCCTTCTCCATTTGAGCAAATATGGATTTCATGGCGGACGATATGGAAAATGCTGTAGACATGGTGTCAGTGCCATCATTGCTAAAAGAGGTCAAGGCAGTCCGAAGCTCGGGCACTGCGTTCAAGCATTGAACAGTGGCGTTCATGTAGCAAGTATTGCCAAGATTCGTTAACCCGGCCGGTAAACGCATCTGCAACAAATTTAAGGATAAAGGATTATAAAACAAGGCAATGCTATCCAAATCTTAAATATAGATGGATATATGCTCATTTTTATGGTAAATCAATGTTTTTCAAATATCATAACTCAGCCAAAAATTGACTAATTTCAATTCGGAAAGCTTTTTAGTGTTAGTTTTTGTAGTTCTTAGTTTAGTTTTTTAGTCTTAGTTTTGTCAAATTTTCACAATTTTAACGATGTAACCCCTTATAAAATTTTCAAAATTTTGAAAAAAATATACATTTTCACCAGACATAGCTTCAGCTGTTGATGCTGATATGTATACATATGTATAAGCTACATACATTTACATATTATGTATACTTTAACTTACCGCTGTGGCTTGTTCCATTTCGTTCATGTCCTCTATGAACTTAACTTGTGTTTTAGGCACTTCTGGCACACTCTCTTTGCTGCCCAGCAACAATACTACAGCGCCCTGCAAGAGGAATCGGGTTAAAGCCAAGTTTGGTGCCGGAGACTTCGCCATATCTATACTTACATCTTTGATTTGCAAATTCCACTGATCATCCTTAAGTATGCCACCCTTGCACATCACTTTCTGCCGATCCGGTTGAACACCAGTAAGCGCAAACAACTGCGCTTTGAACAAGATAGGCTCCTCATCGGTGTTTACATCAATATCATTGTAGAGCTCCCGGCCCCACTTTACCTTAACTGAAAGTAGCACAAGATTAGCATTTTCATTAAACAGAAGCAAAATAGCCGGATACCTTTGAATGCTGGCATAGTTTGGTTTTTTGTTAATAAAAGTTCTTCTATCTGTAAAATTCAAAGTCATACAAGCCGAAACAGAGATGGTAAGCAAGCGATACATTTGTGCATTGCATTAATCGAATCGCACACAATATCTTTACCAATGTTTCAAAAATGAAAATAAAACTTCATTTTATTTCTGTTATTATATGTTATCGTAAGAAAAGAATCAAATATTAAATTAAGATTTAAATTTTTTAATAAAAACTGTCTGGGTTTTAAATAATTATATGCTGAGTCTCGTTCCCTACTAATCTCATACATAGTTCCTTTTCATCATTCCAAAATTCTAAAAAAAAAACCAATTCGATAGCTGACATTGTGCATCGATAAAACAGCTGACACTTTTCTTTAATTCATTTTTTATAATTCGGTAATTGCCCGTATCGGCACGTTAAATTATACATTAAAACTACTAAAACCATTACAACATGAATGAAGCGGACAGTTTTGCAGAAATATTCAGAGGAGGGCTTCCTCACTGCCTGCTCATAGTTTTATCTATGTTGTTAATTTGCTCACCGGTAATGCCCAGCGAATTCGAGGTTATTTCCATGTCCAAATTTGATCTAAATGGGCAACATTTTGGTAAGTAAATATAAAATAAGCTAAATATTAATTATGTAAGTTCGTTACAGAGGGAGCCCGACGACATGTTTTAATATATAGTGCCTACTTTTTGGATATGTGGTTCTGACCCCAATTTCTGACAAACAAACGCGCGCGGCGTTTTCCCTTTATCTAATTAGTAACATTGAATCTCATTAAAGCTATGTATACAGACGTGTTCTTTAACTCATATATTTTATTCAAATAGTCATATAAACTTATTTATAACAAGTTTTAATTTTTGAATTGAAGCTATCTAGTGTATCAAAATTTAGCAAATTATTAGATAGACCTTTGGTCTGCTTTCTAAAGATACATATAAGCTGAATTTATATTCCAAGGGTAGCTTAGCTCGTTTTTACCAGTAAGGCAAAGAAAGAATTGTTTTCGTGTAAAACAAATCTTTAAGGATTACTAGATTCATTAGGATTTCTAAGATTATGAACATTTTCTTTATTCTAGGTAGCCGCGTTTCCTCAATTTCCCTTGAGGCAAGATCCCTGTATTCATGGAATACATCTAGGCACTGCGTCCTAACTCGGTGAGTGAAAAGAGAAGCCTTAAATCAATATGAAAATAATAAATTTAAAATATTTGTTTAACAGCTTAACCGACCTTTCCATTCACGACTTTGACAAGCTACGGCAAAATGCGGGGGGCATTATTCTTATGTTGCCTTCCAATATGCTTGACCTGGATGTTGAAGCCAGAGAACTTATAACCATCTTGGAGCAGTCAATGCTCACATATACGGCTGTTGCGCCCATCTTTTTCGCTCCCTACAATAAGGATTTGGAGAAAATCATCGATGATATTACGTACACGACCACGGATAATGTGGCACAGAATCAGACGGCGCTCAGCCAATTGATTGTGACGGTGTCGGCCAATCGATACCATGTCAATGTCGGCGGCGGCAGTATTGTGGCCAACAAGAACAGCAAAGTTCCCATTATTCACGGTGAACTAATACCAAATCAGTTGGCGCTGAAGCCCAGCGAAACTGTGGGCGATGGCCAAAAGCTACCCGTCATTCTTATAACTGCCAACTTGAAAACTTTTGGCATATTCAATGTAAGTTCTATGAAATATATCACAAGCTTCTCAAACATAAGGCTATAATCTGTATTTGCGCTTGGCAGATAAGGTATCTTAACTTTATAGGTTTCATTTTGTAATGTGCCGCCAGCTGATTTCTGATAAGATTCTAAACTACAAATTCTACCCATAAAAACATGGCACTGATTTTTTAATCCAATTAGGACTATCCAGTGAATGCCGATGCTGCCGTTTTGCTTGTACTCATGGAGCTTTTCAGTAAGATGCATCATACGACCAGTATGGCACCCAAGTATCGTCTTCGATTCCTGCTCTCCGATGCCGGCGTTTTACTTAACTTCCAAGGCTCCAAGAAATGGCTTGAAACCGACGAAAATGCGCTCCAGGTATGATTCGTGAAATATATTTAAAATAAAAACTTATTTTTGACTATATTATCCCATTTAGAATGTCGAATTTGTGCTTTGCTTGGATACCATCACCGAGAGCTTGGGTCTCAACGCAGACAATGCACTCTACATGCACGTCTCGAAGCCACCAAAGGAGAAAACCTCCATTAGCAACTTCTTTAAGCTCCTGAAGGCAGCCGCTGAGAAGTATTCGAATGGCCTAACGGTTGAGGGCGTTCACAAGAAGATTAATTTAGCAGACACGAAGTTGGCGTGGGAGCATGAACGTTTTAGCATTAAGCGTTACCCTTCCTTCACGCTGTCGTCAGTGAAGAGTCCAAGGAGCCCCATCCGAACCACCATATTTAAAAACGATGATAGAGTCTTTGTGGAGCACACTCTAAACACATCGCGAGTTATAGCGGAAGCTCTGGCCAGCTACATGTACAAAGTAGATCCAGTTTCCAGTGTTTTCGATGGGCAATTGGTGAGTGCGTCTTAATTATCTTAACTTCATGTCATGTTAAGCGATGATGGTTTCTTGCAGGCCATCAAGGAGGAGAATCTGTTGCCATATTTTGGAGTCAAGTCCATACTGCATAATAACGATGTTAAGGATGCTTTCGAGAAATACCTTAACAATGTTAAGATAATATACGATAAGCCCGACGGTCGAGATCCGGAGTTTATGTTCTACAATGAGAACGACGTTAAGCTGAATGTTTACCGAGTTAAGCCAGCGATCTTTGATCTCTTCCTAACCTTTGTAATTGGCTCCTATCTGGCAGCCGTATTCCTTGCAATCCAATACTTTCCCCGATTTTACGATGAAGTATCCAAGCTAACAAAAGAAGAGCCCGCGGGACAGCAAAACGGACACTCTTCTGAGCGACTGAGGATGAAGTCGCACTAGTGTGAGATGTAATAATAATGGTGTAATGGCAAATAGGAAAATTAGTGTCCAAAACTCGTCTTTTTCAACAAACTTTACAAATGCTAAATAAAACAATTGTTACTTTAAAGATAATAATAATATTAATAAATTTTCTAAAACAGTAGACGAATCCACCGTGGTCTCTTTAGATAAATTACAAACTATAACTTTAATCGACATTTAAATATTCTATATATCAAAAAACATTATTTTTGATATGATGTAAAGCAAAATCATCCCCAGTGTGATTGTACCATGGCGCACTGAAAAACCCAAGATCGAGAAGATAGACGACTTTAAAATTCTTTGTTATAAATACTTTATTTGATATATAAATTTCATATTACTTAGTTGTTTAATTTAAATATTCACTTGTTTATACATTTATTCAACGGATTAACACGAACCATTGTTGTTGAAATTAGAATTGGGTGAATGCTGGTGGGCTCGGTTCGGCTTTGGAACCGGATTCCAATCCAAGTTTGATGACGTGGGCGACGACTCTCTGTACGGTCCCTTGACTTTGTTTATTTTGCTTATAAACAAATTATTTTGGCGGCTAGTTGTGGCTGTTGTTCATTGGCCTCCGGAGCACTGCTAACTGAAATGTTTGCAGATGTCACTTCCTTGGAGGATCGCAGATTAACGTTGTTCAACTCATTGGGATAGTTGTACCTATTTTCAGCGTACGATGGTGTTAAGTACACCTTTGTGCCCTTGGCTGCACTTTCATTTAGGATCTTCTGATTCCGACTAATGGATTCGAGGACTTCCTTTATGGACTTCTTCTTCCGCATCCGCGGTGTGGGCATCGCTGCTTCCCTTTCCCATTCCGCCAAGGCTGTATCTCTGCTGCCGTTGTGGATATATCGACTGGACACTCCAGCCGGACTTTCCAACTCAAAATCTTCTCTTATCTGCAGAACTTCACTGGCCGCCGATGAGCTTGATGGAGGACCAGCATTTGAAATGTCAAGGTTCTCTGGTTTCGGTGAGCTCGCTTTGGGATTTTCTTTTTCTTTAATAAGATTCGAGCTACTGCTAATGTTCTCTTCGAAAATCTGTGAAATCTGCTTGACCGTCCCAAATGAGTTGGTTTTCCTTTCCTGAATGCTTTCGTCACCATTCTGAACGTGTTCTTCAGGCTGAAAAACTTCATTGCATGGTTTGTTAGAGTCAACTTGCTTTTTAGATTCGACTACAGTTAGTGTTCGATTTACAGTTCTCGTTTGATTTGGCATGGAAGCCTCTTTTGCAGTGCCATTAGTTACTAAAGACTCCTTTTGGATATTAGAGTCCAGAATTGAGACACTGTGCCTTTCAATGTGGTTGGTTTCTTTGGAATCATTTGGCTTTCGATCGGTGCTTGGAGTTTTAGATTCAAGGGTTTGCTTAACATGTACACTGGCTATGCACTGCGGATGAGGGGACAGTGTGGTGGACGTGCTGGGGTTAGATGGGTTAGCAGACATCTGTGGCTCAGGGGGGATTGGAACTGGTGGTAGTGGCTGCCTCTCAAGGTCTGACTCAAGGGACTGCCTCACGTGCACGCTGGCAATACAGGGTGGCGGTGGTGGTGTCGTGGACATGCGGGTGACCGTGACAACGGAGACCTTTTCTTGTTCAGTGCCTGTGCGGATGGCAGAGTCATTAGATTGCTGGGGTGCTTTGGAGGTGCTGGGGTTAGGTTCGATATCAGAAACGGGCACAGTCACTGATAGCTTCTCGACAACTACTTCCTTTTCAACTTCTGGATTTATTGTAGATTCGTTTCTGTTGTTGACAAACTCTTCAATTTCAGAGGCAAGTGACTCAATGTCTTTGGTAGCTAGATAGTCCGGGATCTAAAGATAAAGAGGCAATTAATATAGATAGTAAGTGAACTTTTTATATTAAACTTCGAAACTGGTTACCGTTGATCTCTTTGGTGGCGGCGGAGCTCTCCTCTTCTTTCGATACTGTTTCCTGGTGCTCATAGGGGAGCTGGGACATGATGAGCCGGCATCCGATTCGAATGGATTTGTGCTCAGACTAGATTGCGAGGATCTGGATAAGGATATATAAAGATTTCTTTAATATTTAGCAAAAGAATATTATCTTTGCTTTAAGTTAGTATTAGGTATTAAGTACCTTATATTCTGATTATGTGGCACGGAGTATCCAGAAAACTGTGTGGTGCTTCGGTAGCCAACATTCCGATGGAAAAACATCCCGTTCGAATCCGACTTTTTTAGAAATAAAGCAAATTATTATTAGTTTTCTTAATAGGCATGTCAATATCACATTTATTAGAAATATAGTAAGCTTTTTAAATCCAGTATTGATCTTTTCTGCCCTTCCTAAATCTTACCTCTCTCCGCGTATCAATGTTTTGCAGGGATGTGTGGCGGTCTCCTCTAAAGATTCTGGAATTCATGTACGAACTATAGTTCAGATAGATTATATACTATTTAATAAATTGAACACTCAAATTTATCATTTAGCCGATACTTACTTGTCATTTAAATCACGTCTAAGTGTCGGGGGGCTCTCTGAGGTTTTATTTATTCCCAATGTTGAAGACTTTTTTTTACGAAACGAGTACGATTTCCTAAAAAAATGACAGAGAAAAAGATTTTAGAGAGTTTAGGATGATCTCACTTTTGCGATGACAGCTTTGTACCACAGTTATATACATATATATTTTTTATTTATGTATTTTTTTCTTATATTTTCTTACCACAGTTCCTGGAGATTTCCAATCGACAAACTATGTTTGCCATTATCATTCTTCTTTTTGCTAAACTTCCAGAATCGAAGACGCTTGTGATTATCGTCCTCGTAGAAGGGGTTCAAATGTTCAGGATAGTCGTAAATTGAGATGTGACTAGGATTCCGTTTGTGCAAACTCATTGTGAAATATAATTTGTATTTTTGCCAGCGTTAAGTAAAAACTGAGAGAAGAATTTAAATTAAATTGTAAAATATAACGCCTGAATCAAAACCGGTTTGTATGGCTTAGTATAGTATATTAGTTTTACGACATTTATTTATATAAGAAATTGATTAAATTAACACTCCCTGCTTCACAAATATTGTTAATCACAACTGAACACTAAAAATAAGAGATTTGCCTGAGCTGTCGCCTTGTTGCTAAACCAAATTTGCGTTGATTGTGAACGTCACCAAGGTCTTATCAGATAATTGTTTGATATACACATACATAATTATAATTAAACAGTGACCTGGACTTTGAGTATATACTCAATTTATATGGTTACATATTCAGGTACTCTTATTTATATATTGATTGTAATTTATTTTATATTAAGGTCAAAATTGGTGCAGTTTTTCACTCATTAAAGTTTCTGCATAGTTTTATTTATGTTTTTTAATTGATTAAAATATATTTCATTTCCTAGCTATAACATATTCTTACTTTTATTATAATTGTTTATGTATTTTAAAATTTATATGTTTTAATTTCTTGTAGTTATTTATCATTGTTTTATTTGGGTTTTTAAATATTGCAACCATTCAATAAAGTTTGTTTTAGTTTCCTTGGAGTCTATAGAGAAAAACGAGAGTCCAAAGATGATCTAGAGATTGCCCCGTGTTGATCACGATCGCTTTCAATGATCAACATAAATATTTCTCATAAACATAGCCGCTCTGCACTATATATTGACACTTTCCGGGGGATATTTTTCGGGTCATCTACAATCATATGATTGCAGAATGCACACAGACACACTCCGTTCACATGTGTCCGAGTTATATCACTTGTTAAACAAAAGATTTTATTGTTTTAACTACTTAAGAGCTTTGGGGCTGGCTGCTTCTGCCAGTTCAACAGGTAAAATGTATTTTACCTTTTGGCGCGTTTGGGAAGAGAACACACGCACGCACGAAATGGCTCTTTTTGGGCCCGAGGCCGTCACTAATGTGAGATCATGTAGATTATTTTAAAACACAAACAAATACACACTTTTCTTCAGTATACACACATATAATATACACTAGGTGCCCAGAGGTACAATAAACATTGGCGTTATATAAAACATTCTCACATTTGCATTCATTTACAGATTAAAAATCGCACATAAGCGGCAGGTACAACCCGTCGGGTGTAAAAATGTAGATAAAAATATACACAGGTATATGTCAGTGGCCGCCAAGGAAAGGCAATTCGTTTCGTCTGTTCCAGCGGAGATGACCTCAAAATATTTAGCGGAAAAGCTTTTCGCGATACTCACCCACCGAGTTGTACTTTAAGACTAAATGAACTTCATGAACTTTCTATACATACGTGCAGATAGAAAAGCTTTGAAATATTTCGCTTCGTTCGATGGGCTTTTTATAAGTTATAGTAGGCGATGTGAGCACGATGCACAATACAAGCGAACAAATACAAATGAATCTATTATGATCGTCGCAGGTCGCTTAGAGCTAGAAAAGAACTTTTGGGAGAGCGGTTGCGCCGCTGCTTTGAACTATCTGTATTCTATATAAAAATACGATCATATTGCTGCATTCTGAACCCTCAAAGTAATAATAATAAGCGACAAACCATGAGTAATTTGGAAGGGAAATATTTTCGGGTCTGTAAGGTGAGCAGGGGTGCAGTTAAATTTGTTGATTATTCTTTATTATCTAAACGTCTATTTTTGTCACCAAAAATTTCTATAATACTGGCCGTATTGTTAAAGACTTTAGGTTTTGTAGAAATAATTGTACATATGCCTTAAAATATTTTAGTTAGTTAAAAGATATCTGAATTAAAACAGGAAATAAAAAGATAACCTAAGATATCTGTATTTAAGATATATTAAAACTATGTATTTGGATATAACACTTTTTGTCAAAAGCAACATTAAAATCTGAATCTAGCATGTTCGACTAAAATGTATTTCTTTCAAAAATTCCCAAATTTGTAAAATTTTTAAATCATTCAAATTGTCGATTTCTGACAAAAAATTCATGCAGTTTTATTGTCATAAAATTGAAATTAATGCATTTCTGGCTCAGTAATAATTTTGTAAAGATTTGATCATAGAAAAAATTAACACATTCAATTGATAAAAATCGACTCAAAGAAAGGTATTATCATTACATCATGAAAATTTGCAAAAATCGGCCAAAAATTAACATTTTAAGTGGAGTATGCAGTTTTATTAACCTGCTAAAATCAGTAATAATTTTGTAAAGATTGATCATAGAAAAAATTAACACATTCAATTGATAAAAAATCGACTCAAAGAAAGGTATTATCATTACATCATGAAAATTTGCAAAAATCGGCCAAAATTAACATTTTAAGTGGAGTATGCAGTTTTATTAACCTGCTAAAAATTAACATACGAACGCTTTCCGAATTGAAATTAATGCATTTTTGGCTTAGTTATAAGATTTTTAGGTTTTGATTTATCGTAAAATTTGCATATAAAAATATAGTTATTTCCGAATAAAAAATGGTATTGCACTTTCAGTCAGAAGCTTAAAAGAACGTGAAGGAGTCATTTCCGACCCTATAAATCATATATATTCTTGATCAGCATCAACAGACGAATCTTTCTAGCTTTATCCCGGCGAAAAAATTTTTTTTTAGAAATTTCCCATTTTCTGAAAAAAAGGAAAGGGGTTACATCATGAAAAATTGCAAAAATCGGCCAAAAATTAACATTTTAAATGGAGTATGCAGTTTTATTAACCTGATAAAAATTAACATACGAACGCTTTCCGAATTAAAATTAATGCATTTTTGGCTTAGTTATGAGATTTTTAGGTTTTGATTTATCGTAAAATTTGCATATAAAAATATAGTTATTTCCGAATAAAAAATGGTATTGCACTTTCAGTCAGAAGCTTAAAAGAACGTGAAGGAGTCATTTCCGACCCTATAAATCATATATATTCTTAATCTTAAAAAGGAAAGGGGTTACATCAAGAAAAATTGCAAAAAACGGAGAAACATTAACATTTTAAATGGAGTATGCAGTTTTATTAACCTGCTAAAAATTAACATACGAACGCTTTCCGAATTGAAATTAATGCATTTTTGGCTTAGTTATAAGATTTTTAGGTTTTGATTTATCGTAAAATTTGCATATAAAAATATAGTTATTTCCGAATAAAAAATGGTATTGCACTTTCAGTCAGAAGCTTAAAAGAACGTGAAGGAGTCATTTCCGACCCTATAAATCATATATATTCTTGATCAGCATCAACAGACGAATCTTTCTAGCTATATCCCGGCGAAAATTTTTTTTTCAGAAATTTCCCATTTTCTAAAAAAAGGAAAGGGGTTACATCATGAAAATTTGCAAAAATCGGCCAAAAATTAACATTTTAAATGGAGTATGCAGTTTTATTAACCTGCTAGAAATTAACATACGAACGCTTTCCGAATTGAAATTAATGCATTTTTGGCTTAGTTATAAGATTTTTAGGTTTTGATTTATCGTAAAATTTGCATATAAAAATATAGTTATTTCCGAATAAAAAATGGTATTGCACTTTCAGTCAGAAGCTTAAAAGAACGTGAAGGAGTCATTTCCGACCCTTTAAATCATATATATTCTTGATCAGCATCAACAGACGAATCTTTCTAGCTATATCCCGGCGAAGAAATTTTTTTTCAGAAATTTCTCATTTTCTGAAAAAAAGGAAAATGAAAATTGTCAAAAATCGGCCAAAATTAACATTTTAAATGGAGTATGCAGTTTTATTAACCTGCTAAAAATTAACATACGAACGCTTTCCGAATTGAAATTAATACATTTTTGGCTTAGTTATAAGATTTTTAGGTTTTGATTTATCGTAAAATTTGCATATAAAATATAGTTATTTCCGAATAAAAAATGGTATTGCACTTTCAGTCAGAAGCTTAAAAGAACGTGAAGGAGTCATTTCCGACCCTATAAATCATATATATTCTTGATCAGCATCAACAGACGAATCTTTCTAGCTTTATCCCGGCGAAAAAATTTTTTTTCAGAAATTTCCCATTTTCTGAAAAAAAGGAAAGGGGTTACATCATGAAAATTTGCAAAAATCGGCGAAAAATTAACATTTTAAATGGAGTATGCAGTTTTATTAACCTGCTAGAAATTAACATACGAACGCTTTCCGAATTGAAATTAATGCATTTTTGGCTTAGTTATAAGATTTTTAGGTTTTGATTTATCGTAAAATTTGCATATAAAAATATAGTTATTTCCGAATAAAAAATGGTATTGCACTTTCAGTCAGAAGCTTAAAAGAACGTGAAGGAGTCATTTCCGACCCTATAAATCATATATATTCTTGATCATCATCAACAGACGAATCTTTCTAGCTATATCCCGGCGAAGACATATTTTTCAGAAATTTCCCATTTTCTGAAAAAAAGGAAAGGGGTTACATCATGAAAATTTGCAAAAATCGGCGAAAAATTAACATTTTAAATGGAGTATGCAGTTTTATTAACCTGCTAAAAATTAACATACGAACGCTTTCCGAATTGAAATTAATGCATTTTTGGCTTAGTTATGAGATTTTTAGGTTTTGATTTATCGTAAAATTTGCATATAAAAATATAGTTATTTCCGAATAAAAAATGGTATTGCACTTTCAGTCAGAAGCTTAAAAGAACGTGAAGGAGTCATTTCCGACCCTATAAATCATATATATTCTTGATCAGCATCAACAGACGAATCTTTCTAGCTATATCCCGGCGAAGACATATTTTTCAGAAATTTCCCATTTTCTGAAAAAAGGAAAGGGGTTACATCATGAAAATTTGCAAAAATCGGCCAAAAATTAACATTTTAAATGGAGTATGCAGTTCTATTAACCTGCTAAAAATTAACATACGAACGCTTTCCGAATTGAAATTAATGCATTTTTGGCTTAGTTATAAGATTTTTAGGTTTTGATTTATCGTAAAATTTGCATATAAAAATATAGTTATTTCCGAATAAAAAATGGTATTGCACTTTCAGTCAGAAGCTTAAAAGAACGTGAAGGAGTCATTTCCGACCCTATAAATGATATATATTCTTGATCAGCATCAACAGACGAATCTTTCTAGCTATATCCCGGCGAAAACATTTTTTTTCAGAAATTTCCCATTTTCTGAAAAAAAGGAAAGGGGTTACATCATGAAAATTTGCAAAAATCGGCCAAAAATTAACATTTTAAATGGAGTATGCAGTTTTATTAACCTGCTAAAAATTAACATACGAACGCTTTCCGAATTGAAATTAATGCATTTTTGGCTTAGTTATGAGATTTTTAGGTTAATAGAACTGCATAATGTTTCTCCGATTTTTGCAAATTTTCATGATGTAACCCCTTTCCTTTTTTCAGAAAATGGGAAATTTCTG